CTGAGCTTTGTGTGGTAAAAAAAAATAAAAATAAATCATGCACATCAACTGTAACACATTTATGGATCAGGTGTTTTTGTGTGTGCTGGTGGTAAAAGAGCAGAAAAGGTGGAGGTAATAATAGAGGCTGAATGGTGTTAATACAGGGTTAACATTTCTAATTCAATTGATTATTCTCCTCGCTGTGTATATGGGGCTGCATCAGGCTCAGGTTGCAGGTAATGTGGCGTGTGTGTGCGTGTGTGTGTGGTAGAGAGGTGGGGGTGGGGCTTGTTATTATACCCGAGCATGTGTCACTGTTTGTGATTCATGCCATGACATCATCTGCCATTACAACCAGACTGTCTGGGGAACCATAGGGCAGAGATCAACAACAGGCATACAGACCCACACACACACACACACATATTAAACACACAAAAGATCCATGGTGCAGAGATACAACGACACAAACAAAGACAAAGAGACGTAAACAGACAATTCTTTAGACACACACACACAAACAAAGGCGTAGCACAAAAATGCACAACACATGCGCCAGGTTATACTGTCGATGACAAATACATGTATACAGCTAAAAAAAATCACGACTACACACACACACAAACACACACTCCCCTGACATTTAGCAAGCCCTCCTCACAGTCACATAATCAAGACAATGGCTGCTAGACGTGCTGTCGACAGCACGTGGCCTCACTGTGACCCCGGTCTGACCTGACCCAGTGACCCCTGCATCCACCCATCTGAGGACAAACTGATGTTCACAGACTTGATTCAATATCCCGGGAAGGGTGGGGAACGTGCGTATTAATCAGCCAGATCCTCTGCCTTGTGCTCCTCTCTGTGGACGGCCCGGGGCTGGTGCACAGGAAGAGCAACCTGTTACCAGGAACATCCTGTCCAATCAACACACAATGCTCATCCCAAAGACTATGTCACTTACAATGTAACTTCAATTAAAGAGGTGATAACTGCTAAGGGTGAAGCTCTAATGGCCACCTGCTACTTTTCCCCTTGTGTATTTATTGCCTTTGCAGTAAAGTCACACAAACAAATACACATGCCCAGAATTCATAAGGACAGAAACTAACATCTATCAAGTCCCAAACCCCAGTAAAATGTGAAAATCACTCACCAAACTGTTCTCAACCTGCAGATCACCATACATTTGACTACAATCCAATTTAAATTATAACATTATTAAAAATGAAACAAGAAGAATTAAAACATGTTTGCCCTGCTTCCCTACAGGTTAAGGCGCTGTCCAGTCCAGGACCTCTGTTGCATTATATCATTCCTGATCCCTTTATCCCCTCATTTCCTGTCACCTCTCTACTGTCAACTTGGTAATAAAGACATAAATGCCTAAAATAAATCTACAATTACAACTCTACACGTAAAGCAAGTAAAAGCAGGTAGCAGGCCAGGGTATAATTGGCTTGCAGGTTGCATATATAAAAAAGGGACACTAGTTAGTAAGTATAACTGCGAGTTTACTTCCTGTTTGCCGGCCTTGCAAGTTATAGTGAACTTCCTTTATCTTACAGGGATGCAATTTAATGAACACAATGTAACAAAGCACCAAATATACATTTCTTTTTGTGTATAATACTGCTGCTAGGTTAGCTCACAGCAGAGTCACTTCAGGTCACAAGGCTAGTCACCTCCTTAAAGTGAAAGTTTATTTGACAGCAGATCAAAAGAAAAGATAGATATGAGGAGATAAAAATAGCTGGCACACAAATTGACATACGGCATGGTAAGACCGGTTTCTTGTATGAGGCACTTTATAAATGTTGTTTTGGAGGGGGGGTCATATTTAGTATCTGTTAACATATTTGAATTGGCGCTCATACAGTAGAGCGCTGGAGGCTTGTAGTGAATCTGTCTGATTCTGTGGTGACAACAGCTCAATCTAGCCTGGATAAATGTGGCAGCAAAACCATCTGACTAAGATGACATTTTTAAAAAGCTCTCAGCTGCAAGTTTTGGCCTGTTGTGCCGTCACCCTGTTTTAACAGACTACTTCAGTTGAGAAGATAAAAGAGGACACACACACACACACACACACACACACACACACAACACACACACACACACACACACACACACACACACAACCTGACAAATCTCAGCTTTAAATGTTGGCCTGTGCCTCATGGAGTGAAGCCCTGTGAACTCAGCAGCATCGTGCTGCACTAACTCAACATGGCAATGGAATGAAACTGTACCCAGCAAAGCTCTGGCCTGTCTCTCTGTGCCAGTGAAACAGCAGCCCTGGGGAATGCACAGTTATTATCAACACCAGCATGTCAGGGGCTAAATGACGCTCTTGCATAGCACCGGGCACGAGCCGCAGTGATCAAGAATAGCTGGGACATGCAGACGCAGCTAGGAGACAAACACTGGACTCCTCCGTGGTGAAATGTCACCGTGAACACACAGACAGAAAACACAGACGGCTGCATGTGTGTGTGAACTACTTATGACTGGAAAGTTTATGCTTTTAACTTTAGCACTAGGAGTTTTTCAAGGGAGAGAAAGAGAGAGAGGAAGGTACACAGCCAGGTTCAAACTGCAGACGCTCATGGTTGGTGTATTAACCCCAGAACAGTATAAACTTAAAGTGACAACTCACACTTTTACCTGGCACCTCATCCAGATGTGCAGTTAAGCTTAACTTAAGTAAAAAGAGTCCTCGAGTTTTATCATCCAGTGTTGCAACTAATGATTGCTTTCATTATCGATTAAGCTGTTGGTTGGTGCACTCAGCAGTGTCTTATCTATCAGGTTCTCCTTAATCCTGCCTCTAAAAAAAAATCCAAACAATCTTAATCATTCTCAGGGGTGGAGTCATCCACCGTGGCTCCTTCTGACAAGGAAACCCCCTCCCCCGGTGGACAGCTGTGAAAAACAGCGAGTCACAGTCTGTCAAAACCATAACAAACGTCTCTTGCGTCAATCTTTGACAGGCTTTCCCTCTGGCAGTTGTTTAACAAGTTGAGACAATGAAACCGCGGCACCACAGCCCACCACCTGCTCTCCGTTTCACCTGATTCATCACACCATCTCTATTGGGCTAACTGACAGAAAAAGTGTGTGTTTTTCTTCTGCTACATGTCCAATTCCAGGTCTGGATACCTCTGTAGGCACTTTGTGTTACTAAAAATGCATCATAATAATATTTGCGGAAGTCTGTGCCTTACTAGGTTTATGGATCTGTTGCCCAAATGGACAAAGCGCTGTTGTGTGTTCACAAAAATCTAAAACCACAACAAAAGGTAAAGAAGAGCAGATTGAGAGAGAGGATAAGTTGACCAACTTCATCAAGGCACAGCAAAGTTACTAACACTGAGAAATCTATTTTGGACCACAGGCAAGCATTTTTCATGCTTTGAACATAAACTCTGGTCTGCAGTACTTTCATCTATTTTAGGAACTACTTTAAACAGCGTCCCTTTTCCAAAGAAGACCACACGATGTGACTTTTCTAGTTTAGTAACTTTGTATACTATAAAAAGTATACCACACGTAGTCAGTTCAGCGATTGACAGATAAGTCCTTGTTAAATAAACATTGGTTAACAGTGATTTATTTCAGTGTTTTGGGTCAAAAACCCCTTAAGGGTAACCAAGATGGCAACACACTTTACTGTACTGTTGCATCATGAGCTTGTACTACCGTGACTCAAACCACAACACAAGTATCGTAACAATCGAAACTTAGCAAAAAATGTCCTCTCTCTACTTTGCACAATAACACAGCTTTAACAAAACAGTCCCACGCTTAACCCATTAGTGACTCCAACCAGATCAGGACATGTCAACATATAAAAAAGGACCCTGACAGGCACACAGACCAAATTCAAAAGGGAAGGCAGCATGCAGGTCTTTGTGCATCTTCCGTATCTAAACATTGCGGGTTTGCGTGCAACCTAATGGAACAGCAAGGCCAAAAAAAAAAAAAGTTGACAGTGAAACATAACAGAGCAGCGAGATAACTTTGGGTTTTCGGTTCGCACTCAGAGCCAGACTGTCATGAGTTCGCAAGTCTGAAGCAGGAGAGAGAGAGAGAGAGAGGGTGTCAAAAAACAGAAAATAAACCTGGTGATGACAGGGAGAAGCCAAGATGATGCAAGAAAAGGGAAAGAGAGGGACAGTCAAAAGGGAACTGATACGGATTAGTCCTGCTGACCAAGGACATTAAAATTAAAATGTTTCCCGTCCTGAAAGTTTCAATTAGATTTATGAGAATGAGGCTGCATTTCTTTGGAAACAAGGAGGGAAACTTGACATGTGACATCAAATAAAAACAGCTGCAGAAGGTCTCTGACATCATTTTTGTTTGACCAAATGAGGAACAAATAAAAAAAGGTTTGCAGCAGCACACACACACGTCTAATGATGTTTGACAGTGTCTTCCAGCTACAAGGCAGCGAAGGCAGCGGTCCCAGGACAGCTTCACTGGTATTTCACTTGGAGGTAACCTGGCAAGTCACTAGTATGGCCTCAAAAAAACACCAACAACAGATTAAGACAGATTAAGTACAAATTGGCCAACACTGAACAACTTCTTCAAAACAAAAAAAAAAACGTTATGGGAGGGGAGAGAAATCATTAAAAGGGAACTTGAGTGAGAGACTTATTTAATAAACACACTGTAGACACGTTAAAAGCCGCAGAAGAGGAGGACAACAGTTTCAACAATGCCTTCCTTATTGATTAGTGATCAGCAAAACATTAAACACATTCCACTTTACTCGGCACCTCTCCATAATAATAATAATAATAATAATAATAATAATAATAAGTGGGTTTTGGCTGTTTATCATCTGCCAACCTGTGACACAAGTCTGTGTCATTACAGCAGATTAAACCAGTACCTCCATGTCCCACAGCAATGAATCACCAGTATGGAAATACGTGTTTAGAAAGGACAGTTTAGAGACGGTTTGTGACTTTTCTGGGAATCAGTCAGTGTAGTAATCACAGTGTTACCTTTCGTAAAGCTTGCACGAAGAGGCCTCTCCATTTGTGACTGTTCTCGTCACTTGAAAAGTCGTATATCTGCTGGGGCTGCATTGCTGTAGCGGCTCCTGGCGTTGCCGTGATCCGGGCTGAACTGTCAGCATCGGCCCCGGAATAGATAGTCCTTGTGGGTGGGTCAGTCCAGGGCAGGCACGGTGGTGGAAAAAAAAAAAAAAAAAAAGGAAAAAGAAAAAGTCCAACTGCCTCGCTTGCAAATACGAAGATTACACTAAACCACGCTGCAAGTCCGGCGATGAGTCGGGTTAAACAGCGAAAAACGAGCTTTAGACAGAAAAGAAAAACAAGCACATGTAGCTATAAAGTTAACTCGTTAGCTCGGAGGCTAGTGAGGCTAGCCTGCTGCTGCTGCTGTAAACACGGGACAGCGGCTAACTACAAAAAAAAAAAAAAAAAAAAAAAAGCTAACGGCTAATAACAATGTTGCTAAGTGTTATACTTGCTACTTGGCGTTTGCTAAAAAAAAAGCTTATAACAGGCACATTGAGTTCAGTATCAAGTCCCGACATGGGAGCTCAGCTGGCGGCCAGCTAACTACCGACACACGTTACGTTTTTTTTGGTTATTTTTGCTGCCTAAACACCTGTAACGTTAGCAGGCTAGCGTTAGCCGACTTGGCTAGCTGGTGCTACAGGCTGCTGCTGGCCTTGATGCGCTCCGAGTTTTATGTTGTGGCACACGACCCGTTCAGCTCCAAACGAGGCACACTTTCTCCTGCGCTGTTCACCGCACATTTAGTCATCTTTTCTGGAGCGATCGGCCGCTAAATCCAACGTGAATCCCCCAAACGGCGACCGGTCCGAGGCATGTCTCTCTCTCTCTCTCTCTCTCTCTGTGGAGCAGAGCAGCTGGAGAGCAGTCGAGGTGTTTTTTTTTTTTTTTTTTTTTTGTTTGGTTTTTTGTGGAGTCGAAGATGTTCGTACCAACTCCGCTGCCTGCCTGCCTGCCTGTCTGTCTGTCTGTCTGTCTGTCTGTCGTCTGCTGCTCTCTGCGCCGTGCGTCCGCTGTCAGGCACGCACGCTGCGTAATTTCACATTTTATTGGACAGAGAGAGAAAAAATAAAAAAAACAAGGCTGGACTTATGTGTTATTTCATATTGGAGGATCTCACACTGTCGACAGATTCATTGTTTTATTTTTTATTATTCATATAATTCTTATAAAATCCAACCTTTACTTATTCTTCCTGTAATGGTTATACAAAAAAAACCACAGTAAAAAAAGAAACTACATTTATTTGATTACACAAGTTGATGCAAATAAATCCACTTTTTTCAAGTTGGTATAAAAGCATTAATAATAAACATACATATATATGTATATATACATTAAGAACAGCTGGTTTTAACAATAGCATCTAATTGAGACATATTTTGTGCTTTGCAGTGTGTTTGTTGCTGTTATTCTGTCCCCTTGTGGACAAACTGCACAAGTGCATGAATAATGATGGAACCGCTGCAAACAACCTGTGGTACACTAGTTCCCAACCTTTCTCCTTAAGGGACACTTTTTATTTTATTAAGTAAACTGACGACCTCTAACTTAGTGGCATACATTTAATGAATATTTCATATTATATTCAAAACTGTGCAGTGAGTTTGGGTTTGAGTCATTTGGATGAATTTTGAGCATTTTTAAGGAACTGTTTATACAATCATCTGTCTGTCGCAAGAAATGCAATATGCAAATCGCATAAGATAAAGTTGTTTGATAAAGGTAAAATATGTGACACAACAGTAATACGTATAATGAAGTACTGTAGAGCTGCAGAGATCCCTTGACATACAAATATTGTTCTACAAATGTAAGAAATCATGTTTGTTTGCTACAGACCCCCCCTAAAAAACTTCACATCTTTGTGATGCCGAAATAGTCATGTAGCTTTCCTTTAAACACAATTTCCCGTCTCTATGCACCTTGAAAGTAAATTAAGTTGTGCCAAAAATCCCTACTTTTCCCTCTAATATTAAAAAGTTCCCTCAGATTAACACACCAAAGAACATGTAGGTTATGTTTAAAAGTCATATGGTACAAAACACAAACACTAACATATTTGCTTTTCAAAAATATGCATTTATGGTACAAATACTTTAACATTCATTTGTCTATAAATGTGATTTTATTCGTGCAGTACGTGAAGCCCCTGAAGCTGTAACACAGTGAAAACATTCTAGCAGAATTATATGGAATCACCGTCTACACACACATTAACAACTTATAAAGAGTGTTCTCAGTTTATAACAGTGTAAATATGACATAAGACTATATTTAGTCTTGATATGATTAAAATTGATTATTTAAGCTGTCAAATGAAGTAAGAACAACCGTTTCTCTTCATGAATTGTGCGTTCTGCAGCTATAACCCAACTTTAAAAACTAAGGATCATCTTCTTACATTTAATCATGAAATATTTTGTTTTTTGAGGACAAAAAACTCTTTTTTATTGTCAAATTAACTTTTGGGATGAACATTTTGGACTGAGACCAGCAGGCTTTACAATATTCAGACAACAGACAAACTGCTCTCATGTAGTAAAGAAAAAAAACACACAATTTCATACCAGAATTGCACTCTTTAAAATCCCTCATTTAAAATGATCAATCTCCCAAAAGTTCACATAAAAAAACAAACAGTATCTTAGTGTATTTTAACACTTGTGGCAGTAATTTAATGTTTCAAATTGATAATATTATTGAAGCTGTACCTTTTGTCCTATGCTTAACAGTTTGACCAACTCATGATACTCTTTCAATGTTGACAGGAAAATTAATGTTTACTTAAAATGTAGTCAACATATTGAGCAACCTGAAATAGCACCACTCAAGTTAAAAAACAGTCTTTAAAAGTCAAAGATATCTGACTTTCTCCACCTAAAATAAGGCTTGTAATAAAAAAAGTATCCACGATGACAGTGATGCTGAGGTAGTGACAGCTGGATACAATAATATAATTTCACTTCGCGTCTCTTTTTTTCCCTCTACAGCGTGAAGCGAGTCTCCACCTCGTCTGCGATCATTTCAGCAATGGCAAGGGAAGAGGTCGCTGCCGGCGAGGGAGCGTTTCGCACATGGAGCACCCTGCTGCCCACATCCCCGACCCCGCCGTCAAACACGAAGTCATCCACGAGGTTTCCGTCTCGGTCGAGAGCCTGAGCTCGAACTCCGGCAGGACCCCTGCAGAGGAAACAACAACCAGGGTTACAGAGTCATCATTTATCATCTTACTCTGTGCTGCTGAACTTGCCATAGACTCATTAAAAAGCACCAGTGTGTAGGATTTGGCGGCATCTAGCGGTGAAGTTGAACATTCCAACTAACTGAACACCACATGTCTGTATTTAACGAATAAGAACAGGCTGTGAAGTGTTGAGGAGAAACTACGGGTGGCTGCAAAATTCGAGAACACAAAATGCCTTTTCTAGAGCAAGTGTTTGGTTTGTTCGCTCCGGGCTACTGTAGAAACATGGCGACCTTTGGCTCATTTTAAGGTAATAAAAATACAACAATTCCTATATTCAGGTGATTATACACTAATGAAAACATACTTATGAATATTATATTCTATTTCTGACAATAGATCCTTAAATGTTACACACTGGACCTTTAAGTGCACCTAGTAATAAAAACCTGGTACGATATAATGTGCACGCATTGTTGTTCTACCTGAGCACGTCATTGGGCGAGAGTTCAGGGATGTACTTCCGCAGGATTTTAACCTGCGCACCAGTGACAACCCCTCTGTACATTTCTCCAATCCCGTACGTAATGTTCCTCAATACCAGCTTCTGAAGGCCCCTGCACAAAATAAACAAAACAGACAAAAGAGAAAATATTCATTCTCACCTATGATGCAACAATTAACACTGTAGTTGGATAGTTCCAGGAAAGTACACAGATATGTTGTACCTGAATGAGAGTGCATCTGCGAAGTCTCGTGCGTTGAAGTCGTACACTTTATAACCCTCCCTTTTGAAGGCGAGGACTGCGTTGGGGCCGAGCCAAACACTTCCATCCATCCGCGGGGTGAAGTGAACTCCGAGGAAGGGGAAACGAGGGTCGGGGACCTATACGTGTTTATATAATGAAGCAGCAACAGTGAAGAAATCTCATTGTTTTTATCACTTCTGTAATGTGTTTTTGTATTATATTGTTAAAGCACTGTAGTAGTGTTACATTACTGCGTTACAGACAAATGTAATGTGATTACAGTAATGTAGTACACCAACACTGATCAACACTCCCCTCATTTCTTAGCCACCTCTGCCTGTAAAACCAAAAGCTTGTAAACTGGATTTATACTTTAACCTTTTTTTGGAGTAACTCTACTCTTATAAGCACGATGTTATTCAATATTTTATAAATCCCCATAAGTTAAATTCTCTTTTCCACAAACCTGCTAAGTCATTGGTTTAGATTTTACGATTTCTCAAACCTGAATTTATAAAGATTTCTAGTTTTTATCTTCGGCTTAAATCCCGAAGCAGAGCAGGAGATTTTGAGGATGAAACCCTTTTCCCCAAAACTATTTTTAGCTGTCAGGGATCTGCTTGTAAATCAATCTACTGCAAGTGAGGGATTGAAACTTAAGAGGAAATCCAAACTGGTATCAACAACAGCTTCTCAAATCATTTCTACCCTGACCATCAGACATCCAGAGGCTGCAGCTTAATGATCTCATGTTACATGTTTTTTAAGGTGTGAATTCCTTTAAACTTAAACTTTAGCCACCTCTTTTCTGCCACTCGGGGCCGCCAAAGTTTGAAGCTGCAGAGCACAGCTTTAAAGAGACTGGAGATCTGTGATGAAAAACATCGTTAGCAAACTTACAGGGTAGATATTTCCCTTGACCAGATAGTGTTTCTCTGGTTTCAGGACCAAATAATCTCCTCTGAAGGGCACAATCCGTGGCTCCCGACTGCAGCCAGACATCTGTGACAGGCGGTCTGAGTACAGGCCTCCACAGGTCAGAACATAACGGCACCGCACCTCGTTACCCTGTTAAAGCAATACAACGCAAAGAGTAAAAACAACAGAAAACAATCTAAACACTGCGATGCTTTTATTCCCAAGTGTCTCACCTTTTTGTCTCTGACTGCGATTGGATATTTCATTCCTGCAAATCAATAATGAAATAGATACATATTGAGGTGGACTTTGAATACCTAAATGACTGTGTCATCATATTGATCGACAGAACCTGCTCATTACCCTCACTGCTCCCAGCTGGGCTCTCCTTCACCATGGAAATGTCATTGACCTCAGATTCAGTTACCACTGTGCCGCCTGCCTCCTCAAAGTCTTTGCCGTACTGAAGAGACACCATCCTCCAGTCCACAATGCCAGTGTAGGGCGAATCCAAGGCCATTATACCCTGCAAGGACGACACTCTATATAGGCCTTCACTGCCATATTTTTTTTATTTTCTTTATGAATAACAACAGCGTCTCTGAGACTCTCACCCTGCAGTACGGCTCTCGGTCTCGGATTCCCTTGGCGTCGACAATACTGAGATCTCGCACGTTGTTCTTCATGCCGCGCTCGTATAGAGCTTTCAGTCTGGGTATCTCCTCCTGCTCCACAGCCACGATAAGCTGCCAATGCAGAAATAAACTGATCAATATCAATATAGACACAACACAATAATCTATGGCAACTTGTGGACAGCAGTGCTTGCAAACCAGGTTTTTTTTTTTGCAGTTGCCAAGAGGTACATGGAAAGATTGTGGACTCGTTTTGAAAATGTTTAATGTTTAAATAGTTAAAGTAAAGGATAACCGGTTGAACAAATTAGCTAAAAGTCATGGATAAATAGTTGCAATAGTTAGCTAAAAGTAAGAATATAAAAGATATATCCCAAGACAATACAAATATGAAAAGATTCAAATCGGTGAGAGGAAAAATAAATCATCATACTCTTTAAACATTAGAGGGCAATGTCTATTTTTCACTTTGCTTGTTCGGTGTCAGTGGCTGTATGGAGCTGCAAAGACAACAGTTTTACTTTTACAAAGAAAAGCAAATATGCATTGTTTTGAGTATTTTATAACCTACATCAGAAATAAAAAAAGGATTCTCAAATTTGATAATGAAAATATAAGAGAATAGTTTGTGTGACAAATTGAGGAATTTTTTCAGTCATAATGTGTTTTTAATCATAAATCATAAACCCATATCATGAACTCAATGTCATGAATTGTATCAAATTGTGAGTTGAGTGTCCTGTTACATCCCTAGCTAATGTTTGGAATAGTCCAAATAATAATGGATCAATATGTTAATATAAAAAAAGAGAATAGGTATAGAATGTGTGTATTGCATGCACATTGTAATGTAATGTATTTATCTGGTTAAAACACTGAGACAGACCTTTCCACATTTCTTGTAAGGGAGTCCTTTCTTCTCGCAGTACTCGTAGGCTAAAGTGGCTCCTCGCACACACAGACGGGCCTTCAGCGACCCCGGAGTGTAGTAGATCCCACTGTGAATAACTCCACTGTTGTGCCCACTCTGGTGTACAGCTGGTGAGTTAGAAAGTGACAGAAAAATTTAAGAAAAAAGACAGAAAAGAAGGCAGCCAGCCTGCCTCTGCCTACCAGCAGCTCACTCACTCCCTCAAGCGCCTGAAACACACATTATCATCTTGATTGTTTGGTCTGTAGAAAAACCTATGTTGTGGTTTTACATTGGGTTCTGTGTTGGATTGTTTTTTAGCCAGGGGGGCTGTGAATTTCCCAAAATGTCGTACTTATTCCTCTAAGACCAGAAATGTCACTTCATGGATAACTATCTACCAAATGTTAACATGTTAAAGGCAATTACTTTAAAGACAACAAACCAAAGTTGAAAAAACACACAGAGCTCCTAAATCAGACTGGCAAGACACTGAACTTAAATTAAATCTTTTATTTTCTGTTTTAAGAAAGACATTTTCCTGCAGTTTCTTTCGGGATAACATGGCTGACAATGGGTGAACAGTGCAGGTCTTTACCCAATTCAACAGTTGTGCAGCACAATGGCAAGGTTGCAGTTCCTTAACCGTTAACACAATACCCTCCAATTAAAGCTAAAACTTGGCACTTAGCCCTCATAGTCATTGTCCTGGAGAACACAGCTCACCTTCCAAATACTCACAGACTACGCGGTGTAACTGGTTTTAATTACTGTGATACACAAAACATTTGCTTCTTTAAAACTACTTGTTGTCTTCATTCACCACAACAACAACGTTCAAACCTCAACCCACCGAGCTCTTTTTCTTTCTCCAGCAGAATGAAGCTGAGCGACGGGTGTCGCAGAAGGAGCTCCCTGGCTGTGGCCAGACCCACGATGCCGCCTCCAACCACGGCCACATCATATGTGCTGAAATACAGACAACAGGGGAGGTTAGAGAGAGAGAGCAAAGTTAAGATGCTTACGGGCTACCAAACAAACCAAAAGTTTGCAAAAGGTAGAAAGCAAAGCAGATTTAGGTCAGTGGTTCAATGTCCAACTGTATGACTGTATGTATGAGCAGCCAACAGACCTTTGAACTCATCCAGGAGGGAAACATGATACAAGTGTTTTAGTTCAGTGGTTTTCAAACTGGGGTCTCCCTTGAGAACAGAACCCCCTTTGAGTGGGTTGTCGGGCGTCCTCAGTAAAAGGAGAAACAGAATAATACATTTTTTGGAAGTTGAAACGACAAGAAAGGAAACAGGGTTGGCCGTTTTTAATAATTGTAATTTATAGTGAAGCCAGTTTGATCAATAATTGACATGAAGGCTTTTATTACCTTCAAACCTAAATATAAAAAAAACACTTCTCAAATGGGAGGTATGTTGTCTAATGTGCATCTATTGTGGGAGTCCTCACAAACATGGATAAGTTTGTTGTAGTTTACAGGCTATTTGTATATCCTCCGTCACAAAACAAGTAAACATAAATACTACAGACTACTATGTAGTGGGTGGGCTCACAATGTAAGCAGCAGTTCCAGGATATCAAACTTGTCCAACAACCTCCACAGGATTTTACATAATGAAACATTTACACAGACATGGAAGAACACAATGTTCAAGCCTGGGAGAACATTTAAAAATCCTGTTCCCTCATGAACGCACAGGACACTCGAAACAGTAAACATCTTGTTTTTGTTTACAAAAATTAGAACCAGACAAAGTGCTGGAAAACTCAACAGGGGGAGGAACCAATAAACCCCAAACAGAGAAAAAATGTTTACGAGCATTATATTCCTATCTGCGTCTATAGAGGGTCCCTGTTTAGGAGCACCTAAAAGAAGCATGTGCTAAAAGTGTTAATATAATTAAGAGAAACGTTGCTTCAAGGGTTTTGATCCTTAGCAATCAGAGACGTAGAACAGGACTATTTGAACTTGTAAAAACTTGTACAGCTGTTCTTGTTTAAACCTGAAGAACATTTAATCTGTCAACCAACCTGAGATTAAATTTAATGGGTTGCTGGTCTCAAAACAAAGTGAAGAAGTTACCCAATTGTTCTGAATCAATAACTTGAAGTTACAACATCTCTATATCACAGTTTACTTAAAGCAGGCTGAGGGACGGGCTGAGTAACAGTCTGTAGGTCTAATATGAAACACATGCTGCTGTCTTGCCTTCCTAAAGATGCAGCTGACTGACAGAGAAAATATTTGTCTTTTTTGAAGGACTAAATGTGCTCTGACAAATAAAAGTTTAAAAAGGCATGCACATGTGGATGTAGCATGCTTGGTTGGGGAGGCACAGTGCAGACATACATGTTTTGTGTGTATAAACAATGTGTTGTGCAGACATTATGCAATCTGCTTCTTGGTGCACGAAATGTCCTTAGCAGAAACTGGGGTCAATTAAAAAGTAAAAGGTATTCAGAGGAGGTGCCCGAGTCTTCCCCCTTTGTCTGTCCTGTGAGTTTTAAAGCAGAGAAACAAGAATTCACTGAACACCAATGTCAGTCTCACCTGTGCAGCTGCCTGGTTGTAATGTCCTTTAGCAGTTTGGGTTTAACTGCCCCAACAGCCTTAAAAGAGCCACCACTGAGTGTCCGGATCATTATCACAGCGTCTAACAGCCCCTCACAGTCTCTTCTTCATTGTACAACCACCACAAACACGTTTCCCTGAGCTGTTGCTCTTGTGTTTTGTCGCTCCTGTTGCCTCCGGTGTGCTAACCTCCGCATCCTGCTTTCCCTGTGAAGACGTAGCCACGCCCTCCCCTCCGCGACGTTCCGACGTTCAGCCAATGAGAGGGCACGTCCCCCCCCGTACGTCACTAGGTCAAAGGGTAGAGCTAATGGCCGCGTCCCAAATGTAAACAGTCGGATGAGGTGAGGAAACTGTCCTGTGTCGCAGTCGTTTATTTAAAGTGTCTGAAACGGTTTGTTCAGTTTAATTAGTTTTAATTTGTTGTTGTTGTTGTTGTTGTTGTTGTTGTTGTTCAGATAATATGAAGCTGTTATCGAGGGCGGTGCAGGCGGCGCTGAGTCCGAGGGAGTGGAGCCGCAGACACTTCTGGGGCTGGCTCAATGCTGTCTTCAACAAGTGAGACAACATATTACCTGGAATAGATTAAGGACATGCATGTGCGAGCTGGTAGCTGCACAGAAATACCTGTAGATGATCTATGAGCTGACAAAGCTCTCGACACACATAAACACACACATAACCTTATAAACCTGGTCACCTGACCTATTTCTGCTACCTTGTGGGTATTGTATGTTTATATTTTTATAAATATTATGTTTTTGTTGAAGCAGCTTTTTTACAAAGGCCTTGATTCAAAAGGACTTTAAGTATCAACATTTAAAGTATTAGGTCACCTTTCACCAAACCACTACCAAATCATATACTATATTATCAGATAATTATTACTATAACGTCACTGTTAATGTGCCATAATGTATATATTAAGGTTATTTGTCGTTTTACAGCACAGTGTTGCACAATGAGATGTAAGTTGTAGCCCCTTCATGCTACAAACACATAAACCTATATACAAATATTTAAATAAAACAATATATACAGTTATTTATATACATGTGTATCTGTACATGTATAACGGCAGCAACAAGACAGTGTTGATAATATGTTCGGCATCTTAACATGAAACACTTGACAGCAGAAACAATATTTCATGATAAAATAACTTGAACTTGAAAATAAAAAACAAATACCTCAGTATTGACAATTCTGTGACATTCAGGTTATATTAAAATATTTTGATTATAAAGTATAATTCCATATGATATCATCTCATATTCACAATATTGATATCTTGTCCAGCTCTTTGTTGCTCTCACAAATCACAAATAGGACTAAAATTAACCATTATTTATTATGTAATTTAAAGTTATTAACACTTTAGTCTATAAATTGTTCAAAAATATGAACAATCCCCATCACAAGATATCAGAATCTAATGCACCCTGTGGTCTTTTTATTTTTATATTACCAAAATATTCCCAAAAAACTTTTGTCAACTTTTTAAAGTAACAATGAGCAAATATTGTGTTTTATTTGATAAATAACCAAATAAACAAACAGTGGCAGATTTCCTCAGGTTCAAACAACTGGCCTGGTGGGCAGGTTGCCATTTGAACTTTATCTATTGTAACCCTTTTGACTCTTCTCATTTGCCCTTTCACTACCAACCAAACATGACGTATATCACGTCACACGTGAGCAACGTGTACCGTACTTTGAGCGTTTTTGTTGATCTTCACTCAGGGTGGACTATGAAAGGATCAAAGCTGTTGGTCCGGACCGAGCTGCAGCAGAGTGGCTGCTGAGATGTGGTGCCAAAGTGAGGTTTCAAGGTTTCGAGCGCTGGCATAACGACTACAACGCACTGCCAACTGGACCTCTGGGCAGATACAAGATCCAGGGGATTGACGCCACCGAATCCTGCATCATGTACAGAGGGTTTGACCACCTGGGTCAGTGTTACACTGCTTTAAAATATTACCTTCTTGTCCTTGTGAATTGTCCCACTCTTATTTCCATTTCCCTCCATATGGTCATGGATGTTCTCCCTTAAATAGATTTAACACAATTTAAACTCTTTATAAAGTTACCTACTGCAGCTTTAACTTGATAATATTCCATAATTAAGATCCTGTTGGTCAACAAAATATATAAATAGTATATTTCTTTGTTTATAATATATTTATGTACAGTAAAACTATTGAGGAGACTGACTTTTCTCTCTCTAAATTTCAGCCTGTTAACACACACAGTTTATAGGCTTATAGTAACATTAACATTAACATTAGCATTTCAGTGTAACATGTCAATGTTACCATTCTATGTTACAGGTTAATTTAAATGTACAGCTGGTAAATCCAACAAATCCTCATTAATTTTAATGACTGAGTATAATTTGACACATTTTAAGATACTAGTGTCGCTATAATAGAGTTACCTGAGTTTCTATAAGATACCAATACATACAGTCCAAGCTTATTAAATGTTGTCTAAATACAAACATCTGTAAAATTGTCAAAATGTTGATTATGAAAACAATTTGACAAAAGAATAAGTAAACAAGAATATCAATCAGACCAGACGTTGATGCCAGCTTCTTCTGATATTCTGTGTTACAGACATATTTTAGTAAATCAGTACCAAAAAAAATATATTAAAAAAAATAATAATGAAGTTCCAATATCCAGGTGAAAGGTCATAATGAACTGTCTGACCTGTTGGTGGCGCGAGAATAAAAGTCAGGAGCTCACCAGTGTCTTTAGGTTTCATCCTCTGGCAATCCCTCCAATAGTTGTCAACATATTTCACGCTGAACTTAAGTGTTAGATTAAAATATTAATGAGCTGATTAAAAGCCCGTCTAATCAAACATTAAAGCCATGTTCAGAAAGTGTAAATTTTGCATCGAGCATGTTAACATGAGCTTGACCTAGAACGTTGACCTGAAAGTGATTCCTCTCGGTGTTAACAAGAAAGGAAAGGTGACGGTGAAAGTGCACCTCTCCCAGACTGATTATCAAAAAGTGACGCAAGCGAGCGGGATGTTTTACACCGAGCTGGCACACGGATGGTGTGGTCTGACCCCGCTGGCTGCTGCTCTCCGAACTGTGTCCACACAGATGTATTTTGGTGTAAAGTCCTTCTCCGCTTATGTAAATATAATCGGTTAACAGTGTGCTGTGTTTTTTTTCTAGACGGTTTGAAATATTTGGAGGAAATAAAGTTCAAGAAGTGTATCTACATTGAGGACACCTGCCTGGAGAAGTTGAGCTCAATAGAGAACCTACAGGAGACTATGTACATGATGGAGGTGGTGTCGTGCGGGAATGTGACCGATAAAGGCATCATCGCCCTGCACAAACTCAGGTGAGTGTTTGTTTTTATATGTTTTTATAAATAAATCTGTTTAAATGACACTGATTTGTCCTTTTAATGTATTAATTCCACACAGGAATCTGGAGTATCTGTTTCTCAGTGATCTTCCTGGAATCAAAGACAGAAATACGACAGTTGACAGACTGCAGACGGCACTTCCCCGTCTGGACGTAGTGCTGGATCTGGACTGATGGAGAAAACACTTCCTGTTTTAAGATTGTAAAATAAGGACGCCTTTTTCGAAGGTTTTCAAAGTAAAAGACTCGATCTTGAAGGAGGACAGACTGCAGCATGAGGGGCTGTGATCGTTCGACATGTAGATCCTTCAGTTAAAACTTTAAGTGTATTTACATGTGAATCATTACGTTTTTGTTAAATGAGAGAGGGAGAACAGCAGCAGCGTATTCGCTCCTGTGCTTTTGTACCGGGATGTACTTTATCCAGTAAATCTTGAGATTGTCTTGTGTTGCACATAGAAAATGTCATGCATTGACTTCACACTGACCTTGTTAATAGGAATCACAGTACAGGAGATGTTTTATTTAATGGAGGTAATATGTTTGAAGTATTGTTGGTGTTTTGTGGAGAGAAAGAGAGAGAAGAAACTTCAGTTTTAACTCTGTTTACAAATTAACCAGGATGAATGCTGCAGTTTCCTGACAGATTTTCATCCTTGTCACTAAATCCAAACATCCAAAAAGGGTGAAATTTAAAATAAGTGCAATTAGGTTAGCAGTTTATAATCAGACAGCCTTTCTAACGAGTCCCTTCAGGATGTCGCAGGATTTTTGGGGGATTGTTGCAACTTAAAATGCCTGATTTTAAATGCAATTAAATTAGGGGAGAAAGTGAAAATTGCAAAAATAGTTGCATTTATATTTTTTTTGTATAATTCATTAAAAATATCAAAGGTAACTCGTCCCAGAGTTTGGAGGATTCTGAGTAACCAAAAAGGCTCAGGATTATGAGGGTAGATGTGAGACCTTTGTGTCACACATGTTCTCATGATCTGCATCTTCACAACCAGAAACAAGGAAGTGGGTTTGGTAACATATGGCTCAACATTTCAAAACTACAATGATTGGTCAAATTTTGTGGAAAAGAAGAAAGAGAAAGAGAAGAAGGAAGAGAGAACAGCAGCAAGGTCTGACTTCATGGGAAATTATTCACGTTCAAGCTTTAAAGAAACACTCCAGCAAAGAGAAGCATTAAAGCACTTTATATTGTTGATACCAGTTTTTCTTTATGGAATGAACTATTCAGTAGTTTATTATAACATTTAAAAGCTATTAAAGATTGCTCTACATGTCAGTACACAGAGAAAATAATTTATGAAATGCTGAGGACATCAAGGATTCAAGAGTTTAAATCATTTCTCTTTAGGTTAATTTGGCAATTCTACAATATCTGAGGACAGATAGATGGCTGTGAACATCCTTAGCACCAAAGTTGTGTAAGTGAGTACAATGTGGTATTGTGAATGCTATATGCTAATAAATGTGGGAATGTTTACAACTGTATTCACTCCTCAAGTCAATAAATATTTTCAGAAATGATCATGAGTCGTTATACGTGACGAAAAATAAAGTTTGTGTCCTACATTATAACTTATTCCAGACAATTAAACAACAGAAAACTCTAACAAAAACATGTCACTCTTACAGAGTCCGTTGTTATATATAAAAAAAATACATTTGGCAAACCAGGCAAGGCAGTACGTTGTAGTTTTACCTCAGTCTACTCTATGAGCAGAGCAGCACATCGCTCCTTGTCTTTACACATCTATACAAAATACAACAAAATCAGCTTGAAACGTAGGCAACATACATGAACCAACATGTTTGAGTCCACATGTTGGGAAATAGTGCATAGACTGACATCAACATCAAGAGACACCCGACACCCAACGTCATGAACAAAAACTTTAAAAAGTGTTTGAATTCCTCTTGAATGAGTTAAACACCAAGGTGCTACCAGACTTCATTTCCTGAGTTTTTGTTGAGTTTTTTTTCTCTCCAGAAAATGCTGCTTTTTTGACGGTGTTTAATTCAGCTTTTGAGTTTAGATGTTCGGTAGGTGATAGTTGAACTTGCGCAGGTTGTTGTAGTACCTCTTGTTGTCCACAGCTGGAAAGATGCTGCTGCCGGTCAGCTGTGGCAAATACTGGATGGAGAAAGGATAAAGTTTCAGGGACAATTTTGAGAGCAATAAAAGTACCTTTACATGGATTCCATTATCTGATATGTTAGTGTTTTGAAAGCGCTGCTTTTAGGTGTAAAATCCAACTATAGGGGTGCTGAGGGCCCTAAAATCTGGCATAATGAAAATTATTAGTTTATAAAAAGTTTTTAAACTTATAATGACGTTCTCCTTTTTAACTAGGATTAATGTTGACACTCATATTTGTGGCAGGAAAGAGGGTTTGCCTTATTCTTTTTTTATCAGTTTAATCCACTAAAAAGTTTTAAAATGAGTGTAAAATGTTGTTCATAACTATTGAATAGGTCATAAATTATTCTGGCCATTCAAATTAGTGCATAAACAAGCATTTACTATGACATCATTATATACAGACATTATCTTAGCACCCACAACTCTGACTGACTAATCTGCCAGGTTGAGTACGGATTGCACACATTTTAAATACACGACATTCCCAACAACCTCAACCCTTTTTATTTAATTTTGTTGGATTCATCACCACCATACAGTGTGCTGGAGTCCTTGGGTGGGACAATATTGAATTAAATGTATCAATATTTGTATTAGTAGCAGCCATTTTGACATGAAATACTACTGCTACTTACCCCTGGAGGAAGGTGTTTGCGAGGTAAACGCGTCCTCTTGTTGCCGGAGCGGTCCTGCTCTCGTGAGGTGCTCTCGCTCTTTTCCCGCAGGCTGTCGAAGTACGGATGTTGGAGGAGCTGCTCGCAGGTCAGCCGCTCGGACGGGTCCATTCTCAGACAACCCTAAACCATCAAAACCATCAACATGAAATGGGAGTCAGTGAAGGTCACAGCCAGACAGCCACCAGGAGATCTAGTTTTTATTTGAGTGGCAGCTCTCAGGAACATTTTGTGGAAAGTCTGATTATGGCCAGAATTAGAGTTAGAATACAAATTCTGATTAGAAGTAATTTAAAGATCTTTGCCTTGAAGCAGGATTTTTAATGACCTTTTTTTAAAATACATATATCAGACAGTAAAAGAAATGCATGCATATTTCACAGGATTAAAATACAAACTTTAATGTACAAAACCTGTGTACTCGGTTAGAAATGTATTCAGATTTTGGCTGTATGTCACAGATTATAAGATTACAATCTCTTTGTTTTAAGATGACATTATTACCTTCATGAGACTCAGAGCTTGATGTGAGAGATTTGGATATTTCTGCTCCAACGGCTCCTGAAGAAAGAAAAAAAAAACAACAAAGACTCAGTATGTTTTTGACTTTTCATTATTGAACCTTTGTGTGCTGAGTGAAGGCTATAGGACGTAGATGAAATCTTGTGTGACGCAGGCAGATGGAGCACATGTGGACGGACTGTGTGGTGTGTCTCACCATCTCTTGTGGCTCCGGGATGGAAACTCCACAGAAGAACTGGTTGTTGCTGAAGACCTGCTGGTGTCGAGGGATCAGATCTCCTGTAGAGCACAAGAAAGATGAAGATAACAGACAATGAATGTATTTTAAATGTTTTTTTTAATTAAAGTTCATAGATATTTTACAGTTTCATCCAAACATTTCAAAACCCCTCCCATAACCAAGAATTTCCTGACAGCAGAAAGATGTTTTTCTTGCTTTTTTGATGTTTTATTCTAACATATTAAAAAAAAACTCTTATAAACACATAAGCTCAAGTATCCAGAATAAAAAAAACTATGTCTATGATAATCTATGATAGGAATCTCCTGATAATAATGACATATTTAATGTTTCTGTGAATATTTGCTAATTGATGCACAATTTCCTGTTTTATATTTTGTGATTAATGTATGTTAATTGTATATAAATCTATAATAATAAAGCCCTGCTCCCTGTTTCAAAGCTTTGTATTTATTTTTAATATTTAATCCATCTCTACCCAGCAGCTGGTAGATCTCACCAAGAGTCTTCCGGATCAGGTAAAGCTGGTCCATGTCAGACTTCCCGGGCCACAGAGGGATCCCCGACAGCAGCTCAGCGAACACACAACCAATTGCCCACACATCCACCGGAGGGCCGTACTGAGTGTCTCCCACCAGCAGCTCAGGGGCCCGGTACCAACGAGTTGCTACGTAGTCTGTGTAGTAGTCACATGGACCAGCTGATGGCACAAAAACACAGAAACATAAGTGAGTGTTACAGTAAGAAAACGTGTATAGATGTCATCTACCAAATACGTCAGTGTATTCGCCGTATTTTTTTCCCGATCACAAGTATCAATCAGTATTTGTTCAGTAATATAGATACTTTAAGTGTCCATGATGTTTTAAATCAATGGCTCCCAAAGACACCTTGTATAACGGTATATAACTATGAGTTATAAGCAGCAATTTTCCCTTCACAGATTGTTAGATTTTAATATTTTTTCTGGCTTGAAGAGGTAAAAATCACTATTTCTTTTTACTATAATTACTATAAATTGGAAAAGACATTGATTAAGTGCTGCTTTAGTACCAATACTTTAAACCTTCCTTTCAGTAAAACCTGAAACACACAGCATTTAATGACTGAAGCCTTAAAATACAAAGTCCAGTGAATGCAACATGTCCACCAGGTGGTGCTGTCAGATATGTATCAGCTGTTGATAAAGTCTAAAAACTTACTGAGAATCCTGGCAAACCCAAAGTCACAGAGTTTGATGACTTGGTGTTTGGTGATGAGAATATTTTCCGGCTTGACGTCTCGGTGAATGCACTGCAGGAACAGAAACAGTCCAATTAAATCCCTGTTTTTCAATACTGTCTTCAGATGCTTGTGGTTGTGACATGCTGAAAATAAAGTGTGTGAATGAGTGAGAAACAGTAAAAGGAGAGAGAGAGGGAGAGAGTGCTTTCTGGATTTCATGCCGCCCTGTTAAATAGGGGCCTTGTAGCATTTGTTGTGTCTAGGTGATACATTAACTGCTGGTCAGCCAAGGGGAAGGAATTCTTGTTAAAAAAAAAAGAGCCATAAAGTAGTCGGCCTGATGGGAGCTGGAGGAGGGAGGAGACCAGAGGAATTCAAAAACAAGCTGAAGGGGACGGTTTGACAACTGGAAAAATATTCCACATTAGGAGACTTACGTTTTGTTTGTGACAGAAGTTTACAGCTTGAAGAGTCTGCCAGGTTATACTCTTCACAAGGTGCTCGGGAACGCTGCACGACAGGAAAGAAATCAAAAAGATTAATTAAATTAAGCAGTTAACTGGAAAAGAGAAGTTAATCTATTTCAATTTGAGGTCAAAGATTCAGTATTAATGTTGGAAAAAGCAGCTGGACAAAGAAAAAAAAAACATTATTTTTGTTCCAACCAGACTATTTGTGTATTAACACACGTCTGGAGGAGATCTTAAAGTAAAAGCCACAAATGTCAGCCTCATGGTGACGCTAGAGGAAAAAACCATCAGATCAACAAAGTCAGAGAGATTCATCCTCTGGGAACCATGAATGTATGTACAAAATTACATTTTCAAAACATCCAACCATTTAAGTCTGGACTAACAGACGGACAGTGGCATCCCTGGATCCACGCTGCTACTTGTTTGGGTTTGAGGGATCAGGAATGAAAAATGATTGAATATAAATCTAAAGAAGCCTGAAAGGAAACTAATATCTCCTCCTTTCTTGGTCTACTATTGCTGTCATCTCTAGTTTCTCCTCAGTCCTGCTCTGTTTTTCAGACACCTCTTTCCCCCTCAGACAGCTGTGAAGGACAGTGAGCCGTCCTGCCGCTTCCAATGTGCGCCCCGGATGTTCAACACTGAGGCTTTTGTTGGTTCAGGGACCATCATCTATCAGTGTTGCCGGGGAAATGGCTAAATCGAGCCTTGTGACTGGCAATTAATAACAATCCCCCCCCCCACCGGCCTCGCCACTTTGTTTTCTCTTCTTTTGAACCGCCTGTGTTCAGGAGGCTACAGGCCAGGACCAGAAGGGGAAAGCCAGACAGCGAAAACACTCCGTATAAAATGTGGCCGAGCCTAAAGAGTCCCGACAGCTCCCCCCGCCAGCAAAGCATTCTGGGAGAGCATCACTGTAAACATTCCACAGTGAGCAGGTCAGCTTCCTGGGAGACGAGCGTTGTGCCCGTCGCAGCTGGACAAAGCGCAGAGTACGGTGTGGTATACGTGTAATGTAGAGATAATAGAAAGTACACAGCGCTTTGTTTAATCCAGAGCCACCGTACTCAGATTTATGCTCTCATTACCTCAGTGTGACAGAGCTATATGAGTACAGTACACTGAGCTGTGTGTTCATTTCATATAATTCAGAAATAAAGTCCTTAAGTAGATATATATTGGTTTTATTGCACACCTTTATAAAGTCTTTATTATATCGCTGCCTGGGATGGACACATAAGGCTGTATTTGGTGCATAAAGCCTTAAAGTTTATTTGATTAATTTTGTATTTTGTGTTTGTTGTTGTACTTTATGTCTTTGTGTTTTTGTTTTTTAGTGAATATTCGGACACGTGTGTATTTGCAGGTTGTTTAATGGCTGAATAAAACAAACAATATTTGAGATAAGGCAAAAATGTGTAAAATCAAAACTACTTTTACACTTTTGGAAACAGCAGATGACCAAAACAAATCTCACCAGCATCTAGTAGCTGTTCCAGAGCTTTCGATTGTATCACATGATCTTCAGCAGATTCAACTTTAAAAGTCTTTAAATTCTCATAAAAATTGATATTTTAATGTCCGTCTAACTGGACAAATGGCCTCCGCTGATGGCGATCAATTGAGCGACAGGCTGAGTCAGTCGTACTTTAGTTACTCATACGGAAGCTTTATGCAACAGGTTCATTTAAGTGTCTACAGCAAAGTACAGACCAGGTATATTTTAATGTAACTGGCCACTGATTGTTTGCAGCACTAGTTAGCTTGATTTGGAGCCATGCTAAACCCTATTTACAAGTGTCAGTGATATTAATATTTTTGTTAATGCAAATATTGATCTGTTTCTGCATCTAAAAAAACTTTCTTTTAGTTGTTGCATAAGTGCCTGAAAGTGCTTGACTGCAAGTTGTTAGGTGATTTCAACTCTTAGATTCATATGGAATATTGGTTGTTATTGTTTATTCTTTAAGTTGTGTGTTTCATGGTGCATCTCTGTAGCTCAGTGAGTTAAAGCATATAAACATGTGGATGGATGGATTTGTATTTTATTTTGTTAAAACTTCCATTAATAGCCTTTTATTTGCTTCAATCACTGAACCTATATATGGGACAGGGAAGATGGGAAATACTGTTTATTTAAACCATTATAAATATCACTTCATTTGCTCATTTGATGCTTTGGTGCTCACACTGTCTGTAAAATTAAAATGATTGAATTGTGGAGAATCTAACAGACTAATGATCCATATTGACAAGTGTAAACATTTGTATTTGTGTACACGGTCTAAGTAGCTCAGAACTCAAGTGGGCAACACGTGGGTTTTATAAAGGGGACCCTGCTTTGACTTTAAGTTTTACAGTATGTCATTTAACTATCTATCAAAGTGCACACACTGCTTTGCTTTCAGTAAACAGTCTAGAGACACACCCACCCTCTAGGATGGCGGTCCAGCTCGTTGAGGACCGTGTGGTCGCAGTACTCGAACACGAGGTGAAGCTTCCGTTTGCGTCGGAACACCTCGATCAGATTCACCAGATTGGCGTGTTTCAGTTGCTGTGCGGACACAAAACACACAAAAAAAAACGTCTTAGCACACACATACACACACACACACACACACACACACACACACACACACACACACACACACACACACACACACACACACACACACACACACACACACACACACACACAGAGAGAGAGAACTGTTTGTACATCTAGAAAAACATCCACACAAAACACAGTTAAAACTAAGCAGAGAACTGTATCATCTGTGGTTTGCTCTTATCAAACAAAACTGTTAACAGATGGTAATAAACATGCTGTTGCCCCTGACAACCTGTCCCCATCCTTGTCCCATTCATGAGCTCCTGGTGTCCAGCAGGCCACTAACACTCCCACCCACCGCATGACTAATTAAACCACAAACAATTGTACCAGTGCATCTTTGATAATTACTGTGCAACATAAAGCAAACAGGCAACACAATTAAAAGGAAATCTTTGCTCTCTATCAGCCAGGCAACACTTTAGTGCTTTAAGATTAATTCATTAACAAGAATATTTTTCTTGCATCCAGAATCCAAAACAGCTGAAACCAGAGTAGTGATTTTATCCTGGTGCCAAAGTCTTTTCACTCAAAGGATGTTTCTTATGTGCTGTTATTAAATTTACCCATTCTGATTTAAGGACTTAGGCCAGCACTGACACTGCAGGACTTTTCCTTCGTTTGATTACAACCCTCTGAACCTCTTTTGAACGCGGCTCCTTTGAATGAGAGTTTCGCTGCGCAGCAGCTACAAAAATGCTTCCCTTCTGTCTGCAGAAGTAATTGCACAGTGTCCCTCCTGCTGGCTGCACAACAGAGGAGGAAGATTAGAACACGTATTTCACGCCACTAAAAACAGGATTTGAATCACTGGATTTTTGTTTGACTGTGTGTCATTACGTAATATTTCCAGAGTAGAATTACATTATAATATAAGTATGAGAGCAGACTCGACTCTGAGTAAAGAGAGAGTAAATTTTATTTACATGTAAAGGTGTCGTTGAAAGGTTAAAGGTTAACTTCTGTAGGTAATACAGACATAATGTGATTCAGTAATAGAGCATATTGCTATTATGGCTGATATTTGGATTAGTTGTTTGCATGAACTCAAAGTTTCATAAGAATTTAGTGTAGAGTGCAGGAAAAGAAAAATAAAGTTAGTCATAATAAAATAAAGTAAGATTTTGTGATAAAATGTCAACATTTTGACCTAAATTAAGAAATAAAAAGTTTTTATCTTATAATTTTGACTTGTAAATCCAATTTTAGACTTCTTTTCTCACAATTTTTAATTAACAAGCCACATTTTGACAAACTAAATCAGACTTTTCCCTCTCATAGTTTTGATTTAATAAGGGAAAATTAACTAATTTGGACTTTTTAGTTCATAATATTGACTCAACAAGCCACATTGTGATGTATTAAATCATAATCTCCATACTATTTCATAATGTTGACTTTTTCCTCTCATAATTTCATTTTAATAAGCTCAAATTTAACCTACTATCTTATTATTTTGACATTTTTCTCTTATAATTAAGATTCAGAAGGACAAAATAATTTTACTTACTATTACTACTAGTTTTGTTGTATTATCTCAAAATTTTGACTTAATAAGTAAAAACTCTGTCTTTTTATCTCATAATTGTGCCATAGGATTAGCATTTAAAAGCTATTTACATTAACATTTCCCTGGCAGAAATAGGCTTCCATAAGGACTTTAATGGTCAAGGTTAATAAAGTGCTGTTACCTTGAGCATCCTGATCTCCCTCAGTGCAATCTTTTTGATGATGGGATCGTCCTCTGACTCCACAAACTTCTTGATGGCCACTATCTGCCCAGTGTCTTTGTTTCTGCACTTGAAGACGACGCCATAGGAGCCCTCTCCGATCTTTCCAATCTTCTCGTACTTCTCCATCCTCAGGCTGCACCAGCAGACATCCAGAAGTTAAAAACACTTTTCCAGGGAGGGTCCCAGGAGGCGGGACTGTCTCTGCGGAGGAGACACAGGAGGGGTCCTCAGCAGGGACAAACACACAGGGAGAGGAAGAGTAATTTGACCACCTGGTGCTTTTATGAACAGTTCACTCAATTAAAGCTGGAATAAATTCAATTTAAGGATCAAAGCTGGGTCAGAACTGTGTGATATGTGGGCTGGGTCTTTAATGGAAGAGACACAACAATGCTTTTCTAAAACATAAAACAGATTTTGGTTTATTTTGGTGGCTTTTCATGTTGTGATATCAGACATTTTGATTGACCTCTGCATCACTAACAAGAGAGCCAATGGCACAGAAATGTGTCATGCATAATTATCTGAATATATATAGAAAAGCACATTAAAGAATTTACATGCAGTGATAATTATGATGATTAAAATAATAAATAATAAAGTATGCTCAGATTGTGTTTTAACCTCTTGGATATGGGGGGTCAGAATGTTAAAATAACCTCTTTAAACTGCCTGCAAAAGATAGATTTAATTGCTTAGAGGCAACATTACACCTGTCTCCCAACAGTTAGATTGCGTAACGACAACATTTGCAATGCAAAGTATATTAAGTCATTTCCCTGAGGGGAGAGAGAGCGAAAACAGATAACAGAGTAAACAGCCAAGGGAATAAAATCAAAGTGCTGCACTTATAAACAGACAAACGAGGAAAACATTACATAATAACACAAACTGAGAATGAACAGCTGAGGATGCATGTTTATAACTCACATTAGAGGCTTTTTACGCGGTGCAGCAGCAGTTAATATAACCCTGCAAGTTGCCCCATGGAAGCAGCTGATCGCAAAAGTAAACACGTTTCAGTATTTCTATAAGGAATTCAATCATTTTAAAAAGACTTCTGGTTCAGGTCCGAACTTACTTTGAGTGAAAATGTGATGAGGTGAGAAATGTTCAGTCAGCTGAGGAGCTGAAGCTTCTTCCAAACGCGACACAAGCTGGAGGATCGCAGCTCAACTGTCCCTGCAGAGGACCGACGAGTCGGTTTTTAAAGCGTCAAGTCAGAGAGTGTAAATCTAGACATCCGGTTACACCCTTCAAAATAAAACACACGCGTCACTTCCTTTAGTTTCTATGTTTTGAGGGCAATAACAACAGAGACTTTTATTGCTCTTTTAATTGAGCTCCTGATTTTATATCAAATGGTTTTGTTGCAGTGAAGAAATCAGATCTTGTACTGAAGTAAAAGTAACAACATACAGTGTAGAAATACTAAATACTATGATCTTGATTGTATGTCATATTCTTGTTTATAATTTTGCCTTAATAAACCCAAACTGGACTCAGTATCAAATAATTCTGAATAAAACAGTAATAAGGACTGAAGTACAACAGCTACTGGTAATATAAATAGTAATGTGTATTTACATATACACCAGCCGCCAGACTTCTAACCAGAACCAGCCGTCAGTGTCACATTACTCCTGTTCTCGCATCCCTTCATTGGCTTCCTGTAAAATTCAGAATCAACTATAAGATCTTACTGATTACACATAAGGCACTTCATGACCTCGTCCCCAGTTACATTACAGATCTTCTTGTTCCTCTTTCCACTCCTCGGCCACTTTACTCATCTCTGTGTCAAAAAGGTGCTATGAAGATAAAGCTTTACTTACTTAGTTAACTCCAAACCTGATATTAAACTTTAGGCACAAGTATGGTCAAATGTTTTTTTCCTCGCTGCTTTTAATTTAAAAATGTAAAGTTTAAAATCATGTGTTTACAGTTGTGTTATGCTTGTTGATAGAATAAGCAGTTGCAGATGCCTTCCCAAACTATGTAACTGCTGGCATAACAAAGGAAAAGAGGTGACAAAAAGGAGGTAATAAAATCAAAACTTAATATAAATAGACTAACCTTTTGATCTATTTTTTGTGAATCAGCAAATCCTTCCTCTGGCACTATTTTATTTTTATTTTGAAGTTAAAATCATCTGACTTCCGCTACTATCCACAGACTCTCACTCTTTGCAACTTGATACATTTCTCCCTTTTCCACTCCAGTTCCCATAGGAACAGCTGACTCCACCTTCACCTCCATAAAATAAGGAAAAGCAGACTCCTGTGGGTTGTTTTTGTAGAGTTTCACACCTGACAGACTGAGTGTCAGAGGTGTGTTTAAAAATAAAGCTGCAGGTAAACTACAGTGAATGCCAGGAAAACACCCACACAGGTAAACAACTCTGTGTTCTCAAAAGGGAATTCACTGATATTCCCTTCCCCAAGAGCCCAACATCGCCACACATTGAAAACCACTTTCAGTTAGTTGTAAACATTTATTATTGGAGGATTCATTTCTTACACTCACGGGTGCATTTTATGTTTTTCTGCACATCAAAACAACCAAATCCACATTTGTCTGACATCCCTCCACATACGTCAGGGAGAACAGGGAGCTCTAAACCTGACATGTTGTCTTGTTGCATTGAGACCAATTAGAGCAAGTTGGTGAAGTCAGAGGAATGACAGAGGGAAATAATGGAAACTAATACTCACTCTTCCCTCCGTTCCTCCCTTCAGAGACTCATCATCACTGAGTAGTAACTCATCAGCTCTGCTTAATCAATCCAGACTCTCAACCACACAAAAATAAACCAGTCACGTCATCTTGTTAACAGCTTTTTTTTATTACAAAAACAGCATACATTAAACATTTTGCGAAGGGAATGCAAAGATGTTAACAAAAACCTAGCATCATCCCTCATTTTGTCATTTTATTTTAAATTAAAAAAATGTACAAAAGTGCTTACATGGTGCAAATAATGAGAAGTAAAAGTCTATAAAAGAGGAAGTTAAAGAAAAAAAAAAGAGGAAAAAATGTACATTATTTCCAACTTCTAAAAATGCAGCAGAGCAGGAGAGATGCGACTATATTACATAGCAGTAAAAATAACCCAAAGCTGCTCAGGAACTGTTCACTAGGTAGTTAATCCTCACACAGCAGGACTGCACTGTCGCTGTCTGCTAACACCGTCTGTAAATCAAACATACCCTATCACTTAACATGAGATTAATAAATATTGCTTAAATAACCCACAATGCTCGTGGGTATCGGTTTTTAAACTGATCTACTAGTTTGGCTACAAAATCTCCTCTTGTGCCAGGTTTGCTTCTGGCCGTGATTATGAGCGACATGTTACAGACAATAACACAATAAATCTCCCGTTGTTTGCTAATACAATCACAAATTCTTGTGAATTTTAATGGCACTTTTGTCAATAATACCTCTAGATAACTCGTTTGTAACTCAGTCCACAGTACAGAAAAGTGAGATAAATGCTAAGTAACATTGTTCATTTGAGCTTTTTTATTATTTCTCCACCTTGTGCTCGTAACAGTTTCTTTGTCATTTCCTAACAAGCGGAGACACAGTGAACGTGTTGCTGGTGTAAGGCTACTCATGAATCCAGACTGAAGAGCCTCCTCCTCATATGACCTGTCGATCCCAAGATCAGTAACAAAAAAACGGTTTTAAACCAGACGTTTCCCTTGACACAGGACCGTAGGTGAAAGTCTGGAGTTTTCTCCCAAAATTCAGGCTTTTTCTAGAAAAAAAAAACCAACAAAAAAACATCCCATCTATGGAAGAGGCTCAGTAACTGTTCTCATGACCGGCTAAAATGTAGAGGTTGCTCAGGGCCGTGGGGTTGTCTGTGGGTCGGCTCTCCAAAACCACCACCCTGCAACACAAACAGGGACACGACAGTTAGAACATTACACAGAATAATAACAGCTAGCCTTGTTCTGTCCAAAGGTAACAAAGTCAGCAACTCTAAAGCGGAGTAATTAACACGCTGTATCTCGTTTGTACACAATCAGCAATGAAAACCACAACTTGTTTTTACACACTGATGTCTATACGGATTAAACAGAGAAGTAACAAGATACAACGGTATCATACGGCATCTTCATCCAACTATCAGCAAGAAAGAGGATAGTTCCCAAAATATCAAACTATTCCTTTAATACTGACCATTTTCAACCCATCCCACCGTGTTTTAGAAACACTTTTTTCTACCTACCAGGAAGCTGTTGGTTTCTGTGGTTTTCAAGACACAAATTAGACCACGGACCCCCAATTTTATATCATTATAGACAAGATTTTATCCAGGGTCCCCCATCTGATAGAATTTTTTCTTTTTGATGTTTTATTCTATTAAGTGTAAACCCCATTCAGTCATTGGGTAACTTATAGGGAGAATATTAGGGAAATATGTTATTCCCCATGGAACCCTTTCAAGGACCCCTGAGGGTCCCCAGACTCCACTTTGAAAACCACTTAGTTATGTCATCCTCACTTTGTTTGTACATTAATGGAAAACAATGGCTGCCGGGACAGTAGAAAACAGTAGAGTGAGGTGAATTGTGTTTTCTAGTTTGATCCTTTAAAGATTTGATGGGCTGCCAAACAAATCTCTCTCCAGGAGAAAATACCACTTCTGTCACTAACAACGTTTAACTTATTTTTAGTAAGTATGAGTAAGCAACGCCGCTAATTGAACTACATTTACAACAAATGACAATCATGTTAATGGCATCAATCTACTCAGGGGACAGAGCGCTGACAGTTCATGTTAAACGGCACGTTAACCGCCCTGACCTAGCTGTCACAGTCAGATCAGGACGGCAGCGGGTGCATCTTCAGATGCCATCCGTCTCGTGGCGGTGACAGGTGAGCAGGGAAGCTACAGTCCATACTGTCCGTTCCATCAGATGAAATTACAGAGGCATGGAGAGACACTCAAACCAGGCTGGCAGTGCCCGGGCAGCAGTGAATAAAACATGGGGGGCTGGGCAGAGAGAGGCCTCGCTCCGGTGCCACGGACAAGACGGCTACATCAGGAGCCAGTGCTGGGAGAGCCTCCGTCATTGAGTGTGTGTGTGTGTGTGTGTGTGTGTGTGTGTGTGTGTGTGTGTGTGTGTGTGTGTGTGTGTGTGTGTGTGTGTGTGTGTGTGTGTGCGTGTGTGAGAGAGAGGTGGGGAGCTAAATCACATCCTGCTGTGTCTGCAGCAGAAACCATGATGACATCAGTCCAGAGCTAAAAATGATGTCAATAAAGAAAATAATCTTGATTTGACTTGATTGATGATTTATTAGCTCAGTAAACAGTTTCCTAATGTGTTTGTAGTCTCAATCGCTAGTTTCAAGTCTGGATGATACTTATTTAGTTATTTAAATTATGGTCCCATTTAGAGTAAAATAGATGATAACACAGTATGATTCAGGGCATGGCTACCCTTGTGATTGACAAGCCATTCTACGTCCGTCCAGCACAAAACAATCAAATCTTTTAGGAAAGACGTATTTTGATGTGTGTGACCACAGGGGTTGAAACCAATGAGCACTGGTCCCCTTGCAGTGCGTCACTGGCGCTGGCTGCAAAAACAAACATGGCGAAAATTCATTCACTTGTTTACCAACAAAAAATGGCAACTATTTTCATTATCAATTCATAATTTAAGTAATTTTTTCCAGGCAAAAATAGCAAACATCCCCTTGTTCCCCTTTCTCTAATGTAAAGATTTGATACTTTTCATCTTAGACGATGGTAAACTTTATTTTGGGTTTTAGGCGACTGGTCCGATATCACACTGGGCTCTCACAAAGTTATGATGGGCATTTCTCTCTTGTTTTTGACATTTTATAGATATTAAATACACAAACAATTCACTGATGTATAAACAAAAAGAAAAGATTTAATAATAATCTCTTGAAAAATGTTATTTGAATTCTTCAACGTGTTGCAAGGGGGCTCAAGCAGCATCATGTTGAAGTTCGGCTGTATTTCATCAGACAGGTTTGTAAATGTTAGTGACATTAACATTTTGCTTGGCTTTCATGTCTCAGCCACCAGAGCTACTGAAGCGGCAAACATGAAACAGAGAGAGAGAGAGAGAGAGAGACAGAGAGGCAGAAACAGGAAGAGAGAGAGACAGAGAGAGAGAGAGGGCATTCAAGGATAATGTCAGGGGTGCATTCAGGGACTGTAGGGTTTAGAGTAATCAGAAGGCAAAATCTGAGACCAGAAACAGATGAAGAGAACTGCCTTGAGTTAAAATGAAACCAGAGGGAGGTGGTCAGGTAGGGACCAGCACAGTGTGAGATCAACCAGAGGCAGCAGGAGAGGAGAGCTGTGGGCTCACAACACAGAAGGCGAGGAGGTTGTTTGGTGGTTTCCAGGTAATGGAGAAACACAAAGACCTGAGGGAGGACAGCCGTAATCACAAGGGCCTGGTATTAATGAGGTCATGGAGATGATGATATTTTAGTTTTGATGAAAAGACATAAACAGGGTACGCGAGGAGGTGGAGTGAAACCCTATTTGTAACCGTGTTTGTCTATGGTGAGACGAGGTGTCCTTTGAGATGTTTGTGGTACGTGCTCCTCCGCACGATACGTTTGATCACTGATCTGCACTGACGTAGATAAAGGTGGAAATATATTTGTACCAACCTGTCAGATCCGAGGAGGCGAAAGACTCTGCTCGGATCACAAATCTCCTGGGTCACCTGGGAATTAAACACAACACAACAGACTTGAACACAGACAACTGGTTTTCTGTGCATCTGAAGTAGTGCTGGTGCTGAGGGGGCTTTAAAATACTTGAATAATGAAGCATTATACTCTTGCCTGTTAGGACAGTTTACGCTCCACAAGGACATACATATAAATCTTTACCGTGGGTGAGACTCCTCTCTTCAGCAGAGGCAAACACTATACGTTTTATTAATCCGGTATGTTGTGTTAGCGCACACTGCACTTTATAATTGATTTTATAACAGCCAGAATGCATGACTCACACTGTACAGATCAATCAACCAGTCAAAACGTGGATGCTCATACCAAATGTCTGACCCTAAAAAAAATCCCTCATCCAACAACCAGATAATTGATCATTTAGCCAATTAAGTATTGTGTCGCCCCTTAAACTGTACGTCAAACAACAACCAATCTCGCAGAAATTCGCATAGTAAAATTTGTCGAGGGAGACCAATTCAGGATTAGAACTGGGGCTATTAGTGATATGTGGCCATAAAGGCTGAATAGAAATCAAAGTCAAATAAACATTGGCAATTTGGTTCTTTTCTGGTTTGTTTTTAAGGACCTGTGTGTGTTTGACTATAGAAATCACACATACATAAGTACTGATATAAACCTGTAATAGCATCACAAAACATTATTATCATTATTTAGGTGTTAAGTCTGTGTATTGTAAGACCAATCAATCAATAAAGAAAAGTCAGAAAGTTACCTTCCTGTGCGACTGTTTACATTTGGATCACTTATTGTCCTTCAAATGAAATGTCTATATGTCTTTTGAAGGACTGTAGGTAACTGAGCGCTGTCTCTAGGGACTCTGTGTACAATCCTAGAGCTTATCCTGTTCTAGTCACAAGATGTAGCCTGACACTATGCAGTATAAAAGACAAGGGCCCCTTCAAAACACACTCTCACGTGTTAACAAGTCATGAAAACTTGTCGACAGATGCGAGATAGTCGGCGTGTGACACCTGCTAGGTGTAAGTCCTTGGCCCGGGGAGAGATCTGATCTGTTTAAGTCTAAACGATAACAAGGTCTCGGGTGTTCAGAGAAGCACCCACCGAAGCAGGCACGGATCAATAGTCCTGCCCCCCTTTAATGCCTTCTCTTTTGAGAGGAATCATAACGAGACAAAGGCTGAATTATTTAGTGCTGCTCCCTGTTGTGTGACGGGTTTCGTTTATGATTGATCATGAATTTTGCATGGCTGCTGACATTTCAAAAATCCTTGCTATGGGAGAACTGTCAAGCTGGGCTGGGCTCAGACTCGGCAAACAGACCTTCTGTTTCATCTGAGTGCCGCAGGACCACGTCTGACACGGTGAGCTTTCAAAAGGGTGGCCCTGATCGCCATATCACTTTTCATAAAAACAGAATGCTTCACCTCCCTGCGATCTCTTGAACTTTTATTCTGCTGCTGAGCGCAACTCGTGATCAGGTTAACATGGAATCCCTCTGTGAAAGGGGGACAAATTCATTACCTTGGCCTGACACAAAGACACTTTGTCTGGCTCCACCTGAGGTCTAATCCTGGGATCACCTACAGCATGTAGCCACGCATATAAATGGCCTGCACTCAGTCTTTGTTGACAAGAGCCAGAAGTGTCTGTTCACATGTAGAACAAACAAGACATGACAAACAGTGCATTCAGAGTTTCGACTCTGTGGTCACTGGCAACCAATGAAAATTGATATTGATATTTTGGTATTAACATTGATTTTAAATGAGCAAAAGCTTTAAAATGTTGAATTAGTTTCATGTTCAGTTAAAAAAGTCATCTATTTGTAAAGACTGGAAACTGTACAAGCTTAGAAGTGAAGATAATACACTCAACAATTAAGTGGTGCAGTATCAAAACAAGACACTTTTGTGAATTTGTTTTTCAATAGAACTACTGGAAAGTATTTCTATTCTAAGGTTCCACTCAACTGTTGTGGTCATGGGATATTTTACCTCATTTGACTTGAAGCTCTTTCCTTGCATGCCATGTTTCCAGAAGGCCAAGACGCTGTCCTGAAGGCACACTGTCAGAAGATAAAGGTAAGAGGCCATGTGTCAGTGCATAACGGTCAATGCAGCAACTGAAAACACTGTCAACTTGATTAAGTGGGAAAGTTCAACTTGACTTGACAAAAAGCCCTTTTGTAAATACAATAAGCAACTTTGCCAGATATACAACTAGCTTTTTCTGTACACCTTTCAGCTCTTCATGTTGGGAGTTTTCCCTTTGAAAGGTAAAGAATTTTCATTGAAAACATTGTAAGGTCTCACACAGAATCATATGTACATGTACCTCTATTTCTTTACACAGACTGTAAATCCAACACTTGTCTAAATGCTTACCAACAGATCCGATGCAGAAGTCAAAACTGAGCTCAGATGCCAGCTTTTTGTTGGACTTCAGTCTGCCCTGGAGATTAACAATCTTCAAATTTTCTGTGGAGAAAAAAAAAATAAAACGTCTGTGAGAATGATATTACAGAACATAGATACTTTTATCTGGACTGAAGCTGATGAAGAGAGATTGCACTTACGGTCCAAACACACCAACACTGTGTCTCTCTCCAGTTGGGTGACATGGATTGCATCCACCTGCTGATTAGCTGCAGGAAGGAAATATACAACAGTTACAATCCTGTTCTCCAACAATCTACCATGTGCAATGTAGTTCTTAGAAGTAATACAATTTTTTATTGGATACTCTATCAGTTATATTATTATGGAACACTGTAGTTTAGTAAACCCACTTTTTATTGGCCTGTTCCAAAGTTTTCTTCATTTGTTTAGGGCAGAGGAAGCAATAGCACAATATTTTAGGTCTCAATAGATGAGAGTAAACAGAAAGTTGTGTGATCGTATGTTGTGCCTGGTTGTTCGAACTGCACAAGACCCGTTCAACAGAATGCTGTATTTCACATGATACCAAAGACAAATCCATAAAGAAGTGAGGCTGCACTTCATTCTGTGGAGGCTCCTGACAATAGACAAACTGGTTTGTGCAGAAGTAAAGTATTCCACCATATCTCTGCAAAGTCTCTATGATGGGTCTCTGTATTGAATTCATGGTGTTTGTCTCTACATCAGAGTACGTGTTGGACTTACTTGTTCCCATCTCTGTGAACCAGGAGGAGCTGGAGTTGAGGTTGATGGTCTCAAAGCGGACAACCTGGCCCGGCTCTGTGCCCTGGCTGATGGCCACACACACCAGAGGATACTCCTGCTCTGGGACCACCAGCATCTCAAACACCTTCAGTGGGCTGGGAAGAGGGAAGTCAAAGTGCTGCCACAGGAAGAAGACAGGGGTTAGTGTCAAAGGTGTTCCCATGTTTGTTGCTGAAAATGTATTTTGTAGCATAAGTGGCTAGTGACACTTTGCTACAGGAGCAAGGAGCTACATCAGTTTAGTAGTGTCATTCCTTGGGACTACATGGCTACAACCTTGTAGTAAAAACATGTAGTCTTACTAGAAACATTTGTGGAAGAACAGTAATGTCTGCAATGAGAAAAGTAAATAGCCAACTGACCTTGATGAGCATAAACCTCTGCATGGGCTCATACCACTGCAACAGGACAATCCCAGACTGCAGTGCACCGCACAAATACTTGTGGCCTGTATATGGGTTTCTCACTGTGAAATAGAAAAGAAAAGAGTGTAGCTCGACTGAGTGATGTCCACTAATGAAAAAATTAAAAGTCATAAAGGGCTTTGAGATCAAAAACATTGCAACAAAGTAAAGGGGGCATGCCTTGTATGGAGATGTTCCTTGTGTATTGACACAGTTTAATATGATGGAAGGGTGAGTAAATAAAAACTGAGTGGTTGGGAGGGAAAGGTCACTCACCAATGCAGCACTTGTGACAGCCCTTTGTGTCAGGGATCTTAGTTGTCAAGGCAAACCTCCTGAGGAGAAAAAAAACAGTCAAGTTGTGACAATCTTGAAAGAGCTGATGACGTCTAGAATCGGGGAAGTTGGCCAGTGGTTCTCTTTTTTTTCCGCCACTGCAGTCGTTTATCATGATGGTAGACAGTGAAGAACAAAACGTCTGCACAGCATGAGTGTAGCAACATGCTTTAAGAATTGTGACCTTATCACAGAAGTGACAGGAGTGCTGCTGAAAAGTGTTGTCAGAGATGTTTTATAGGAGACAAGACTCAGACCAAAAACCTCAGGCTTGTGGGTCTCACCTGGGTAAAATTTTGTCTGGGAAGCGGTGAGTCTGGAACTGAGCAGCCAAGCCGGGCTTCTTCAGCTGCTCAAACAGCCCGATGAGATTGTGGGAGTACAGCTGGAAGGTTTTCCCTACAGCAGAACAGAGTATATTTAATCATAAGCTTTATGAGATAAAACAGTGCATAGTGTAGTAGTAATCAAAGCCAAAATAGTCATCTTAAACATGACAGACAAGAACTGAGTAAACTTTCTTCACACTATAAATATTTTAAACATAACTGTGATCTTCTTGAACAAATTCTGAAGCAGCCCTTACATGTAGAAAGGTTAGATGTGAATAGGGGTAAAAACAGAAGTGTGATGATGATTTGAAGCATGATTACCTTCTGATGAAGCCAGTTAGTAGAATATCAAATCAAGCCAGGCGAGAGCAGGATGGACAGTGTCCAAGGGAAGAGGAGAAGAGAAAGAGGTTAAGTATACCAAGGGGCAAACTGCTGAAGGTAAAACCGAAAGTAGACCTTGCACTTTGTAATCCCATCCTCAACAGCTAAACCGAGAAAAGGCAATCGGCAATGAGGTCAGCCAAACAAAGACAGTTTGGTTTCAAATGATAGATGTTTTGAGTTTTCTGACAACAAATAGCATGTCTGTTTAAATGTAGCAAACAAACTACACTTGCTTTTACAGCTACTATACATTGTGACCTACAGAGATCAACATATATTCTCTAGCAGAAGAACAGGCTGTAAAGCCAGATGTGTGAGTCACTGTGCTACAAGGACACGGCTCTCTCATGGCAAACAAAAGAAACAGTTATTTTAGGGGTGCAGATATGGAGTGACTGTCTTGCCCTCAGGGGCAGCCAGATAACACGGGACAAAGAAGCAGTAGGTTATGACAGTGGCCAGTGAAGCAGGAGGCTGTGATAAGTCCATTACTTACCAGATAAAGACATCAGGTTGTTGTTGATAACGTACAGCCATGTACACTTCCTCGGGAACAGCTAGGGAATTAAACAAAGATGGGACATTCACCATAAAGTTGGACATTAGTTCTCAAAGGAGGGAGTGAGAAGTAGAGGAGAAACATCAATTGACCGTTTGTTCCCCTCCTGTGAACAGCAACTGTCCAGTCATTGCTTAGCAATTTTATGTAGTTACAGTCGAGGTGCTTTGTATAGGGCTGCAGTACTCTGTTTCTGAAGAGTTTGGAAGGTTTTTTTTCAAGCCTTTTCAAAACCAAATGCACAAAATGGTGTCATTAAATATGTAAATAATGGATTAAACAGTGAGTTTGTCTGCTCTACTATAAGCCGCAATCATTAGATAGCTTACTACCTACAGTAGTAATCGGGTGTTCCAGGGCCAAGGAGCATAACAACACTATTTTGAGGTGTTAGAGATCATGTTTTTAAAACATTTACTGTTTTGTATTTTCCTGTCAGATCCTGCTGTTAAAATCTGCCAATGACAGTTCAGGCGGCAAGATCATAAAATCAAGAACACACAATAATTAAAAATGAATACAAATGTATTGAGTGGTAAATTTGCCTTATCACTTTAAACTGTGTTGTGCCAGAATGTTTCACAGGTAGTAGAAGTAACTATGGGGGGACAGGGCTTATATATACACACACATATATACACAGTTTAACAGTAGCTAATTTTTATTACAAATACTAGTTCTAATAATTGTTTTTAGATTGATTTTAACTGCTGTTACCTGCTCCATTGTGGCTTCATGCAGCTCATTAAGATTCAGCGTATAGATGCCATCCTCCGTCCCAAAGATTAGGTACTGATCTAGAAGACAAGAAATATAAAAAATTAAGCACTGGCCTTCATAAAAACACGTTTATTCTGTGTGTTTGTGTACCACACGTGTTGCATGAAGCTATACCTTTGGTGTCAGGATGAATCCATGATGTGGCACAGTTGATCTTCAGGGGACAGCCATCAAACACTTTAGAGAAACAGGCTCCCATCTGAAATGAAAATCAACATGGCTCAGAATAGGCAGTATCTGGCTCAGTGTAGCACTAAAATGTCAGCCAGGGTTTAATGAGCTGGAGCTGAGCTGAGCAGAGGCAACCACAAAGCAGAAAGCTCTGTGGACCCCAAATATCTACTGAATGCACAGCAGCAGCCGGGCAGAAAAAGAGTTTAATAACAGTGCCCATGAAACCAGGTCAGCAGGGAAGAGTGAAGACTGTGAGGTGCAATGCAGATGATTCACTCACCAGTACTTTAGGAGTGGGAGGCAGACCGTTGATAGCTGGTTTCTAAGGACGAGCAGAGGAAACAAAAAACCATAAAATAATGTCAATGCAGAACACACAGACATAGCAGTAACAATTCAATTGAATTTAGCCGCTTAATTTAGCTCCTGCCTTAACAAAGAGCTGAACAAAAGACAATATGGACTGTATTCTATTGTGTTCTGTCAAAGTCAATTAAATGTTCAACATGAGCAGATGCCAAATTTCCCTCTTTAACGGTTAGTGTTTGGATCTGACAAGGGAAAAACATCATATTTGAGGTTTCAGTGCAAAGTCAGCCAGCTAGTTGGAGACACTCCACATATAAAATAGAGGCTCTTAGACCACAGATTTTCCTCCTAAAACCCGCTGTAACTAAAGATGAGAAGTGTGGATGATTGAAATACATATTGCGACGCAACATGTGGTGGAATATCTTCAGACTCACAGGGAATTCCTTTTTCTCCTTCCGGTGCTGTCGGTTGGGTGGTGGCTTGGGACTGCCTCCATTCACACTGTCATCTGAATCATTATCTGTCATGAGAGAGCAGGTAGATGAAGAAAACATTTGAGGCATAACTATTAATCACTAATCAATAATTACTGTCAGCCACGCAGAATCTAAATGCAAAGATCAGACACATTTACATCAGACTCCCTTACCTTTACATTCAGACTTACTGAGAGCTTGTAAAAGTAAAATAAGAGCTCAATTAGAGACCCACTTGATTAAAGAGGAAAGACACCAATGAAAGGTGTATGAACAGTATATATTGTAAATTCATACAGAACAAATTAGCAAAGAAACACTGAGACTCACCAGGATCAGAGGCGTGAGACAAAAGGCCAGGGCTGCTGACACTGGCAGAGAGGAAATCTGGAGATGAGTGCTCCCCCTTGTTGCCCTGCTCAGGTGTGCTCTGTCTGCGAACTGCCTGGCTTGGTCCGTTCTCAGAGTTAGGGAACCTCCGAACCGTCAGAGACCTCTCATCATTAAGGCCAAGCTCCTCTGACGAGCTGTTTAATCGTGGCTGAGAGGAGACGGGGTGGTGAAGGGAAAGAGTGAAAGCAGTTTGTTGTTAATTGCTGTACATCATTGCAAAAATCCATACAGTAAAAAAAAAAAAAAATACATCTTGATTTTGGGTCTCACCTTTGGGGGCAGAGGAGGAGGAACCCCTGGCTTGAGGGTTGACCTGAAATGGAGTAATTATTTTTTAGAAACTAGAGCAATAAATGTTTTGTGTCTATGATGTAATCTTAATGTATTGACATCACTCACAGCTCCACCTCTTCAAAGGCATCTTCAAGGTGGGCAATGTGTCCCCTGCAGGAAACAGACACACTAATCAATGTGGAAAAAAGACTGGAAGACTCATCAGAGCTCAGGAGGGGTGTTAATGGTCCAAATGTTTATGTAAAATCCCTCCTTAGAGATAAAGAGTATGACTAAGAGCGGGGGTGTTTTCATTCTGTTACTGATCCCTAGTGAGCATCATGGGATGGAAACCACAAGGAAATACATTTCTAGAGCTGCATCAAAGGTATTCAAGCAAACATCTTTCTTTTATTAATAAATCTAGGTTCGAAGCCTAGGGCTGACACTTTTACTAAGTTCTTAGAAGGGTGCCAAAAGTATTTAGACACCTATCAGTACACAGGTTTTAAAACAGCAACAGACATTATTGTACAGCCCGAGCAGGTATAAAGCTGTCTGTTTCTACGTCACACTGCTCTACCTGCCCGCGGCTCATGTATGAAGCAGTATGCACAGATTGAATCTACAGCTATGATCACACCACACATGTTGAATGGAGGGGTGTCAAGGGAGAGTTGATTTGTGGACATGGTGGGTGCTAAATCTCACTGCGAAAAGGGCGGGGACCAAGCGAGGGGTGGAGTGGATGGCGTAGGGTAGTACAGCACACAAGGTTAGTGTTACCGTTGGAACAATTCGTCCTCAACGCTTTTGAGAAGGCTCCTTGGAGGGACAAGACGAGAGCGAGGCCGACAGCCAAAAGAGGACAGAGAGAGGTGGAGGGAGAAAAACAGTCAAAAGCACATGGACAAGTGAGAAGGAGCCAAAGCAACATTTTAAACTGCAGATGGGGATTAGTGAGTTCATGCACAGACACAGGTTAGCTCCAGTGAATAAGCAGGTTAATGTGAGAGACAGTGAGGAGCACCTATAAGAAAATCTATTTACCCTCTGTCAACAATGGCTATCAGATTACAGATCACACTGACTGCTTTGTGCTGTCTTTTCCTTGTTGTCTTGCTTTCTATAACTAACCTTGTTACTCAACACAACCCCTAATATTGTACATCATTTTGTGTTTTTAATATCAACAAACTCCAAAGAAGTATAATACAGCAATAAAACATTAATCATGCGTTTATTTCCTTTCTCTGGATGAATTTCAAAAGATGCATCCATCTAATAAATAAGCCACGTTAAGAGAGAGAGTGAAAGAGAGAGAGTGGGGGTAAATAGGAGCAGTTCCTGTGACAACAGTTTCCATGGATTACCTGGTTGTTATTCCTCCCTCTGCAAATGGACTCCAGGGGGAAGGGAAGTCATTATCTTTACTCACATCCTGTGGAAAGCCGCACATGCACAAAAATAGAAATTCTAAAAAGCTGCATTTTTAAATTTGCAGATATACTTTTTTCCTTTTCAATGTGTACTTACAATTATTTGATTGCAAACAGAAACTGAAAGTAGTACTGAGACATTATTACTGATTAAACTTTATATTATTTTCACCATTTCAGAATGAGCCTCAGTTTCCTTCCGGAGGGGTGGTTCAAACTGGAGCTTGTCAACTGCAAATGAAAAAACTGTCGTCAGTTTCTTTTAATCGTCTTGCACGCGCCTTTAGCACTAGAGGGCATCAGTGCACTTCAAGACACATAAAGCCTTGGGGGTAGTTGTGCATTAGTAGAAGGAGCTTTGGGAAACATTCTTTGAGCCCATTCTTAATAAAAAAAAAAAAATCACGTGTTAGAAAGAACCAGAAGCAGATCAACTCCATTACAATGTACCTGCCAAAACACCACAGAGGTCCGCTGTAGATTTATTATGCTACTGTGTGCATGTTTGGTCCAGAGCCTAAAGACGAGTTGTCAGCAAAGACAAACACAGATTACACTTGACACTAACCAGATCTGTTCACTTTGGGGAAATATTGGTGCAAGAGCAAAACATCGCAAATAAATCATGGAAAAGATTCCTCTTAGTTTAGGTTTGAGGTCACATTCTTTTAAACAGTTGGTCCCATGGAGGAGACTGGTTTAGTGTCCAGTATAAACATGGTGTGCTCCGGCTGTAATTACGAAGGCGAAAGAAATCAACCAACCTGCCAATAAATACTCCCACATAATCAGCTTCTCATTAACAAAGAAACTTTGTACTCAAGAATTTAGACCACAAAGTGTTTTTCTGCCTGAGGTATGTTGATAATGTGGAGGTGCTGCAGCATTTAAAACACAGATAACAGGGAAGAGGTGAGTCACTAATAGACTTATGAAACCGACACACAGCAAAACATTGGAGAAAGTCAAGTTGAGGGATCAGGTGAGACGTACGAGTCAAACTTAACTTCCTTGTAAGGATCTGATTAGTCACTGACAATGTCATTTTATTTCAGTAAATCAAACAGGAACCAAGATGTCACAATGTCCAAATTATTCAACCAAAGAAACAGTAAGTTACCACCACATGCAGACAAACTCACCTTATTAGTGCCACTTATATCTCAAACACAATGTGCTGTTATGTGCTACATTATCCTATTCCTCAGGAAGTCTTAGGAGTGAGCTAGGGAACAAACACACACTGTCTCACTACACTGTCACTAACCTGCGTCCCCCCTGTGTCCCTCAGTGAAGCTGGGACTTGAGCATGGCCCTCCTTGGTCTGTCCCATTGTTTGCTTCATGTAGGAGGGAAAGTTAAATGTAATTGTGAGAAATATAGATAAAAACTTAACAGGAAGTGCATCTGGTACAAACAATTACAGTACGAACAAGAACAGAACACAATGAAGCTACAAATGAATATGACAAACATCCAACAAAGACACATATCTCAGCCCTGGACTGTTACTACATCAACCCAAAATGATGAAATGAGTCACACTTATGACATGATAGGGAACAACAAAGCACTCAACTTCATCTGCAACAACTGACGACGACAGACACACAACAACTTCCCTGAAGGGTTGCAAAATATTAAATATACATAATCTATTTAACTGGAGCCTCTGCCAAATTCAGTACCAACAAATGCTGACTAAAGACCAAATTCCTTTAGAAACCTTCATGACCCCTTCAGACAAGCTATTTCACATTATTCATCGAGGGAAAAAAATGAGGGACTTGCTACTTAACAGTAACACACGACACAGAAGCATCATGGGCTCTACTACATCCACTTTCTCTTCCATGAATCCCCAGGCTATTTTTACAGACACTACCACATGCTGTGGTTTGGAAACGTGCCAGCCAGTGCTTCAGGATTAGTGGGATGACCCTGAGACAAACCGCCGGACCTCTATCAAGCTAAATAGTCTGGCTGACTGACATGCTGACCAATGACAAGATAGATTCATGACAGGGGGGATGGCCATAGTCTTGGTGATAGGTTGGGGTTTTTGTTCACTTACAGTCTATCTCTGAGCGTGTCCTCTCAGCTCTGGCTTGTTTGTTGGTGGAGCGGATGGTGTGTCTGACTGCAGAGAGGGGCTGAAACAAAGAGTGAAAGAGACAGAGATTTTAGGTTATGGAAATAGGCTTTGACACTGCGAGCAGCACTTGACGAGACAAGTGGTTAAAGTGTTCTCAAATGATATAACACCAACACTTCATTGCCTTGATGCATTTGAGACAATTATGACATGTGTCTTTTGAAACAAATTCAGAAATGTGTATGTCAAGTTAAAGCAGCACTGAGATCTACTTTCAGTACTGCGTATTTGTATCATCACATTATTATGCATCCCAGAGGCTGTTTGTTTGCAACAAGCTCCATTGCTTGCACTCAATAGCCTTCAGGGTTTTTTCATTCATCATGGCCAAGACAGTGCTACTGCTGTCAGGGGGAGAAAGGCACAATGGTCTTTTAAAAAGGCACTGGTACCACCTCTTTGGCTGCCACATAGATGTGATGTTGATTCCAGTTGGAATAATAATGTCGATGGAGAGAATCAAGAGAAGGGGGATGGGAGGTTTAAGGGGAACATGAAAACACACTCTCGCTAGTTCACCTTTCAACTTTTATTGCCAAGTGGCTGAAAAAAGATGCTGTGCTAATATTTACATTCACTGCTGACAGAGTCCGTCAGTGTTTGCATGAAGGTCTGTTCTACTAGTTTTGGTAGAATTTCATTTTGTTGTTTTTTTTTATAATTTTCCATCAACCAGACAGTCAAAAACATCAACAAATGGAACACATTTATGAGGATATACATTATGAGTATTTTCTATTTGATCACTTCTTTGAAGGGTGTGTAGACTTTCCTTTTTAATTTTCTGAATTACCCAGAGTCTTGGTGCTATTGTTACAAGTGTATGTGACAGAATCAGGCATTACCTCGAGGTCATCATCATCCACCTCACTGTAATGCTGGTGGTTGTCTGGGTTGTTCATCTTATCTAGGAGGTCAACAGCGAGCCTCCTTGTCAAACCCGTCTGGGCCACATAGACATGCTTCAAGAAACAAGACAGGATTGCAAATTATAAACTGGTGTATATTTTGAGAATAATACATCTGACATCTCTAATCTCACATACAAGGTCCATACAACCTGGAACATTAAAATCCCTGCAGAAATGGAAATCAAAGCCCTAGTTTCACTATAATAGAGTAATTAAACCATCTGCATTAATCATCAGATTCCTGGACCACTAGGATGGGACACCTTTCCTCAGAGACATGCACTGTGTTAATGATGATAGAAACTCTATTAAGAAGCAGAAGAAATGTCTGCTTCTTAAAAGATTCTTCTCCTTGGTGCATGCACACAGGCTGGTCTTAATTATGAAGTAATATTAAAGAATGGAATTGCTAATAACTTCTATTTAATAAATTTGCTGTAATTGGATTTAAATGACTGTAAGGCCAGAGTCTGACTCTAACTCAAACAGCCAAAACGTCAGCCAAAACACACAGAAGCTTATTGGGCCAATTAAGATCCTCTATAATCTGCATGTATAACAACATAAAAAATATAGTAAAGTGTAAAAGACAGAACACAGACATATCTTTTAAGACTTAGCATGCAAATGTTCCATTGTGAATAGGATCAGGCAACAAAACTGCAAACATTTTAACCTCCTCCCAAACAATGTCTACAGTACTGTAATGTCTGAGTGAGCAAATAAGATTTATTACCGATAGAAGTTTTTCTGCAGTTGGCCTCTTCTTTGGGTTCTTTGTCAGAGACACTTTCACAAAGTTATGGAAGGCAGTGGACCTGGTGTACAAGATGATTTTGTTTTTGCATTAAAACATTCGATCAGCACTATTATCCTCTAAAACCAAAGTATAAAGTATCATAACATAATCCCAGAATAGCATACTGAATATTGCGGGGCATTCACCATTTGTTTTTGTCTTTTAGCTTCGGAGGCTGGAAGCTGCTCTTTGACATCAAAAACAAAGCCCTAAGGAAAAACAAAAAAAAACATGGATTGAGAGTGGTTTAGACAGACTTAAAGAGGGAAATTTACTCAAGTAAAGTGACCATGAAATGAAAAGGGCCTGCAACTTCTTTGAATTAAACAGGATGACCATTCAAGTTCTTAAAACACATGTTGAAACATTAGAGGAACACAAAAGCAGAAAGTAGCTGAAGAATCATCAGAGGAAGCTCAGACTGATCATTTCTGAGAAAATAAAATACATACCTCATTGGGTGTAGGTCAAACATTGGCGGCTGCAGCTCAGCTAGTTCTATGGATGTGATGCCAACAGCCCAGATATCACACAACTGGTTGTAGCCACCATTCTTTTCAACTGCTGCTACTTCTGGAGCCATCCTACACAAATTCAGAACAAGAACTCAGTGATGACTGTAGTGAGAGGCCTTCTTGAAGTAAAAAAACAGTACTGATACTGGTAATGAGATCAGAAATGTAATTATTTTAGGTCAGGAAACAGGTGTGAAAGAAGCTCTGAACTGGGTCAAATAAATAAAACTGTGGTTCTTCAAAGACAATTAGGGCTCCTTGAAGTGGAAGTGCATTTAGAAGTTAGGGTCAGTGACAGAACAGCAGCCCTGGAGCCAGTAAGGATTTAGTGTCTCAAAAAGTCAAAAACGGTTCAGCTGCTGTGAAGTGATGCATCTATCAACCACTTGTACACCTTGTCATCACCACAAACTAGATTCTGTTAGATAAAATATGGTGATACAGACAGTCGACTAGAAAATGTTTGAGTATCTGACTCAAAGTATTCAAAGGACCCGTGCATAGCATTTAGTGGCATCTAGTAGTGATGTTGCAGATTACAACGATCTGAATACAGCTCAGCCTTCAAAGTCAAAGCAAAAAACACTCAAGAACTCAAGGAAAAGAAAATCAAACTATTCTTGAAACTATTCAACAAAGACTGCCGAAGGCAGAATGGCTCATTTGATGCGGGTGTCACACTCACCAATAAGGTGTTCCAATGAAGGACTTTCTTTTGGCAATGGTGGCTGTTATTTTGGCTGCAACTCCAAAGTCAGCTGTAACAAGGGTGACAGGGCTTTTCAGATTATGTAATCCACATACGACTGAAAGCTAGAGAAGTCCAAGTCCTTGAGAACTAAGATGCTATAGAGCAACTTACCTAACTTCACATCTCCGTTGTCTGTAAGAAGTATGTTGGCACCCTGTTAAAAAAAATTCATATTCATTTATTTTTTACTTTAAAATACATTCAAGAGACCATAGTTATATTTTAATATCATGTGACTAAGACTTAAACTACTGAGCTGATGTGAACTGGTTCATAACGAAGTGTCAATCATGTGTTTAACTGACAGTAACATGTGGTCTAGTTAAAGCATTAACTGTTAGTTTGTTACTGATCTGACTGCCAGTAAAGTTGCAGCATTATCACAGTTTTCTGACAGTTCCGACAGTGTTTCTGTTGGCTGTGACTGACAGTCTCTCTCGTACCATCCTGCGGTGAGAGCAGAGGAAACAGGAAGTGCTTGCTGCGTAGAACTGAGTAAAGATAATAGGTCTAGCCCTGACCTTCTCTGATAACACATGAGACTAAGGCTCCAGCCTGTGTGTATGCACCAGGCACGATCAACTTCAGCTCAACCTCAAAACCGCTGTAAGTAACACCATTGGTCACATGTTTTTCAGTGAGCACACCCACCGCTACGTTTTTCCTGACTTCATTTCATGGCTCTGCAGTGCTGATGCATGAGAATGATTCCCCCCAACCCCCCAACATGGTCACAATATCAATATATGCCTCTCCACTGTATTATTTTAGAAACACTATCACTGCTGTTAGTGATAGTGGTTTTTAAATTAGGTGCTTAGGTGTTTTTTAAACAGAGAGAGTTGAACAATGTATTTCTGGTGTGAACAACTAGGCTCCTGTGTGTACCCGGCGTTAACGTTTTAAAATTTGTTGCTTAAAGATTTTATTGTTAATCCGTTTGCTTTTGCATGAGGCAAAGTGTCTGTGTATGGCACATAAGAATGGGTCTGACCTGGATAAAATAAAGGCCAAAAGAGAACAAAAACAAAAGAGAAAAGATATGATACCTTGATGTCACGGTGCATCTTGCCCTTGATGTGCAGATATCCCAAACCCTGTAAAGGAAATTAATGCATTTTGTAATGAATTCAATTGAAAATGACAAACTCTGAGATATTCATTCCAAAATGAGTTAAAATGTGAAATTACCTGTAAGGTCTCTCTGCAGACATACGCTATCTGAAGCTCTGAGAGAGGTCCCGTCACTATAACAACACAATTTTATTCCATGTTTGCAAGGTAAGGATTAAGGCAGAAACAGCTTTGACATGACAACAGTATTTAAAATGAGTATTTAATGATTGTATCCTACCAGTTATGAAGAGAAAAGCTCACCATGATAAATGTCCTGCAGAGATCCTCCACCACAGTACTCCATACATATCCAAAGCTTCTCCCGACTGATGGAAGTCAGAGGAAGTTATTAAGTTAGGAAAACATAATTAAGCAGCACAAGAATTCTACAAAGCTGTCTTGTATAAGTTAAGTTGTACAAATCATCAACCCTTCCTGAAACAACTTTACCAACACATGTTAATAATCAGGGTTAAATACTTGGCGAAAAGGGTTAGTGTTTCTGTAGTTAGGTGAACTAGATGTCAACACGAGAGAGGGGAGCAGGAAAATGATGTCAACCCACTGAAAATAGCTAAAAATAAGACTGTGTGACTGTGATCAAACTGTGACACTTGGCCAGCAGAGGTGTTGATACAGTTCACTGCCCCAGAATCTCAATCACAACTGTGATACTTTTCACACATTTTAGCTGGACGTGGAAATGTTTCAGGTCAGGAAACGAGTCTGACAGGAAACTTGATCTTCCCCAAATAAAAATGTGGGAGTTCTAATACAATGAATTTAGTTTAATAATAATTAATACATGGTGTGTTGCTCATTAAGATTTTACAGTAACCATTTGTGCTCTGTGTGGCGAGACATGCCTGCTGCGATAAGACATGCATCTCTATGGACTAACAGCCATATAAAAGCAGATCAGAGGCTCATATTCCAGTTAAACCTGCTGGAAGTCAGAGGCAGTGGTGGGTGGACCGGCCCTACTTCCTCTCAGATACAAGCCGCAAAACATAGGCTCCATTAAAACATGAGAGCCGCATCCTGGCACTTAAGGGCCTAGTCAGCACCAGTCAGCCCAGTTGCAGAGCTTGAGTCATACTTTCACACACAGGTGTGATTCAGTAATTAAATACGTCATGTGAGTTTCAGGCAGCGGCTCGTTAAATCCTTTTGACAGTAGCATATGAATTCCACAAATGCTATACTGGCTGTGAGAGAGAAAATACTGAGTGTAAAATGACAAAGCAGGAGTATTTTAAGCTGGCTCTTACCAGAGGTAGCTCCCAAAGTAGGCCACAATATTGTGGTGCATGCATTCCTTCACCATGAAGATTTCCTGCTGTATGATGGAAAAGTCATCCCCTGGAAACAGAGGGAGTAATCACACATGGACAAAAAATTAGATTTTCATTTTCTGTACAGGGATTTGTTTCATTTTAAAATGAGATATTTTCCATTTGGAAAGAAACACCTCACAAAACGATTACGAGCATAAAATCCCTACAACATTTGGGTTATGATTCATCTACAAAATACACAAAAAATATATGTTTTTGACACTAAAACAAACCTTGAATTTGGAAAGTTGACAAAAATAACCATTCAAAGCATTTCAAAAGATACAAGGGTTGTTCACGCCTTAAACTTTAGGTTTTAGAACTTAAATCTTTCCTTTTAGTTTGCCAATCTCAGAACCACAGAACACAGTCTTCCCATATTCCCCTCTGGCTATATGGTTCAATATTTCTTCTCTGTGTAAACACAGCACATTATAAAACAGCCAATAACAATAGAAGGAACACCTTGTACTTTTAAAGTTTATGTGGTATAGGCTGATATCCAGGCTGCTTTCCAGTTCAGCAAAGCACTCTAACACATCCGACCAGTAGGAAGTAAGAAGACAAAAATATGTAAGCCCAGCTGCTCCCAATTGTGCAGAGACACGGCCCTGGAATACATTAACAGGAGGTTAAGATCTACCAGACTCTGCCAGCTTCAGCGCTCTATCAACAGACTGTCATCAAAGGCAGCAGTCCAGACTAAGCTCATTTAATGGATACAATCGCTCCCCTAACTAAACTGCACATTAGTTATGGTGGTAACAAACCATTAAAAAAAAATTCTGCACACAATCAAGTGTGTCAATTCTACCTATGTATGTAAATAAGCATGTTTTGATGGTTTATTTCTGTCCTAAAAATCGGTGTCTAGTTAATTTTAGGAATTACCACTAGCTGTTGTATTGAAGACAATACGTTCTCAATCTTGTCTTTACTACAATACATAGACAGACACTGTACCAGGTGGCTTGTGGTCTAGCCTGATTAAAGTGATACAGTGGCACATGATCTGTGGCATAAGAACATGATAAAAAGAGAAACCTCCTGGACCACATATGCTTTTTTTGAGCACATAAACAGTTTGTACCCAATGAGGCAACTGCAGTACGGCAGGGGAGGGGTTAGGCTCTCTCATGTGAGCGTCTGAATTAAAGTCTTGTTGGAATGCCAACACGTGCATAACTATCCCGCTGATAAACAACAAACCAGTGAATTTCCATTAGCTTGGAACTTAACTGCAGCGATTCATTTGAGTATTTAGTGATGTAAAAAGACTTAAGCTAATGTAAGATGTCTAAACTACAAAAAAGAACAACAACTATGTACCTATATCCCTGGTGACTGTGAAGTGTTCCGTATATTACAAATGTCACATTTTTTGTCTCTCTGACAAAACATGATCAATCATGATGAGAAGATGAAGGCCTGATTAACCTTTTTCATTCCTCGGTTCCATAAACCTCCACTGTTGTCCAAAAACAGATCAATGAGCCACTCGGTGCACTGGGTGATGTGTTGCTTCCTTATGATGAACACGGGAACTCCAGTTTATTTTGAGTTAATCTCATATATGCCGTCCTGCTGCTCTAAATACTCAGTAGTCACAAGAGCATCAAAGGTGCATTAATCCAAAGCTCAAAATAGTCACCAACTAATGCAATGTTTACGATTTCAAAAAAATACTGTCTAGCTAGTTTTAGGAAATTACTGAGCCTTTTTTAAACAAAATTACATAGCTGTTACTTTTAAAGATTTACGTCTTCAGTAGGAACCAGTGGGCTTGTGGTGGAGTGCAACAGACACAGTAGAGAAGTAGAAAGTATTCAGAGACAGACCAACACATGGTTGATTTTGGTATTTTCATGGGATTTGTTGACAATAACAAAAACACAGAATATGACCAACCTTGTCCATTAATCTAGGGGACGAGGAATGTCACAAAAATATTTTTTAAGCTTTTTACATAGCTGAGACGTGAGTGTGCAAAAGGAAGTGCATGTCACCAGTGGGAGGATGTATTATGAACCTGCAATGTACTGTATAGGGAAATTGTGAGTGGAGTTTACATCCAACTGGTTTTTCTGTCTGCACTCACGAGGCAGATAAACAAAAAAAAAAAACATCTTCAGAGACATCCTTGTCAGTGTAGCTGCTGTGGGACAATTAGTGCTTCCTTTTGTGAGTTTTGGGAAGGTGAAAAGGCTGGTTGAAAGCCCTTTACTATAACATTCACGCATCCTACTGTAAACATATGCCTGAATTTAGTAATAGATTCTATATTTAGAAATAGTACAAAACTCGTCTGTGTTTTTATATTGGCCATCGGCAGCCCTGCTCTCTAAATATCAGCACTGGCCACTGAAAAACCCATACGGGCTGTGATTTATTCCTACTAGCTAGCTACAATGTCCATTTCTTTTTATTATTCTTGTTACAAATACTTTTGGAAGTCTGTAACAAGAATAAATCCCTTCTATCTGTAAAATTAAAATCTTGTTTATTGTTTTAATCTGACATAATAAAGATGTAATGGATATCTCAGTCTCACAGAAGCTAGTGCTTGGCAGCTTCAATGCACAGCTTTAAAGATGACGAATATGAAAATAATTTTCCACCGTCTCACAGTCACACTTTTGGGAGGTCATCATTATTTATGTTACTAGTTCTTATTACTGCATCTGTAATTATAGTGTTATTTAATTTAGAGTCATTTTCACGCTGTTGATCTCAAACATTCTGAAATATATCCATTTACAGACAGCAAATGGTGCGAGAAGCCACAAAAATTTGACCAAGGGTAATTTCAGTGACATGACTTTGAGCTTGGTCAAAAAAAACAAAAACATAACAAGAAAGCCTTCTCTTCTTGGTGAGTTGAGGCCAAAGAGTATAGCCACTTCCTCTCAGACCAAGCGCTTCCCCCTGCTCTCTGAATATACAGAGATACATATAAAGTTTCAATTCAGTGTCACCTTTACACCTCTGAAGAAAATAAGTTTATCTTTAACCTTAAAAATGAAACATCTGAGGAGATCCACAGAGATGTGAAAGCTTTTAAAAAAGTTCCTGCTTTGTTCTGATCTTATAGAAAAGAAATGTAACAGCACGCAGAGATGGGAGACGTTCCACACCCAAATGGCTTGCAGCAGAATTTATAATGAAAACTGCCAGGAGGCTGGAGGCAACTCAGGAAGAGTAACAACAATACAAAGAAAACTGATAATCAGAATAAGAAAAGAGCTAATAGTGAGATGTAGTAATGGTGTTTAAAAGAACTGCATACTAAAACTTTTCACACTACAAGAGAAAAAGAGGAAACCAGAAAAATGTCCTCTTTTCTGCATCTTCTGTCAATGGTCAGTGAATGAAGACAGACACTCGTTTGGTCTTCAATAGTAATTTACCACCCTACTTATCAGATTAACCTGCTCTGTACTCTACAACCCCTGCTCCCAGAGGGCTTCACCACTCCTATCTCCTTTCTCTCTCTGTGTCCCTTACTTCATAACTGCGTCACTCCTCCTGGTCAAACCTGTTTGGTCCACCCAAAGCTGTTTACCTCAAGCACAGAAAGGAGCGACTCTTGCAAAAGTAAGGGTAAAGAAAATAGAGTCCTGCTTAAACAGGACGACCTGGGCTGGGTTAATCCTCTTTTAATCTAAAACAAAAAAGGAAGAAAAAACAAAAATGCACAAAGCAAATATGAATGTGTTTAAAGATGCTTATGGGAAAACCTGCCCAGGGCTACGCAACAGGAACACAGATACTAAAAGAACCTTCCTGTAAAACTGTAACACTGATTTAACCCTTAGCTGTACACTAGGCCCATTTTCATAGTAAATCTGTGAATTATATAAGTATTGATCTTTCCCAGTTTGCACAAATGGTATTTACTAACAATGCACTACTAACTGTTTAAGTTACTTTTCAATCAAAAAAGCCAAAAATGCTTGTGCATCTTCTCCTGTGTGAGGGATTTGCTGTCTTTCTCTGTTTTTTCTTATCATTCTAAATTTAGTATCTTTGAGTTTTGGGTCACTGTTCAGACAAAATAAAACATTTATAGAGTCAAGACATCTTGGGTTCTGAGAAAAACCGTGAGGGCATTTTACATTTTATAGGCCAAACAACCCAATCAGCAAATTAATCGATAATGAAAATAATGCCTTGGAGTTTGAATTTACAATTTTCTATTCTCAAAAGTCAACAGCAAGAAAAATGCTTCCCTTTCCCTTCTTCTTCCTTTTCTTCCAACTTTACTGCTAAGCTTCTTGATCCTCTGCTTCTCTCTCTCTCAAAACAACAAAACACACACACACACACACACACTAATCCCCCCCTTCCCCCCCATATTCCAGCAGAATATGTCCATTCCTTAAATACAAGCTCAAGACCTCTACAGACTTCTCAGGAAGGTAAAAAAAAAACATTTAGGAGCAACCATTTTAAAATTACAGCTCAAATATTCGAACAAAATGACACCTGAGGAAAACAACTGAGTGTAAACTTCAGATAAAAAAATATCACTAGCCCACAACATCCCCCTCCAATCCTAACAGTGACATGATGGATGAAAGAGAAAACAAACAGAAGTGAATTTCTTCCTTCACTGACTGTTAATCAGCTGAGCTCAGTCTGGTTGCTGGTGGTATAAAGCCCTCATCGTAATCCCACTAATCTGGATCGCACTAACTCTGTCAGTAGGTCATCACCAGCACAGACCCCAGAGTAGGGCACAGTCAAAAATGTCCTCCTCTCCCTCTTCACAAAAACATCTTGTGTTACATCGCTCATTATATGGCAACAACAAATGTTTCTCTTACAAAATGATGTACTTTTTCCAGACTAGCTTCGATATCCAACATATTTTATAGAGTGCAGGAACGTAGCAATCCATAAACCAAAGATCATCATTTTACATGAGAAAATCTAAACATGTGAAACTACACTGGGTCTATGAGCACATAAATATTTGCAGTCATGAGTATTGGCACTGTGCAACTTTTTTTTTTTTTTTTTGTACTTTGTGTTCAAAACCTTGGAAAATACCAGAAGCATTTTCCAGACTTCTTATTTTTCAGCTCTGACAAAAACCCAAACAACAGCATATTTCTCCTTCACTATGATGAGAAAAACTGAGATAATGAGGCGATCACTCTTACCTGGTTCCAATTTTATGATCTTCACAGCAGCAAGCTCCCCAGTTTGTATGTTTCGAGCCTGAAAAACACAACAGTACAACTGTCAGCAAGGCTACAAATACAAAGTTTGATTAGTCGAGCTACAGAACAATTTAAGTACATTTTCCATCAAAAATGCCAAACATTCTCCAGTTCCAGCTACTCAACTGTGAGGCTTACCACTTTTGTGTCTTATGATAGTAAATTGAATAGTTTTAGGTCTGTTGGTTGGACAAAACAAGACATTTAACAACATCACTGTGGGGTTTTAGGGAAACGTAATGGAAGATTTTCACTATTTTTCTGATATTTTAAAGACCAAATGATTAATCAGTTAGTTGAGGAAAATAATCAGCAGGGACTGTTGGTCAGACAAAACAGTAAATTTACTGATGTTATCTTGTGGTTTTGGAACATGTGATTGTTGTTTTTCACTACTTTCTGTTTCATTTTAAGTTTAGTTAGTTACAGTTTTGACCTATGTAAACATGAAACTAATGAATCTCATTTTGATGATCCTTTCGCCTTTGTGAGAAGTGGAGTGAAAACATTCAACTGTGGGGTACAAATGGCAGCACCTCCACCAGACAAAGTCAACATCATTTTGATTGCGCTTGTCACTGCCCCGGCACATTTGAAAGTCTGCACTGCACTTTAGTTAACAATGGAGGATCATACTTATGCCGAGCCACAGGAGAAGGAATCCTCGTCGCCAAAACAGCGAAAAAGGGAATTAAAAAGGCAACGTGATCGGCCAATTCAAAAAAGGGAAACATCGGGGTAGCTTTTCCCAGGTGGAAAGAGCTAATGAAGGAGAAAGACTTTCAAAGGGACGCTGAAGTTGCCTGCTTTCTCTTCGACAGGTAGGCTTCTTGGTATATAACGGCTACCGTAGAAGCAATACGCATTTGAAAACGCGAGGCACTAGAGAGCACTTTTCGTTTGAATGCAAAATACAATTTCACCGCTAGATGGGAGAAATTCCTACACAATGTCCCTTTAAGTCTGCTTAAACAAATGTCATCACCAGAGGTGATTAGGCAAACCCGTGGGCATTGTTAGTCAGCAGGGCAAAGCTCGACACGGTCTGGCTACAACTATGACAGTAAACCTTTAAATATCCCTGCTGTAGATGAGTTGTGATTTAGTCAACCTTAGAGTTGCATAATGTTGTTCATTCTTGAAATTCTTTCTTCTTGCTGCTGTATATTTGTGCAGTATCATCTCCACATCTTAATATTTTGTTATGTCAACAGCTCCATCTCAATGGCATTAGATTTAAAAACATATCCATTCATCGTTTGTGAAATTTCTATCTTGAAGTAGGTTGCACTGACTTCCAAATCGAGGTCAAGACGGGATGCTCCCTAATCCGTGGGAGTGAAGTGATGGGACGAGCAGCTAAATCAACCGTAAACCATAAAACCCTCCAGCATGGCCACCTTTCAACACAGAGAATGTGCTGGAGATTCACACACATAAACAGTATACCACACAAAGCTTAAACTTGTTCTGCAGCCGATATCTTGCGTGCATACACGCAAACACATCACAGATCACTATTTTACAAAAACATATTTCTCATGGGAGAGTGTTTCTGCTATCGATTCATCAATGCATTGCAATATATTTTTTCCCAATTCAATATCGATTCATTAAATCCTCTGAATCAATTTAAGCCCCTGGCCAGTGGGGACGCGGTGAGCAACACCTTTGTGTGATTTGCGTTGTACGGACGGAGGCCGCACTCGACCACACAACAACAACATGGCAACCGAAGCAGGTAGCAGTAGTGTTAAACCAGCGCCTTCCACTTTAAAAGCAGTGTAAACCCAGAACACAGGAAATAGACAAAAGTAAGGTAGTGTGTAAGCTGCACCAGGCAGTATTAAAATACTGCAATAACAGAACAATTTGCGCAACCACTTCAGCCGACACCATGCAGACGCTCTGCAGCAACCCTCGGCTAAACCTGTGGATTCAAAACAGACACAACTCGACAGATCCTTCCTTTGCAAACTGCCGCCAAACTCTGCCCACGCACAGAAGATAACAGAGTTTGTGGCCGTCTTCATATGTAAGGACCTACGAGCGTACAGTGTCGTGGAAAACGGGGGGTTTTAAGAAGATGGTATACACACTCGAACGACGATACGCCATACCAACACGCAAACACAGGACAGAAGTCGCCGTCCCGAAGCTGTAATTTACTTATTACTGAATGGATATCGAAGCATTTAAAATCAATATCGAATCGATGTGAATCGTGAGGTTCTTAACAATACCCAGCCCTAATGTGCTGTACTATGGCACATTTATTCAGCTTTTAATGGTAGAAGTCAGTGACTCTCCTGCTAGTATGTTTAAATATTGACCAAATACTTACAGCCTGTATCTAGCTTTACACTTCCCGAAGTGGTTAAAGTCAACCTGAGAACTAAACCCAGAAAGGGGAAGTTCTGAATTGACTCTTCAGATATGTAATGCAGCAGAGGACACAACTTTAACAACCTGAAATAAACTTTGACTGTAGGAAGGTCTGACATAACCTCTAAAGAGACTAGGCCTGATGATCAATCACCATGTCAGACTGAGGTTAAAACAGGTAACTAGGTCCAACATTCAGCTAACTGTAGTGAGCATGTAGACACTGACTCTGCAAAAACATCACATTACATCCTCTTTTAACAACAAGTAAGTTCTTGCACGCTATAACAGGCTTAATGAGGTGTGTAGGATAAAAAAAAAATCTTAACCGAAACAATAAAGTGAAGATTGGCCGTATGCAGGATTCTTTGGTTCCTTCTTTGTCATCCATCTGTGACACAAGCACTGACAGAGGCAGAGCTAGTAACAGTACAGTGCAGATACTCTTGGTGGCATTTCATTCGCTCATGCAAAGAAAAACAACATTTTCCTGGTACAAATAATAAGTAAGTAAGAGTCTGATTCTAAAAATAATCCCACCATATAAAAGGGATATTATAACAATAAACTATGCTTAAAGCCAAGGGTATGACATTATAATGAAGATAGATGTATCATTATCACCAGTAATAATAAAGAGAAAGAATATTTGATTCTCAAATTAATATAAAGCAGATGTAATAAATCATCCAAAGCGAGGAATGCTGCGGCCATTAAATTTTAACTGAGCACAGCAGGCCAAAATGAGGACTTTTCCCAATTTGAGGTGTTTCCACTGTCAGTGCGGCCCTGAACACACCCATAGTGAAACGCATGTTTAGACAGGGGCCTGATCATATTTCAACCCGCTGCAGCCCTACAGCCTGTGAGCTGTGGGAGAATACCAGGCGCAGCATTCCACCAGTGGCCTGTCTGGGGGTGGGGGCTGGCCAGAGAGGCTTTGTATGGAGAGGGACCATGACGGGCTGCCTGAACTATCACACCCTGGATCAGATGGTTCGTCTGTTTGTCCGTGACAGATGGATAAACAAGAAAATTCTGCAGCACCTCTCTAGCCAACAGACAGTTGGAAAAATCTGGATGAGTTATTTTGTTTGGCTGTATAGACTTTCACTCTTCTCATATCACATGGTAAAAACAATGCAATGCAGGAGCACAGTGCCATCTGTCTCTACAGTAAATACCAATAAAACATTTACAATCATTCCTAAAGTAACTTTCTTCCAAAAATTGCATCCACTTGATACTAATACAGCCATAAAGGAATAGTGTTCACAAACTTACTCTTTACTCCTGGTTTTGGAAGTTCTCAATCTGTTTGACTCTTTAACTATTGCAAAAGTTGCTGTCTGTCTGTGAAATGTCACTTCATGCAAGTTATCTAAAAATAATTGTGTGAAACCGTAAGGGCTCTTAAAGACAGCAAAAATATGAAATGCATGAATATAGACAGACATAGAGGAGCACTGATACCAGAATGCTGTGGCAGAATCGCCTGCACTATCAAGTCACTGACATTGAGGGCAATTTGTAGACCTTAAGATTATTTACAAGGTTCAGTATAAGTAATTCAACTCAATAACTGATAGTAAGCCATTATGCATTTGGGAATAACTACGGCTGATTTAATACATGCTTTAATACTGCTGCTTTAGACTAGGTATGGGTAACAGTCTCCACTGCAAAAAGAAAAAGTAATGTGGATAAAATGGACAAGCAGGTACAAGCATTCACTGTTCACTGAGCCAGTTTGAACAGTCAAACGTGTTCAGCAATGCTTATTGATTCATCTGCACACAATATTCTTGATTACCAGACTTTAGTTTAGTTAGTTAGTTTCCTAGAGCATGTGGCACCTTCTCATTGCTTGTTTTGTCTGACCAACAGTCCACACTAAGAAGATATGACCAAATAGAGTAGCAAATCCTCACATCTGAGACACACTGCAGCTTTTTCTTTGCATCTACTAATCCATTAATCAACAACTTGTATTGTTGCAGCTGAACAATACTAGTATTGTCTTAAATCTCACAGTTAATATATAATCCAGCTTGTTTAAGAGTAGTATAAAGTTCTAATATTCCCACCCCCTAGCTGATTATGTGTTATTTCTGCCAATACGTGCATTCTTGTAGCTGAAAAAGACTAAAGCAATGGATGCAGAACTTGGCCCTCACTCAGCAGCTACTGTCTAAAATGTGCTCGCCACATGTTATGATGACTTCCAAATCAAAACTACACTCTGCCTTAAATTAGGACGACGGATTGATTTGTCACGTGATGGAAAGCCAAGATATCTCCAGCTCTGGTGACAAGCTGTGGGAACCAGTAACTCCACTATACCTTGTACACGTCTCCATATGTGCCACTTCCCACCCGTTGAATGAGCTCAAAGTCATGCTGAGGGTTCCTCCTCTGGATTTCACCGCTTGGCCGGGGAAAGATATCCATGGTAGCTTGAACCAAACAATCCTTTACATTTAGTTGGCTTGCTCAAATCTGACGGCGGTGGTTTGGTGAAGCAAACGTCCTGAATAAAATCACTGTTACTCAGGCGATTCTTCTCCGTGCTCCATGTCCTGACAGAGACAGAGACATTAGTTAGGTTTGGAGGACAGTGTTGACAAAAGCTTTTATGTTACCTAAATTAAAAAACCATTAATGTGCTTTAAAAGCAGCAGAACAGATGAGGACATTAATATCTTGGTACATGCTCTATGTGACCTGGCTTGGGGAGTAACAGATTACATGTAACTGACTGTAATCCATTACAGAAAAGTACAGAAAAAAGACTTAATCAGATTATAGTTACATTCAGTTAGAAACTGGATTATTAGCAGGATTACAATTTTAAAATACATCAGTTATTCTTTAAAAAAAAGGACACATTTTAGATGCTAAAACGCTAAAAATATTCATAAACTTAATAGTAAACACTACTTATTGACATTTTTCTACTCCTGTCATTATTTGCACTTAGTGTTAAGGTAATCAAAAAGTAATCAAGTTACATTAACACTGTGAAACTTGGATTACTGACTACAATTATCAACAGGTAACTAGTAATTGTAACGGACCACGCTTTTAAAATAACCCTGCCAGCCCTTTAATAAAACCAAAGTTTACTTAATCCCCATACTGAAGCACTAAAATAACATTAACACCGTGGTCACTCCAGCAAATAGCCAGAGCCGGGTCCAACAGGAGTTAGGGGGGGCTTAGCATCCAGGCGGCTAACAGCTAACGCTAACTAGCAGACGTCAAGTTAGCTTCGCCCCTGCTCCCCAACTTCAGCAGTGCCTACCTTCAACCGTGCAAACACCGCGGATGTCCCGCATTTTAAATCTCCTCCAGATCGTTAACCGTACGATGGCGTCGAATAATCTTTCAACCCCCCCCACCCCCCCTTTCTCTCTCTCTCTCTTCTCTCTGTGTCTCTCTTTTAACAAAAATAAGCGTCCCCCCTCCTCTTCCTCCTCCTCCTCCTCCTCTTTGTTATCGAGGAAACAGTAATAAACTTCAGTTGGCTGTTGCCGTCCCCTCCGTCTCCTTCAGCGGTGCGGCGGCCGCGGACGTTACAGTCGAGTTCAAGAAGAACCCCAGCGTTAAGTTTCAGCCGTTGACATGTCAGTTCCCCCTTCTGCTGACAGTTGGTAGAGACGCCTCGGAGTCCGTGTGTGAATATATATTAACGGTAAACTACAATAATAACGTCAAGTATTACTCTTTAAATTCATTCCCGTTGAGAAAAAAAAAAGCAACAGTGTGTTGCTAATCTGCCTCTGCCTCTGCCCCTCTCTCTCTCTCTCCCTCTCTCTCTGTGTCTCTCTCTCCCTCTCTCTCTCTCTCTGTTGCAGATACAGGATCCTGGTGCCTAGTTCAGGAACTGCTCGGAAAATCTCACGTCTCAACAGAAAAAAAAAAAAATACAATACATTTTAATTGTGAAGTAATTACAACATTGAGCATATAATACAAGTTGTATTAGTCGTTATAAATCTAGAGAATTGCTAATTCTTAAAATTCAACATAACTATTAACTTAAGTTGTAGCTGTGTCAAAAAAAAATCCCTCAAAGAAGTAGTAGAGTTAGAAGTACAAAGCAGAATAAAATGAACATACAAGAAACTACTTGAAACTGAACCATTGCTGTATGGATATTTACGATGGTACCCGAAGGCAGCATGTGTTGCTTTGTACCTGTAAACTTAATTCAGTTTATTTTTTTAAACACAACCACATCTACTCATGTTATCTTTTCTACATAAAAAAAATACCTGCATGTAAATGTTCTTTGCACTCTGCGTGAAGATAAGATGTAAGATGTACCTTTATGCTTATTCTGTGTATGTACAGTGAGAGCAGTGTAAACATGGCTGGCCAATAAGAGTGATTCCGATTGTAGTTGGGAAGCAGCAAAGATTAAATATTCAGTTATTGTAGGTTATTCCACTGGTTCCCAACCTTTTTCCTTAAGTGAGGCCCCTTTTCTATCATTGAGTAAACTGACTAAGAGACATATTTTATGGATATTTCACATTATATTCAATGCATAACAATAACAACACAGAACAGAACTGATACACTGTACAATAAACCCAAATAGTGAACACAGTAACTGCAGGAAGTTTGTGTAAAACAAGTGATTAGGATTAATTTGAGCAGATTATTTCCTGGTATTTATTTATTTATTTATTTATTTTACACAATTCTGTCTGTTTTATAAGGGCTTTGTTTTTTGACAAATTCAGTGTTTTCTTCTCATTGAGCTATTAGCTCTTTGGTTGTTTTAACTGCACACTTACATACACAGGACGAGTTCAGTAGAGAGATAGATGGCTCTGTGAATATAACTTGTGTTCAGGTCTTTAAAGTTTATATGTTAAATAATTAACTTTAAAAATAATGCCATTTTGTTTTCTACTCAGAAATGAATCAAATGCTAGCCCTCCTGTGTATATTTATTAAGACGACCCCTGTGAAGCTTTGGCGACCCCTAGTGGAGGCCCTGAACCCCAGGTTGGGAACCACTGGGTTATTTTTACACATAAATTTGTTTGCGTCAGAAACTGTTCATAGTAGCAGTTTTTTTTTCCGGCTAATGAATTTCACAAGGAACAAGGAACAAAGAACATTCTGACATCCCCATTCCTTATCGCGGGAAACCTGAGGAACTATGTTACTTTTTACTCCACTTCCTCTACATGAAAGCTGCAGTTAGTAGTTACTTAATAAAGACTTCAAAAAAACCTAGAATGACCATAAAAGATAACACATAGTTAATATTAATAGCTACAATCGGCCCCACCTAGGCCAGCGACAATATTAAAATGCTGCTCACATCCTAATCCTGTAATATAACTTGGACAGAGACTATTTTGCATGCAAAGTGGGATGTTCTACTGTACTTTTACTTAATTAAAATTTTGAATGCAAGACTTTTATGCTGTATTTTTCTTATTTTTGCTAAACTATTCTACTTTTAAATCTATAAAGCTCCACTGTGGTGGAGGAAGTACACGGATATTTTACTCTAGTAAAATAATACACTGTTGTGTATCATGCATTCAAAATCTAACTTGAGTAACCGCACAGAAGTATTAATAGTTAAATTTACTTAAAAGTCTCAAAAAAGTGCTAATTATGTACAAAACTGTCCCCTGTGACCGTCATATTATTCTATGGTATATTCACAGATTATGTCTTTTTATTAGCATTTTTCTCGTATAGTGGGTTGAGGTGGAGCAAAATTACTTTAAATTATATTGGGTAGTTGTACAATATAAAGCATAAACTCTAACAATGTATAGTATTTCATAATATACGTTTTGTACGATAATTCTTAAAATTCAACATAACTATTAACTTAAGATGTAGCTGTGTCAAAAAAAATCCCTCAAAGAAGTAGTAGAGTTAGAAGTACAAAGCAGAATAAAATGAACATACAAGAAACTACAAAAAGTACTTCCACCTCTGCTTTTACTTGAACTGAACCATTGCTGCACTGATATTTACGATGGTACCCGAAGGCAGCATGTGTTCCAATCTCTTTGTAATTACCGCCACCTACCGGTGAAAGCTGGAAATGTTCTTCCAGCCTCAACGAAAGAGACTTTATACCAATTACAGCACCCATACTTAACATACTCTGCGGCTGCACTTATTTAAACACAAAAACACGGTGAATCACATTCATTTTTTCCGCATTATCGAGCTGCTGCTGCTTCACATTAAGTGGGAATAACAGACAACAGCGCCCCCTGTCTGCACGTATGAACCTCCCTCCCTGCATCGAGCTGGGAATAAAAAGCTCCATCATCCTCCTGCGATACAAGCATCGTTTTTGGCGGAGCTAGGGCATCTTCCCAACCCCCCCCTCCCCAACCGACACCCATGACTACCGACTAGGGTCGCTGGTTAACGGACAAACAGAGGGATATAAGGACAGTAATATGGCGAAACACCGCAAAGATAGAGACAGCTGGGGTGAGTGTACGTACAACATTTGATATTGCTTTCCTTGACGCACATACATTTTTTTTTTTTTAATTCCTGTCGAGGCGAGGGTGTAAGCAATGCAGCCAATTAGATGTTTATCCTACACTCCACCATTAAAGGCTTGTTTTCCTCTCGACAAAAAAAACGTGTACCAATTGTGTGTATTTTTTCTGATGCTAATATAAATAATAGTATAAATAATAATATTACTGGTGGTGAGAAATACACCGTTTTTTTTTCTCGTTTGTCACTGCTTGGATATCGGTCAATCAAGCCTATGCGAAAAGGCATTTAAAGGCATGTTATCCCATTAATACCTGTGGTGAAAGATGTCAGCATACAGGGAATACTATGTTGGGGCGGTTCAGGCCCCAAAAAAGGCCTGAGAATAACCTTCTGCTTTTTATTGTGTTTATCACACTGAGCCTCTTATGCTGGTCTATGGGTTGCATCTGGCATCAAATTATGTAAGAATGCATCAGTAAATAGCTTGTCACAATTCTCATCACCACCATCTTTTATACTTATAATTACTGCTATGATCATGATCACCTCCACCACTATGATTATAATGATAACCAGCATCCTAATTGTCACTGGCATCCCTCTATGGCCCATGTTAACTTTAAAATACAGGCCTGCAAGGAAGGGAGACAGGATTGAAAGACTGTATCAAGGTTGAGGGGAAAAAATGCTGCTGTGTGTCATTTGAGAGTTTATCTGCTCTGACCCACTTTAGCAGACAGTGCTTCTGACGTCTTCGGTTGTTTTGAGGGCAGCAGCAACATGATCAGGTTAACCGGGCAAGCTTGTGCCGGGCCCCCGGCCGAGCCTTTCTGCTGAAGTCAGACTGACAGCCCTCTTCAGGCCCTGAGAGGAAACCCTGGTTGATTCCTCCTTAAATTATTCACCGTGCATTCTTGGCACCACTGCATACATCTTTTAGCAGGCTCCCAAAATTATTTCCCCACTACTCCTTAATCTGTCACACTGCTTTTGTGCGACTTGCACGCTTAATATGCAATTACATCCTTTAAAATTCACCATCACAGCCACAACAGATTGGAGAGAGCGATGTTGTGTGAGGATTTATGTCTCTTGCAGAATGTGCATTATCAGGCACAAGTTTGTTGTGGCGTGAAAAGCGTATGTTACACGAATGGGGATTTTGGAAGATAAAAGCTCTGCATCAGGAGGGTCATGCAGCCTCGCACACTCTACATGAGACAGCAGAGATTGGAAACACACTGAGTCACTGCTTGGAAAGTTCCGGAAAAAGCTCTGAATGCACATGATCTCACTGGATGCAAACAGATGGGATGGATAGCATGGCGTGATTCATTATTAGTATTAACAAGCTTTCAGGCGATGATATTGATCTAGGGCTAACAGGAAGGAATAATGGACTTAACCTTCCTGTTGTCTTGTCTAATGGACCACTGAGTTTGACTCTTGTTGCTGTGAAGAAGTTCTGTTCACTCACTCACATAACTGCATTTTAGCTGACCTTCCAGAGCCAATCACAAGTAGTTATGTAGACAAATATCTGCAGGCAAAATACTTATAATCTTTATGCATGAAAGCATGTTAAAGGTATAAAATATGTTTAATCCCCCCCCTCTTGTTCTCCAGGGTCCCTCAGTGACAAAAATGTCTATGACTGGAGCTCAGAGGAGGAGGAGCCGGACGGACGAGCCCGGCCCGTGCAGGTGCTGCTGGTCAAAGACGATCACACCTTCGAGCTGGATGAGGCGGCGCTGAGCCGCATCCTGCTGGCGGAGGAGGTCCGAGACCGCGAGGTGGTGGCCATCTCTGTGGCCGGAGCTTTCCGCAAGGGCAAGTCCTTCCTCATGGACTTCATGCTGCGTTACATGTACAACCATGTAAGTATCTGGGTCTGTACAGGGGATTTAGAATTTGAAGTGTGATGCTGGCCCTTTCTACCTCAAAAATGTTACTTTTTTTTCTGCTGATCGAAGGTAAACTTTAAATGTGATAACTGCAGTTTGACTTTTGTATATTGGGATTTGACCAAAAGCAGAACCAGTAATTTTCTACTGATGCTGCCAATAGCTTATATTTTGCTGATATTCTATTTTCATGTAAAAGATAATATTCTTTTCTCAGAGTGATTTAGCCCATTATTGGATATTTAATAACAGGATGCAGTACATACATGAAAGAAAAAGAAGAATGAAATATAAATACAATCTGAGGTTTTAGACTCCTTTGCTGAAGGTAAAGGGATCTCCATTATATTATTGGTGCATGCACGTATTCTAGTGTATATTTTTTCATTTTGATTCATGATTATTGTGACAGCTACATAAACAATGTAGATTCAGTATAAACAAAAGCAGCAGACCACCTACTGACCAAATAGCCCACATTTAATTAAAAACAGTAAGAGATATTTGAACCACTGAACCAACCCTTCTGATCCCGTTGCGCTCAGGCTTCTGAAACCTGGCTGGGAGATGCAGACGCGCCTCTGACCGGCTTCTCCTGGAGGGGGGGCTCGGAGAGGGAGACCACTGGGATCCAGATCTGGAGTGAGGTCTTCCTGGTGGACAAACCAGACGGAAGAAAGGTGAATTCTGGGACTGTAGACCCTTCTGTAGACTATTTCAATGCAACCAGGGACAATATAACATCATAATTAAATATGACACAGATACTTTATTAACCTGTGGCTGGTGGAAGCCTTTACTTGCTTTGTGTAGGATGCAGCATTGGTATGTATTACTGTACAAAGCCATTCTGGGCAGATTACCCATGTGCTCTAAGTTTGTATTTGTACATAATACCTTCACTCTTAGATCCAACAGTAGGCTTGGCTTAAAGGTGCCACCAGTCGGGAAAAAGGAGTATTTTACTATGATCCTCAGTCTTGGACTGACCTGCAGTTTAGACTCAACCTAGCCTCCTTCTGTCAATTAATTTCTTTGTTTTATGTGTGGAAATAAGCTCTTACCCTGTATTATTTGTTATCTTTTGTTTTGTAATATTTTGTATGAATGTAAGTGGCAAGCGCTTGAGGTAAAGCTTTGCTGCTTTCTTGGCCAGGACACCACTGACAAAGAGATTTTATTTCAACAGGTTAAATTTAAAAAAGCATTGTTTTGCACTTAAAAACCACTGGATGCTTTTACACCTGCGTCTCTCATCTTTAGTCTTCACAGAAGGTTGCAGTAAAACAAGGAAAAAGCCAGGGTGCTACTGGTTGTCAGCTTCAAATCTGATTTATTGTACTTATGTTATTTTTGGGCCATTTTAAGATCTTTTATTTATTTAAATCTTCGTTCAAAACTAAACCAACTAGCTGTTGAGCTCAGAGGTTCCTCCCTTCATTTTCGACACCCTAATCCCCCACAAGGTCTATTATAACTCCCCGTCCTCAGCACAAAGGAGGCATGCTACAGACTACCTTGCAGCAGAGGTCAGTTTCTATGTCTGTTTCATTACACAGGTCGCTGTATTGCTAATGGACACCCAAGGCACGTTTGACAGCCAGTCGACGCTGAGGGATTCAGCCACTGTGTTCGCACTGAGCACCATGATAAGCTCCATGCAGGTACAGTGACTTTCACCCATCTGACCCAGCTTTACTTTAGTTATTAGCATATTTATGTAAATGAATGAATGGATAAAGGTTTGCATTTTCAGCCATGCTAGCACCGTGGTTCTATGAGTGGTCGGCCTGCACACCACTGCGGTTCAAACTGAAAATATCTCAACACCTTTGGATGGATTGAAGTTAATTTAATGCAGTTGGTGACATTCATGGTTCCCACACATTGAATCCTAATAAGTTTGGTGATCCCCTGAGGTTTCCTCTAACGCCACCACGAGGTTGACAACAACTATTAGATGAATTCCCATGAACTTTGGCACACACATTAATGTCCCCCTTTGGGATGAATTGCAGTCACTTCCTTTATTTAAATCCCTTTATTTTACACCTACCACCATCATCAGGTTTAAATTAGATACTAAGATACTTTGGTTTATGACCAAATACCTGCATTTTCACCGCTAATTGCCAGATTTTAACATTATACCTGCCAAACATCAGCATGTCAGCATTGACAGTGTGAGTTCAAAAGACCAACAAAGCACAGCATCACAGGGCTGCTAGCATGTCTTTAGATCAGGGGTCTCAAACTCAAATTAGCTTGGGGCCACAGCTTGTATTGTCATAGGAGGGCCACTGCAACATTCAAGTACTACAAGAAAGCGCAATATTTAGAAAGTATTTCCATTACTAACATTGTACATAATAAAAAAATGCAAACAGCAGTTTCTTCACATTTTAGGATCATTGTTTAATATCATCTTTGTTGCAGCCAAACAACAAATGAAGACTAGAAAACATAAGATTATATTATATTTTTTACATCCTGTTGCGGGCCGGAGGGATGGAGGGTGGAGGGCTTCCTTTGTTTTTACACCAGAATGACTTTATTAAATTATGCACTACATACTTCCATTAAATGTGAATGAATGGCCTTTTTCAGGTTTACAACATCTCACAGAATGTACAAGAGGACGACCTTCAGCATTTGCAGGTAACACCGTCAAGTGTCAACACTAATGCATAACTGAGAGCTAAAAGAGCAAGAGAGGTCCAGGTTTAAAACCCAATGGCCAGTTGTAAATATCATTTCAACATTATATTCAGATGACTGTGGTTCTTAATCCCAACATTTCATATCCTCCCTGATTTCATCTCATCCGTCTTATTTCAGCTTTTCACCGAGTACGGCAGACTAGCTATGGAGGAGACTTTCCTTAAACCATTCCAGGTACTGTATATCATTTTCACATGCTGGAAGGATTTGCAGCAGTGTGCTGATTACATCCAAATGTCAGCAAATGACATTTAAAAATTATTACTGGTGGTTTTTTCTAAGCATCTTGAAATATTGGATTGGAGGTTACGTAAGGAAGTTTAATGAGAAATGGAAAGTTTAGATAATCATCAAAAGGATTTGAACTGTCAGGTGTTCAAACTGACCATATATGTACATCATCAGATATCATTACTAAGAGTCTCATGGTAGCTTATTTGTTTTTGTTAAGTCCATGATTTTCCTCGTTCGAGACTGGAGCTTTCCGTATGAGTTTCCCTACGGACAGGAAGGAGGCATGAAGTTCCTCGAGAAGAGGCTGAAGGTCAGTTGTCACCCATCTGTTTGAATTCACAGTCAGTCCTGTAATTTCAGCTTTCTCTGCTGTGATGTTGAATGTCTCACTGATAACGTACATTAAATGTATATTTATGGTGTAGATCTCAGAGAACCAGCACGAAGAGCTGCAGAACGTGCGTAAACACATCCACTCCTGCTTCACCAACATCTCCTGTTTCTTGATGCCTCACCCCGGCCTCAAAGTGGCCACCAACCCACTCTTTGATGGGAGAATTACAGGTACACTTCCTCTGTCTCACATTTCATCCAGTCTTTCATAAATAGAATTGTTTCTTGTCAAAGGTTTCTGATCTTGAGTGAAAATCAGGTTTGAAATGGAGGCATTTAAAGGACCAGTGTGTAGGATTTAGTGGCATCTAGCGGTAAAGTTGCAGATTGCAACCAACTGAATACCACTCGCCGCTTTTCAATACACAGGATTTACAGAATATTAACTACATAAAACAATTTTAGTAACACTAGAGACGGCAATGTGTGTCTGCCACTTTGGCAGAGCAAATGTTAGCAATCATTAGCATGTGAGCATGGCTGTAGAGTCTTGATAGAAAGTAAATTCGAAGAAATTTGAATGAGGTCATTTAGGGAATAAGTAAGTGTAGGTAGTACACATGTGCTCTTCAATACAACTTACTGAAAGTATGAATAATGTGTAAGAAATAAAAATAAATGTATGGAATTGTATGAATGCAGTATGGTTCAGACTCAACAGGTTGCAAAGTATGACTCATCACATACATATATCTACATATCTAAACAACTACTTGAATTTTAGAGGTGAAACAAGTATAAATACACAACCACGCAGCCGGTGCAGGGTTGAGTCTGTATGAATTGTGCAGGAGCAGGTGGTGCACTGGAGCTTTTGAGAAACAGCACCCGGGGGGGAACAAGCTGTTGTGCGTCTGACTGTTTGCTGCTCGGAATTGCTGATCTTTCCCATTTATTTATTGGACTACCACCAGAAACTGAATATAACTGAGAAAACGCTGTTGAATTTCAGCACAGACTGTACACACTCACCAGCCGTTGCCTCTCCTCCCTGTCTAGAGATTGATGGCGATTTCTTGAACAACCTGAAGGTTCTGGTCCCCTGGCTTCTCAGTCCTCGTAACATCGACGTGAAGGAGATCAACGGCAGCAAAATCACCTGCAGAGGCCTGGTGGAGTACTTCAAGGTCAGAAGAAAGGACCGTGTTGACATAAAACACAACACTGTACCTTACAATACATTACAATATAATAATAATATAATAATGTAAGTATTGTCCTTTTATTCTGTATATTAGTAACTGTTGAACTCGATTGTGACTAAATCCAACATATTTATATTATTTGATGATTAACCATTTCTGTTTCTTTTAACGTTTGTTGTCATCCTTTTGTTTATTTCAGGCGTACATCAAAATTTACCAAGGTGAGGAGCTGCCACATCCAAAATCCATGCTGCAGGTACTTTTTTTGTCTTTCTGTCTCTTTTTATTACAACAACTTTTATTACTTTTGTGTTTGAGCACTTTAAAGTTACAGTTCATGTTGGGTATATATGGTATTTTGTACCCTGAATTTGGAGTTTATTTGTATACAGTATATTAAAACCTGACCAATATTGGCAGACATACCCTGTCAATATCGGCATATATGTTATCTGAAATGCACCGACACACTGTGGCAAGCAGCAGTGAGTAAGAGAGAAGAAGTAGCTCTCAGTATTGCCAACTAGAACTGAAGATGTATACTTTGAATAATTTTACATATAAAAGATTATTTAACCTATATGTTCTTTAAAATGTTATTTGTTTGAGAAAGCCGACTTCTAAATACCTTTGCATTATAATCGCTGCACAATCCACATAGAAAAGGTGTATTTCATATACACCATATTGGTTGGGCTCTATGATATATGTTTATTATCTAAATAGTATTCTAGTTTTTGGGATTTTTGCTAATCTAAGCATCTGTTCTTGTACTGTTATTTTCCTGTGTAGGATCGATAAAGTTAATCTTATATTGTCTTATCTTATATTACTTATTAATAAATAACAACTATCATTAATAAATGATCACTATAATTTAATTTGCATCCTCTCAGGCCACAGCAGAGGCGAATAATTTGGCAGCAGTAGCAGCCGCAAAGGATCTGTACAACAAGAAAATGGAGGAGGTTGGTGAAAACTTAAACAGGATTTTGAAGTAAATCCCAAACTGTCAACTGCATTCTAATCCCTCCTCCCTCTTCTTCTACTTCTTCTTCTTCTTCTTCTTCTGCTTCGTTATTGTGTTGTCAGGTCTGTGGGGGTGACCGGCCCTTCCTGGCCCCCAGCGAGCTGCAGGCCCGACACAGCACCATCAGAGAGGAGGCCCTGCAGGTGTTTCGGGGCGTGAAGAAGATGGGAGGCGAGGAGTTCAGCCGCCGCTACCTGCAGCAGCTGGAGGGAGAAATCGACGAGGTGTTTGTCCAGTACATCAAGCACAATGACTCCAAGAACATTTTCCACGCAGCCCGCACGCCGGCCACTCTGTTCGTGGTCATCTTTGTCATGTATGTGGCTGCGGGCATCACAGGCTTTGTGGGCGTGGACATCATTGCCAGCCTGTGTAACATGATCCTGGGTCTGGCACTGATCACTCTCTGCACCTGGGCCTACATCCGGTACTCCGGGGAATACCGAGAACTCGGCGCCGTCATCGACCAGGTGGCTGGTGCGCTGTGGGACCAGGTAATTCAATGAACGACATAAACATTAATGAAGTCGAGAATAAATCCGTCCATCTGTCTAACTTAATCAATATTTGAATCAAGGCCAAGTTCACTTTATTAATAATGCAAAATCACAATCAAAAAATCTTTGCACACTGTACAGAAAGATAAAAAAAAAGTCCACATACAGATGCACACAATGTACAGATTAAGTTCCATTTTCCCTCTCAAATGTTTTATTTGAGAATAAGTCTCCATTTACAGGGCGGTCTTCAGACACCAAAACATGGAAATTAACCAAAATATTAACAGAAATTAACACATCAACAGCAAAAAGAAGTTTACAGTAAACTGCACAACATGTAAAACTAATAGCTAATATAGCTAATAGAGAAAAGGACTAGATTTTAAATTTTCAACTGAGCTAAAATCAATAAAAAATATCAGATATCCAGTATTTACAGAACAATGAAGATGTACTAGTATATATAGTTTAATATTAGGTCCTGTACAAATAGTGGTGCCAAATCTGTGAAGTGTGAAGAATTTATCTTATATGGTCGAACATTGTGTAGAACATTTTTATAGTTTTAAAAGGAGACTGTAGTGAAGCACACAATCCATTCTACATGTATGGCTGTACACTTATTTTCTATATTGATCAATCTGTCAATTATTCTTTTGATCAATAGATTAGTCTATATATTGTCACAATAAATTGATTTCTTCAGGTTGCTTGTTTTGGCTAAAAATCAACAGTCCCAAACCCAAATGTCACAAAAATCCTCACATTTGAGCAGCTCAAACCTGTGAATCTTTGGCATTTTTATCGATAAATGATCATTTTCTGCTGATCGGCTAATTGATTAATACACTAATCCTTTCAGTCCTGTCTAGATGTTATAAATAAAATCGATTTCAGCATTTTCCCATCTGAAAATGGAACAAATTATGTCTATTTACCACTGACGGAAGAAAACAGATTTACTCACAATGGATGAAGAGGAACCAAAAACTGTTTGACTTTTAGGTCACTATTTTCATCATTGTCTATTCTGATGATTACTTTCTCAGTTAATCAATTTCACAAATACTTATTCAAATTACTTGTTTGAGTCCAAAATCTAAATATATTGCTGTGTATTTTAGCCATTTTTGTTCTAAACATTTAATCTTTTAATAAAGTTGAAGTTAATTTTATGGGAACTGACTAATCGATTAATCAATTAAACCAGAATGCACCAGGTACAGCAGAGACAAATACTAGTACACAACTTTATACACAACATAGGTGACACAGTATCTTTAAACCACTAGAGGGCAACAATCTCCTTTAAATCAGTGTCAGAGAGAATGAATCCAGATCATCACAGCAATAATGAACATGCTTTATGTTATATACTGTCTGGATATATGTGCTCACACTATATATATGTTTTTCTTTTTAATGCCTCTGCAGGGAAGCACAAATGAGGTAAGTGGATCCAAGTGTGAATGTTTACAAAGGCAGGGACAGCAAGAGCGTCTTTTAGGGAGCGTGTTGATGGGCTCAAGTTTCCTCAAAATTATTACGTTCATAAAAATAGTTACCTCTGGATGATTTAATGATAATGACAAGGACATGTCACGCCCTGCGCTGCTGAAACGCAGCCTGCTGTTCACTGTTGGTGTTCAGTAGGAGACTCTGGACAGCAGAGGGGGACAGGTGACCTTAAATTATTCTTATTTTCTTTCCAGATTTGTTCGAGCTGTCATATGTATACGTCAAACCAGTTCTTTTGACAGTAAATAGAATATACTATATTAACCTTCATTTATTTAGATCCTCACAGCAATATATGCCAACATATGCAAATATGTTTAACTTTGTGTCACTTTATTGGCTATTTTTGTCACCATTACCCATCCACATAGCTCCTAAAATTGCTCATCTGCATCCCTACCCTGACATTATCTTAAGTGATCTATGGGAGTTAAATTCTCCGCCTGCAAACACGTCTCCTGTCTCCGCTCCACAGGCTCTCTACAAGCTGTACAATGTAGCGGCCAATCACAGGCACCTGTACCACCATGCCTTCCCCGGGCACCAGGTGGATGAGGTTGCCGAGGAGCAGGACAAGAAGAGGGACTGATTAGATTAGACAGAGTACAGCAGGGACTTCCTGGTGATGGACAAGAGGAAGAGGAGGAGGAGGAACATCCTCACTCATCAGGCACTCTTTTATTCTGGTATTGGCTGATGCTGCCCACCAATACATCCACTACTTTAAACCTAATAATGGACTGTATAATGTTCACGTATAGGCAATGTCAGAGCATCTCCTCAGAGGGTGCTTGCTTTCAAGCGATGGATGCCATTTATCATTGTCTCACTTTTTTGTCTGTGGAAAAAAATAGCACCTGTACAGATACTGTAGGCACTCTGCCAGAGGAGACCTCGGCATATCCAACCTCCAGTCAGCTGTTGATTTTATATCAGACGGGTTTTTTCTTTGCCATCATTTGTCATCGACGATGATCTTTCGAAGTATAGCCAAATCTGTGAAATCCCCATTTGTGACGATCGTTCTGTTCTTTGAAGTTTAGTGCTGTTTATAAGAAACAATATCTATGATCTGCGACGTTTGAAAGCCAAAATATGTACTGTATGTTAAATAATGAAGCATTACAAGCATCATCAGCATGGTAAATGGTTAATGTCTGTCATCTTTAAGCTCTAAAACCAGGTATACTTTATAAAAAATTTAGTTTTAATGGTTGTGACAAAGTGGTATTGTGCCATAACATGTAAGAAAAAAAAAGGAAAAAAAATTTCACATCTACTGCAGCCTGGCTACATGCAGACACTCCATGGCACATTTATTAGTTGTATGCAGTATGTTTTGTTTTGGAGGTTGGTGTTACTTTTCTGGATCAGGGAGTTGCTTTGTGCTGACATATTCTTTCAAATAAGAGCACTGGGTGGAAAGACAAAAACAGATCAAAGTTTACACAACATAGCTGACATTATCTTTCACTTTGTAGTCCGCTTGCAGTTTTGTAATTTACGCAGCGTCCCAGTGATCCTCTATATATGTGTTTGGTCTTTGAGGTTGAGGGGAAAGAGTGTGTTTGGCTTCCATTGTGATGTAGAGGTGGTGGGTGAAACCATTGTTGTGTTTTTCTCTCTGAATGTTCGAGCAAATCCGAGGAATGTAGCTATTCTGTGGCCACTGAGGAATCAAAGCTAGTTGTTATTAGGCGGGGCGACAGGCCTGCTTTGGAAAAGGATCCTCATTCCACATCTCTTTCATCATCTTCACACACTTAAGTTGAATCATCTGTAACAAAAAAAAAAGAAAAGAAAAGAAATGAAACTGTTGCATGGTGAAAGAGGCCAGGCCCAGACTTTTTGTGTTCCCAAAAACAGCTTGCATTATAAACAAAAGGCTTGTATTGGTGGCAGCACTTTTTGGTGTTTGAATACTTTGGCTTAGTAGACTGTTACTGTACATTTGTATAACTGTGGTCATTGTTTTTAGCTCATTGAATAACCCCCAATCATAGATCTCACTGTAAAACTGTCTGCATCACTTACAGCTGCAGCACTGAACTGTTTTTTTTCCATGTAGATCTGGTCACCAACAGTACAGGAACACTGTCATGCATATTTAGCAAGTTTATACTGAGGTTTGACCTCAAGGGTTGAAAATTTAAAGGCACTGCAGCAGAGTGGCTTCTTGAGTCTTCCACAATGTATAATCAACATCAGTGAGGCCTTCACACAAAGATCCATCTAAGTCCAGTTTAAGATTCGTGAGGTTTTCAAATCCCATTTTCTTCATGACTATGTTGAAGCGCCCATTCATAAGTCAGAAAAGTAGCATTTGTTTACATTGTGTTGCGTTTACACTCCAAATTAAATAATTGAAGATTTAATCTGTTTAAAAAGAACGGGAAGATTTATCAGAGCATGTTATTCTTGGATTTTGACAATTCATTCCTAAAGCCGCCTCCATCAACACTAAAATCAACTCCGGATGTCGTGGGAGCCTCAGTCTACTGAAAGGTCAAATGAATCAACCTCTTCCAAGTCAACACTGCTAAGTTTCCACACACGCATTGCAAAATTTCAGTTACAAGGAAATAACTAATAAAGTTGGACCAAATTAATGAAAACTAGACTTTTTTCTTTCTTTAAGACATAAAAAATACTCTGGTTTGAATAGTAATTTGTGTCTTATATATTCATGTTTTCCACAAACATTTTTACTCTTTCTCCCTCATTGAAAAATCCACAAATTATGAATATGCAAATAATTCTTTGTTTCAGAAGTTTAACTGCTAGACACAAGATGTCTCCTACTTCACTGAAAAGTATATTCTCAGTGTCTGTGCACTGCAGGCTTCTTGTTTTCACGTCACACTTGTATAAGTTGTGTACTGGATCACGATTGGTTTTCAGACTAGTTCAAATCATTTTGTATGCACAAGTCTCACACTCAGATTTAAGGTGAGCTCAGGGAGTCGTGTTTCCAATATTCACTCTCTTTTCGCTCTATTTTTGGTCTCTACCAACTCCTGAGAGAAATATCTGGCTCTTTAGCTGCCAAATGCTTGCCTATGATCACCAGCTAGTCTCCAAATGTGTCTGTCTGCTGTTTGGTGCTGAACAGGTAGTGTATGGTGGGATTTTAGAGCCAAAAATAACACAACAAGAGCGGTGAGAGTGAACCAAAACAGCAGTTGCGGGGCAGAACATCCTCTCGAAAAGCTCAGGGAAGCATCTCTCTTTAATGAAGGTGGTGCGTTTAACCATACATACATTAACCAAACCAAGCAGTTAGTTTTCATCCTTTAAAGGTCTAGTGTGTTACATTTAGGTTACATTGTTTAACATCACTTCAGATAAAACACAAATCTCAAAACCTTTGTGTCGAAGTTTGTTTTTGAGTGTGGAACAGTGAGTCCCGTTGACCTTTGTGGCCGTTGGGGAAAAAATAAAAAACACCCACTGCGACCAGTATAGTACCAGTGTTTTCCACCTTCTGCCCTCGGGGGGCAGTTAATGAGCCCATTACAGCTTAGCTTACCGCAATGAGGTGACGAAGACACTGCACTAGAGAATGTATTTGGCCAAGCTACATAATGGTGAGATTTATACTTCATTCATAGTGTTTTCAAACGGTATTTTGTGGTTTTATAACAGAAAAGAAGACTCACTTAGTGGTTTGGTAAATGTATATCTGGTCCCAGGAGTGCAGCACACAGCCGCCTACCTGAACCTTCGTAGAGGACCTTCCAGGATCACACACAGTGGATAGGACAGTCCTGGACAGGGCGAGATGAGCTACATTAATACATTATTATAAAAATATCTTTTATAGCAGCTTTAATCATTTTACACCTAAATAATTGTTTCAGGCTCCGTGTGAAAGTGAGAGGCAACAACTGTACAGTCACTGAGTGTATTTTTCTTCACTGCAGACTTTATTGCTTTTGTCCTGTATTTGCAATCCACAAAATCAGATATGTACAAACTGATGGCACCATTCTGAAAAGCTGTGATTGAGACCGTCTTGCATAGTGAAGGACTCATCGAAGAGAGGTTCTTAACAAATTTTACTCCACTGTTAGCTAATCAGGCAACCTTTGAGGACATTCAGAAATGCTAATGTAATCACTCTCATAAACAAGTCCCATTAAACACTTTATTTTTCTGTTTTCATTTTATATTTGGAAAGTAATAGTGTCATAAAACATTTGTCTTTTTTCACCTTAGTGAGTAAATTAATCGGAAGCCATCACCAATCTCTGCTAGACAAAACCTCCAGCACAAACACATTTCTGAGTATCTTAAGCTGACTGATTAGTGATCAATAGAATATGCTTCAGAGAACCTGCACTTCTTCCACAGAAAATACGCATCAATCCATAAACAATAAGTCATTACCAAGGCAAGAAATATCCAGAAAGAATGAAACAAGGAGAGGTTGAATTGCACTTGTTTGGCATACTTAATGTGTCTTCTGAAGTGTTTTAAAGTTCCAGTAGCTTATTTATGTTTCATTATACACACACAAGAATATTCCTGACTTACAGTAATGCCAAGAGCCAAGAGATGCTCAAACCACCGCATCAAATGTGATGCTTCATCCAACAAAGGTCTTTAAATAAAGACGTGTTTCATATCAAAACTTAAATATCTGTGAACGTTTTGGTGGATTGTCTTATAAAGGATATGTCATTAAAAAAAAGAAAAGAAAAGAAAAATGCACACTTTCTTCGTTTAATGTAAAAGAGTGTGGTTTCAGTTTGTGAGGGTAACAAAGCAAAAAGGAAAGAAAAAGTCATGAAGTATTTCAAACAGAAACAAATTAGAAGAAGCTGCCGGTCATTTTCTCCCACAGGAAAATATGACGGAGTAGCTGGTGTATACAAGACATGAGCAGACATTGTAAAAATGCTGCGCTTTATTTTATTAAAAAGGCACAATCTCAGGATGTTTTTGAACAAATATCCATAGTTTTCCGGACTCTATTCCCCCTTAGTCTTAAAAACAGAAATCCATACAGCAATTCAGTTCTCAGGGCAGTGGCTGGAAATGGCACCACAAGCCGTCTCCCCAGATGTAGTACATTATAGGTTCTTTTTTCTTCATTGGAGTGTTTTTTTTCAGTCACATGGTCATTCATAAATTGAGTGTCACATGGAGGAGGGGGAGAGGAGGCCCCCCGCCAATGTGTGTCTTGACTTCCTGGCTGTTATATTTGGATCAAGCGAAGGCACAGATGTGTTTGGTAAAGAGGCAATTAAGAGTCAATCATGATTTCAAAGAAAACCCTGACCGCTCCCAAACTGTGGAAACCTCAGAGAGGTGTGGCAGCAAGACGTCCCTGCTGCACGTTCACATCACATGTTCCCTATGAAGTTCTTGTTGGGCTGCTGGGCGTACCACTGCTGCCGCTGTTTGCGAGCCTCCACCTCCGACAGCAGCGCCTGCCGGTATGCCTCGTAGGATTTGACGATGTGTTCCAGCTCCTTCATGAAGAGCAGCTTCAGCATGCCCTGATACGTGTCTAAGTCTGCCAGCTGGAACAACTCCCACTTCAAGATGTGGTCATACCTGATGAAGAAGGGAAGATATTTATAGTACTTTAAAAAAGGTGCTTTGCAAAGTGTTGGAGGACAATGGCGCTGCGGAGCACTGTTTTGATGACTGGGTCTCTGTATTATCTGTACTTCTGTAATTCTACTAACAATCATTTCTGGATTGGAAAAAATCCAATAAAGATATATCAGGCAATAGTAATATCTTTAAATATAAACAATCTTGCTACAGATCTCTTAAATTGGTTCTTTTTCCATGGTGACACATGATAAGCATGACCTCTTACTGTTGAAATATAAACTTATCAGTGCTCTCTGGTGGAAAAACTGCATGTAATGGTGACACTGTTTCTAAATGACCTCAAACCTAGTTTGATTAACTTTGAAACGCTGTACTGCAATTTCTGGTTAAGTCATCAGATGTCATACCGTATACAACAATTACATATATTTGTAATAAGCTAATATGCTGTCTTGCTGTACTACCAGTAAAACCTATAATGGGCATTTCTTCCAAAATTTAGCTGTTTAGAGACCAAACGATAAAATTACTGGGAGACTATTCAATGCTAGGAAAGGACTTACAGTTGCTGCTATAATATATATAATAATAATAATATTAGTGCTCACTTGAGTGGGGCACGGGCGTACACCTGCAACCAGTCTGGGATCTCAGCTGTGTGGTACGGGTTAGCTGGCACCAGCACGGGTTGGTTCCTCTCTGCAGGACGTGGCTGATAGGTCACAGGAGGAGGTAATGGTGGAGGCTGATCATAGCGAGGCACACTGGAACACACAGAGGTAATATTTATACCTTATTTCATCTGTGTCAAACCAGTTTGGACAACTCAAAAGACTGACAATTAAAAAAAAATGCTTAAAGTAAGTGGAAGTGAAAAAATGCAGCTTTACAAAATACTAAATCTTGATGACGTACCTTGGAGCACAGGGGTGGCGATACTGTGCCCTCTTGTTGATGTGATCCACATAGTAGACCCCAAACTCAGCAGACTCCACCTTTTCCCAGCCCGGAGGGAGCCCTTCCCTCTCCAGAGGGTGGCTCCAGTGTGTAGTGTTAGTGTTGTGGTCAATGTAGTACTTCCTGCCACGGATGGTCCAGTCAACGGTCCAACCGCCAGGAAGGGGGAGGTCCTCTCCCGTTAGACTGGAGAGGTTCCCAAGGGACTTGGCCTGTATTCGACCTATGCCTGAGGAAAACAAACATTTCTTTTTAGAAACCTAGAGGGAGAGGGAGAGATGTCTGACCAAACATACAGTAGAGCAGCTGCCAGCAAACAGCGCCTCTGGGAAAGAAAAAATATTTGGGGAAATTTCTCGGAAACAACATGTGTGGGAAAATGTCATTTAAAGGAGAGGAACATCCAGCATTTAAAAAAGGTCATTCTGATGTGACAGCTGAGGACAGAATGGGATAAGGGAGGAATGAAATGAACTTATGACTTATGCAGGGTGCTTAATCCCTTTGACTCTGTGACTACTGTGACAGAGCATCTTACTCTGACCGACATCATTTGATGAATGGTAGGAAATGGGAGTGTCGTTACGTTTGGACAGGAAGGCAGAGATCTCTTCATGGCCAGACATACACACAGGAGCTTTCACCGGAAGAGAACAAACCACTGAACTCCCAAACACTAAGAGCAGACAGCAGAGCGGATTCATTCAACAGGTCCTGTACTTTTATTGGCAAATAATGTCAGTGAGGAATGTAGAGCCAACAGCTGCATGGATGAGTTAGACTGAACGAGAACTGTCATGAATCAAAAGCAATGAGCCTGGAGGGACTCAGAAAGGGTCGAAACCACCGGAGAACGTGCAGAGAATTAAGTATCTCAGCAAAATGGCGGCTACAATCTGATAAATTCTGCACGAGAGTGACAGCAACAGAGCTGGAGCTCTTTGCCAGCTGCTGAGTGAAGGGACGGAATGTGCGAGCGCTCCGCAGAAATGCACTCCTCCTCCTCCTCCTCCCACCTCATCATCATCATCATCTCTGCCCTTTTCCTCAGAAAAATGGCAGAGAGCCATACTCACTGCAGACCTAAAGCTCAATGCATCACAAGAATTTCTGGATAATTATCAAGGGTAGACTACAATGGTGATGCAGTAGTTGTACTGAAGAAATGAGATGGGTAACTGAATTGAGTGATCAACAAAATATGAAACACAAACAGAAGATTTTGACAACACAAATGACAAATTATTCATAATTTATATTGTTTTATGTTTCCCAGCATCTAAAAGTTGCAGGGATTTCTGCTCCAAGATGTTATCCCACAAGATAGGAAACTTTTGCAATGAGCACATTTTAAAACAATGCTTCCAGTAATAGAAAGTAAACTGATAATCAGGAGACAGTGCAAATGAGCTGCTAATCATGTGTTCAAATGCTTGTGAAAAAAACAAATGGTTAAACTACAGTGTTGGCACTGCATATAATACAGTTTTAATCTATATTTTTACATCGATTATTAGCCAATGTTAATAATAATAAAAAAAATGTTTTTTACACTACAAAAATAATACTGTCAACTGATTGTAGGTAGATGACTCCTCCAAAACATGTCTGCAATGTAACTACACAGAGTGCATTACCTTTGTACACAGATGATTCATAGAAGCGAGCATTCTGAGGTTGAGACATTTGACTGCGGGCGGTCTGCAAATTGCTAGTTTGCCGGCAGAAAGATTCAGCAAACAGAGAGGTGAAAAATGCAGAGCCCCTAATGCTTGTTAAACTTCACTCCAAACAAGGCTCCATGATATGTGATAGGCGGGCCTGACAAAATACTAAACCATATACACGACGTTGACAAGGCAGCCACAAAATAAAAGGCTTTCTATCGTTTGGAGTAGGCCGAAAAATTCCTGCGATCCCCTAAACATTTAATCTCATGGAAATTACACACATCATAACAATGTTTACAATGTGGAGCAGTAAAACTGAAATAAAATGACTCTTTTGAGCTGTTCAGAGACAACAAACGGCTTGCATTCCTTTCAGAGTGGCCTATGTAACCCATCCATAATACTTTTGCCATTTCAAAGCAGCAATCATGCATTAGCACAGCCACTTCACTTCAACTGCAACATTTTCTTGGACTCCAAAGTTGGCCATGCTGGTCTGATTTCCACTCAATCTCGAGCTCCACTTCCACCTCAGAATTTGCAGACAAAAAACCATAAAAAGGCAGATTTTAGCCCCTTAAGAGACTATTACTGCCTGCAATGTACTTTCCAAAACAATGTGTTCACTTCAAGAATGCAATTCCTGATTCACTTTGTCACATTTTCCAATATCTTGTCACAGAGCCCTGTTTACTTTCCTATAAGGGAGAAATATCTAAAATCATGTTTACCTGAAGGGGGTCTGCTTGGAGCTGGGGGTGTGTGCTGTCGTGGAAGTCTTTGGAAGTTGTGCTCATTGTGCTCATAGTATCTATAGTCCTCAGGAAAGCGGTCTGGGACCCTCCTGGGCTGGCGTTGCTGATGCTGTTGGTGCTGCTGGTTGTCATAGTAAGGTTCAGAGGGGTAATAATACCGGGTGGTGTCTCCATTTTCAGACATGGGGCTCACGTCTGTGAGGAAGGACTGTGAGGAGCCTCCGTACTCGTGGGGCAGGTCTCCCAGACTGCGAGGCAGGTATGGAGGTGCTGACATGCGGTGGCTCTCTCGGCGGGCCACCTCATGAGGAGGCCTCTGCACAGGGGTACGGAGAAAACTCTTGTTGCGGGACACCACAGGCTCCCGGCTGGGTGCCACAGGGTAGGAGGGCCCCATGTCTGGTAGAGGGACCTCTGTGCGTCTGGGAATAGTGGGACCATGACGGATGAATGAGGGCATAAGATCTGCAACCAGGTAAACAAGTCAAGTGAATACGAGTCAACACAATGCAAACTGCCCTTAAACTTGCGTGTTATTCCCATTGGAGAGTTTAAAACTTTACTATCTGATGTTTTCAGTGATTCTTGCACAGGACCTTTGACGATTGTTTGATTGTTTATGGCTGTTGTTCTCAGGTCTCTCTTGGAAAAGAGATGTTAATCTCATTGAGACTGCCTGATTAAAAAAAGATGAAATAACATAACAGTAGTAAAAGTAGGCGGTGGAGTAATGTACACCGAGTACACTCACTCAAGTACTACACTTACATAAAGTACTAGAGTATTTCCTTACTCTGCTACATTCGGCAGACCGAAATTAAACCTACAAAATCAAATGACCACGTTATAAAAGATGATTTATAGTTATAGTGTCGCTTTAACTACCCAACAGTATACACAGTCGTTTATTTTAGCCCCATTTTTAACAACTATAATATCAAAAAGGTTCCACTTAACACTTTTGCTTTACTGTATCAATAATATAACACATTATTACACCAACAGGGGCCTTTCTGTCTGCACAATGAGTGCATTCACTTTATACTTTAGTTCATTTAGCTGATAATAGCTTCCTGCTTTTAGGTGCAGTGAATGCAGTGCAATGTAGTATGTTACAGCAGAGTATTGCTGTTTAAAGTACATGTTTTTAAAACGTCTTCCACACCAAAATAACCGGTAAACCACTAACAACATAACACATATTAAATATATATACTCGGTAAGTTAAGATCAGATGACAACACTCATTCAGTTTGTACCGGATGAAGCTAACTAGCAGCAAATCTGAGTTTCCAGTAAACAACTCCACTGAGCACAGCGTCAGAAACAGTTACATAATAATAACAGATAATAAAGTCAAACACACCTTTAATCGGACAGCTTTATATACTAATAAACACGAGTGGCTATCTTTTGAGCTTTCCTTTTAGCTTCGCAGCTGACGTTAACGTAGCAAGACGCATTTTAGCTCGCTAGCACTTGAACTACCAGTCAGCAGCTTGTTTAAAGTCGCACAAAAAAACTTTTAACTGCTGGTTTTAAGTGTTTGAGCTACATTAACGTGGCACCAAGTCCCCCCCCACACACTTTTATTTTTTTTTTGTAGCTTTCTTTAGCTTCCTAGTTAATTCTCTGGCAGGCTAACTGACGCTAACTCTGGAGCTAGCTGGCTAACGACTTGTTGCTTTCTTACTTCTCAGCAGCGGCGACGTTTCCTTCTTCACATATTTCCCGTGGACCTCGGCTGGTTTGGACGCTTCGCTTTTACTTTTCTTTCGTGAGAGCATAACTTCAAGGCTCGGAACACATCAACAACACGGCGCTGTAATGTCATGGCCACGACCCCTCGACTCCGCAACCGGCCCGTTCAGTTTGCGGAGCGCGGAAAGTGAACATTTTAAGCAAAAAAAAATGTTGTTATTTTGTTTTTTAAAGCCAGCTAACTTGGGAGTGTTTCCTCCAGTGGTACAGTCCGGCTCTGAGCGGCGCTCCGCTCCCACCGCTGGTCCTCACTGGTTACTGTACGGTCCTGCCCATCCTGTAACTCAACCTCTGCGAGCGGATTCACGGATCGTGTTGACAGCTGAGCTCATTCAGTGATGTGACACACGGTTATCAAACACATGTGTTCAGGCTCTCAACCGGGGGAAACAGGAGCTGCAGACATTGCACTTATGTAGTTTAGGGTTCTTTAAATTTAATATACACTATTCACAAAAAGTTATTCGGCTTTCGGATGAAATTTCAGAATGTACATAAAATGCACTATAACCTTTCCAGGTGATCTTAATTTGACCTTCTACTTAAATGCCCTACTTTCATGATATAATATCACTGTAGCATCAACTTTTCCCATAAATTTCACCCGAAAGTGGAATATCCCTCACTTTTTGTGAGTAGTGTATACATATCACGTTTTAAAGGGCAAAAAGTATTCAAAGTTGCAATAATACACTGAAAAAAAATATTACAAGTAGTTAGTTACTTAAAAAAAAACCTCATTACTCTATTCAAAAGTAATCATTACTCCCTAACAACAGTAATTAGTTACACTACTAGTAACTGTAACTAATTAAACATTAGTAATGTTGCCCCTTCTCCCCAAAAATAGTAATTATAAGAGTTATAACAATTAAAATGTGAATATTTCCAACCGCTAAATATAAAGGTTTCTATCTTCCAAGATAGTTTCTTCCATGATTACAAAAAGATTTTAAAAATTGGAGGTAACAGCCATATTATTACTGACATTTATTAATAAGTAGTTACATTACTAGTTAGTGGGGAAAGTAATTTTACTAGTAAGAAATTACTGCCCAACAATTGATTACAAATAAAATACCTGCATTAAAAAGATAAAATAAGTAAAAGTACATAAATATTAGAAACATAATGCATTAAAAGTATAAAGCACAGTGTGTTGTCCCAGTCAGTTATGTATAAATACATTGTTTAATGCTGTAGATGGTAGAGGTGGAGCAGGGTTCAGAAGCAATATTGTGAGAAATAATTAGTAACTGTAGTTGTTAAATAAGTGTTGTGGAGTATAAAGTAACATAAAATATGAATGTACAAGTGCCTTAAAATCGCACTCAAGTACAAAACTTGAGTAAAATATACACCATTACCTTCTATAGACTGAGATCCTCTCCAAACAGCAGCACTGACAAATTAAACCATCAAGAAATCAAACCGAACACAATCTGTGCATTTTATTTATGCCTGTAACACAAAACATCACCCTGTTTTCATCTTTAGTGCTTATGCTTCAAGGTCAGGCAGCAAGGTCCTTCATTTGACTCAAAAACATTCATATATGGCACAAGCTTTACATACAAAACTTTACATATTGCAACCGTTTATAGGATTTTAATCTAATGTATTTAAAAAAGCAAGTATTGCCACTTGACATTCATTTAGAGTGAATGTAACTTCAGGTAGTGTTACATGAAAGCAAATACCTCGAAAAGGTCATCAGATTATTTGACTTCTCCGTTTACATGATATCACGACTGACAGGCTTGTGTACATAAGGACAGAGAAGGAACCGATAGACTGATTAACACAATTAATCTCTTCAACAACACAGACAAAAGAACACTTGTATAAAAAAAAAAGTGCACTTAAGTATTGCTTCTCTTTTCTTAAAAATAGAAATATAGTGTCATAGTAAAATATTTATTAAGTTAGTAGTAACTGCATTGAAAAATATAGTTTTCTCTACAGTCAACTGTCACATTTGGTTCTTCATAGGTTTAACACAACATAAGCTAACAAATAAAAATACTGCATATTTAAACACAGTACAATTTAGGCTTGAGATAAAACATGCAACAGAGGGAAAAAAAAGCATTTTTCTTGTGCATTTTGGCTTCATCTGTTGCACAAAGGTTCAAAATAAAACATATTCAGTAAATAAACAGTGCAGTTCATGGTGGACACTTAGGCAAGCGCTACCTCTAGGTGACACATTATGAGCATTAATAGTGGTAAGGCAGCGAGGGAAGGGGCGAGGGGTTTAGGTCACGCACTATCTTGTTAAGGCTGGAGATCTTCTCTTCCAGTAGGTAGTTCTTCTTTTCTGCGATTTTCTGCCGCTGCTCAGTTATCTCTAGAGCTTTCAGCAGCTGGGCGTTCTCCACATACAGGTCGCTGATCAACACGTCGGCTTTTCCATTCTTGTGCAGCTAGAAAAGTCAGAGGAAGCACATAATAAAGGCTTTTGAATTATTCTGACACATGCTGTATGTTGGCCGATATTTAATGAAGAAACTGAGGACAAAATATGTCTGCAGTAATTTAGAAACCGTGTCACCATTACATTGTTTATTACTTGTAAGACGTCCTACTCTGTATGTGCAATTGTTTAATAACCATATTTAAGGTATGCTTATCAAACTGATAATTAATAAGTTCCATTTGGAGAGTAAACCTCAGTTATCCTGTTGCAGCTCACTTGCTCTCAATGATACGTCTACTCTATATTTTGTCGCCACTGAGAAGGTTATCTTCTTCCTGGTGGGAAGAGAAAGCTGCAAAATATGTACATGCTTGAGCCTCCTCCAGGGTTCCCACTCTTTTTAAGAAACTATTTTCCAGCAGTTTTTCCTGACAATACAGGACTGCTCTTTTATTCTCCCTTTTTAAATGATGCAAGATTCATGATGAAGTGTCTCAGCTTCATTACAGGGAGGTAGTTTATGGGACAGTGCTAAAAAACAATTAAAATTTTATATATATATATGTATGTAGTTTTTTGACGCAACATTAAATATACTGCTAATGAATATGAGCTTTTCGAACTGACCTGGTCTTTCAGCTGAGCAACCTTCTCTTTGAGCAGCAGTTTGACGTTACGCAGCGACAGTTCAATTTCCCTCATACGCTCCTCCATATTCTTCATCTTCCTCTCCCTTTCATCCTGGTGAGAAGACAGTGAGCGATATCAACAAATTGCTGCAAATGCCATAAAATGCTGATAAAAATTTAAATCTTCTTCCCCCTTTGAGCTTCTATAAACTCAAACACACCTCAATGAGAAAAATCAAAACAACTTACAGACCACATTTGAATGATTTAGAAGCTTTATTTTATCTTGGTTTCCACCTTAAATGATTTCTGGTACATTTCTAAAGGAGAGGACAATCACTAAGAAAATAAATAAAATATATATAGGTATAAAATTATGCCACGTATTTCAGATACCTCTACAAAAAATAATTTAATGCATAAATAAAATAAACCCTAGCATGATTCTATTAAAATAAATAACAAAACAAATAAAATACATTTGAGTCTATACATGGTGCAAAAAAGAACAAAAGACTCACTGAATGACTCAAAAACCAAACACAGATATGACATTAATGGAAATAATGACACATTACACACTACTGGGGACAAACAATGATTTGGTTCACATGGGTTTTCTAATAATAAATACCAGATAAACATTCAAAGTTAACAGTTCTGTGAATAAACAGTCCTTTAAAGAAGAAAACATAACCCAGAAAGATGTGATTCACTTTGGTTGTGCGGCAGCAGCAACAGAAACAGCCGCACACAGTCCCAGAACACGAATACGACATAAACGGGTTGCTTGACGAAAACATTCAACTATGTGTAGTGTCGAATAAGAAATACAGACGTAAACAACAAAAGACAAACAGTGAGAACTTAGTACCTTCATTAAAAAAATCTCTATAAACCCTGACTGGACATAGACAGTAACATCACCTGACAATTACAGGTTGAATTTGCTTGATTGTTAGAAAAGACTCAGAAGGTTGTTAGGCACTAACCTCGCCTCAACTTAACACTCCTCGATGATCATAAGGCAAGCTATCACACAAGATTTAGCCCATGAGGATGTATGTACCCTGTCCCAGACAATGATAAATGGTACAAGTGCATAAGAGAACATTCCCAGAAAATACACCCTGCGTTAAAAAGATTCCCTGTATTTCAACTATAAAATGCTTTTAATGCACAGAGCACAAACAAAACTTAAAGTCTGTCAAGAAACGTTGTAGTGTGCTTGTAAACGCTAAATTTGATAAGGAATGTCCGACAAATTTTTAATTTTCACTGGTAGTGCCATTATTAAATCAAAATCCCATTGGGAAAAACCTCAGGAGCCTTTTCTGTGTTTTCCTGCCACCTAGCAGCAGAGAAATACAATTACACATTCATGCCTTTTGAATCAGGCACCACGTTTGTTCACAATCTCCTATAAGGATGCAGAAGAAGATGGCATCGTGTGCCAGTCAGAGTTTGGCTCCAAACATAGCAGAGGAAGAGCAGGACTGAGGAGAGCAGTCTTGGAGGGAAAAGAAAGGGGCTAAAAGTGAAGAGCAGGGAAAGACGCCCGGTGTTACAGTCCACCGATCCGCCGGTAGCTGTCTGCGTGAGCCGCCCGCTGCTCCGGCATCGCCCCCTGGAGAGAAAAGGCAGGTACACTTCACCACGGCTCTACCCTCTCCTCTAATCCTAAAGACCTAAACAGTCCTGGTCAGTCAGTAGGCCTTTACACAGCTGTTTATGGCTGTTACATAAGGAAACTTGTGTTTAATATTACATAAATAAATAATATATGAATAAACACAGACAAAATATACAACATAACTATAAAATTGTTAATAAAATTACATAATGAGCAGAGTTTTTTTATTGCAACATGTTTTTCACAGTAACTGTGATTAAAAGTGGCATTATGAAACAGAACAAAGAGCTACTTATGTGATTAACTGTTGTTTTGGTCTGAATGAGTTAACAGTAAATCACATAATGAGCTGATGTTTGAAAAATGTGTTGGATTATTCAACAATTTCATGGTTATATTACATATTTTTCTGTATTATTAATTTATTTCATACTATCTCATTCATGTATTTAATATTGACTGCTTTGGGTCTCCATAGTTACAAATCTCATTTCAGTCATGACCCACAGTTGTGGATTTTTTCAAAACCACCACCAACATCGACACTATTCGGTTCATCATAAGATCCCACTTTATATAACAGTTGTGTATACTTTATATTTATATTGTTAAAATATTAGCAACTAAAACTAAGAATGAAAACTGAAAGTCAAGATAACCTGGCCTCTGTTGCTTCAGTTTTTACCAATTTTATAATCTGTCTCTTGGGAGAAAAAAGCTTTCTAAGCTGACTTTCATAAAGCTGAATAGGAGAAAAATATCTTACAAGAGATAAGTGTTATACTTTATAAAGATCCACAAACTCAATCAGACATAAAATGTGTAAACTGACTGTAACTATTTGTTATGTTATGTTATATAATTACGTTTGTCAAAAGTTTTTTTTTGTTGATCAATGTGTCTGAATAATTTCATGAGCTCATATATATGAAGAGATATGAAAATAAAACTACATAAACCGTAACAACATAACCCTATTGTATACATCGTTATTATATTAAAAACGGGATCCTCTTTTCCTTCCACTACATTCAAGGTGACCTGGTGATAACTAGCAGTGTCATGCTGCAGATAAAAATGACAACAAAAAGTCAGATGCTTTTAAAACAGCGGGATGATGCCATTTACAGATAAACCTGGACAAGCTACATCTATCTGCATGGGGAGAGACGGAAGTTTGTGCAGTATGACTCAGACAAAAGGTGACAAATGGAAAAAAAACAGCCACTGGGACCACACCCAGATGATCACGCTACAGCAACTACTTCAGTCCCGAGATGGAAAACTAAATAATGAAGGTGAGTTCAGAAACACTATGAATAGACACACAGGCACCACAGACTAAATACCAAACCCAGAAAGTAAATACGACATAAGGAGATGAGGAAAGATGGGTGCTGATATGGATCTGTGACAAGCACCAAAACAAGGAGCACTGCAAACCCAGCATACAAACAAAAAGGTAATGTAAAGTGAAAATAAATGGAGGATCATCAAATGCAACTCAGCTCAGGTGTTTGAGAAATTACACACCTTTTAAAACTATGTATTGTTGTTATTAATATTCTCTTTGGTGCTCAACACTTTTCTTTGAATTTCCAGCCAACAAAGCAAATTAAAAAAAACGTAAAATTATTTCTTTAGCACCTGAACTGAGTGATTTATTTGAGTGGATACTGGATACACCTTCTACAACAAAGTGACAGTGAAAGAAATAAAATGGGTGTATTTACATCTAACTCCCATTATATCCCCAAAACATTTCCAAAGCGAGATGTAGGTCATAGTTCCCTTCTTAAAGCCAATAAAGATGAATTTATGATAACTGCAACAACAGATGGCTATAATGTGACAAAGGAAAATGATCATAGTGAGAGAAAAATGCCAGGAGATGAATGTAAAACCAAACCGTGCAATGATGCAATGTCACTAAATCTTCAAGTACTAAAGTGCTTCAGGATTCAGGAAAAATATAGCTTGAAAAAGGGGTCGTACTGTACCTGCATGTTGTCCGGGTCTTCACCTCGAAGCTGTCCTCTGGGTATCCTGTGAGGTGATGGGGGGAGAAGTCCAACCAACTGAGCCTGAAATGTCTGGACAAAAGTATAAAAATATGTAAGAGAAGTCAGCGAAACAGTCTCAGAAGAGAGATATATACAGTATGAGGTCATTTTATTTAACAATAATCCAATCATGTGCTCTAAAAAGAAGCCTGGCATACTCTCATATAGTAAGGAAATTTAAATGACACAAAGGCAAATCAATTAGTGTTATAACAGTAAAACAAAAAGAGGCACCACGACCTACCTCTAGCAGCTGTGTAGACAGTCGAGCCATTTGGGCTCTGAGCGCCTCATTTTCTTGTTGAAGGCTCTCCAGTTCTGTGTGTCCTTGTCCTGCTTCGTGGCCCTGAAACACACAAAGCACATGAAATAAGAATTAACACAGGCACCACATAATCAGCATGTTTAGAAAAAACAAACAAAAAGAAAGGTTATGTGGTTCGATTTATGCAGTTTATACCTTGGTGAGCTCCTTTTGTGCCTCGAGCTCGTGCTTCAGAGAGGCGTTCTCCTGTTCCAAGGCCTTCACCAGGGAGGACTGACTTGGTTGTTTGTGCTGCTTCAAGGACAGGATGGTAGCATCGAGCTGATGGACCTGCAGACATAAAATAAAGAGCTTAGAGATTAGTACCACAGAGAGAAAATGTAACACTAATTACTTAGTTTAGTGTAGTCCTCAGCTCACCTTCTCTCTGGACTGCACAAGGTCTGCTTTGATGTTGCGCATTTCTGCCTGAAGCCTCTCGTTTTCCTGCCTCAATAGCTGCTGATCCTGCTCCATCAGCCGAGACATCTCATCTCTGTACCGCTTCTTGCTCTGACTCTGGAGACCACTCGAGTGCAAGGCCATCTCTAAAACACGGTTCTGTGATGAACAAAGGCAAGAGGTCAAATCATCTTCAAACATCCCTTTCAAAATAAGCAGAAGAATCTTTATACTTTTTCATGTTTTTGGTGCACTCAAGGGTGTTTTTTTGTCTGCCAAGTCAAAAACGTAACAAAATCGTACTTTATCTGTGACATTTTGCAGCTGTTTTTGTAGCACTGCAACGTCATGTTGAAGCAAATCCCTCTCCTGCTGCAAAACACAGAAGTCTGACGTAAGACGAGCACTTTGATGGTTCACAGCCTGAAGAGTTTCATCTACCGTCTTCACCTAGAGTGGGGAAAGAGATGCATTTGGTCTTGAGTGACAGTGTTTTTGGGGTTCAAATCTTATTATTTTAATGAGCAGTAATTTAGCTGAATGTCAGGAAACAAAAATAGGACTAAATGTAAAGTTTGATGATCTATCATTAGACATGGAGATGATTCTGTAGGTTACAGCAGACTCTTACCCTCTCCTCAGCTTTGTCGAGCTGGTTGCGGAGGCCCCGAGTCTCCTTATCCACACTCTTCCGCTCCTCTAGCAGGTGGCTGAGCTGATTCTCCAGAGAGTCGACTTTGACTGCCTGAGAACCAGAAGACAACCACAGTTGTAATTAAACAATCCTTTTTATACACCTTCACTGCTAACTCTAAATCACACCAAGATATCTCAGCAGATCACAGTTGCTTTCAGGCCAGAACTTTCTTTTGCACTTTTGTGAAAGAGAAATACTTTTCATTCGGATTGAAGGAGTCATTTGATTGCAAGAGTAGGTGGTGTGATGCTTTATCATTTTGTGTCTGTGTAATGCTTTGATGGGGTTAATGTGAGATCAATTAAAGCGTCCATGGCCTGTTCTCACCTTCTCTCTGAGGCCAGAGAGCTGCTGTGACAGCTGGGTATTCCTCTTCTCCAGCTGTGCAGTGTCCTCCAGAGCTTTGGTCAGCTCTGCCTCCAGAGCAGACACACAAGCTGCCAGCTAACACAAAACAGCCACCGATTAACTACTCGCTCGGCCTCCACGACACCATGACGACAATCAGTCTGCCATAAAACACCTTGTTTACCTTGTGTTTCTCTTCAGCGGGGAACGCCTCCCTCCTCTCGGTTTCCTTTATCAGCTCTGCCAGCTGCTGCCGTAGATTCTCCATATCAGTGACATTTTGGACATCTTTCTCTGACAGCATCCCATTTTCATCTTCCAGTTGCTGGATCTGCAAACGCAGCTCTGAAATCTGCAGAGGAGGAGAAAATCTCATTAACTGCTTCTGACAGAGGGAATAATTAATTGTGTTGTTTCTGAAGATGTTTTAGCCATGCTAATGGCAATATCTTAAAAACTATGGATGGATTATGGATCGCCATGAAATGTTATACATTCATGGTTCCCAGAGGACAAATCCTAAAGACTTTGGTGGGTCTGTGACTTTTCCTCCAATGCCATCATTAGGTTGACAGTTTTATTTTTCAACTACTGGATGCATGTCTTGATATTTGGTGCACATATTCATGTTCTCAGGATGAATCTTAATAACTTGAATGATCCTGTGGCTTTTCATCATCAGGTCAAAATTGACATTCTCATGAGCCTCATTTGTACTTTGTGTTTACTGCTATTAAGCAAGTGTTAGCGTGCTAAACGAAGATGGTGAACATACTGATGCTACAGCCTCACAGAGCCATTGGCATGACTATAGACACGTATTTTAATAAGTTACTCTCTTACCTGTTTCTTGAAATTCTCTGCTGCTTTCTGAGCTGCAAACTTCCCTTTTTTTAAGTGCTCCAATGTTTGTCTAAAATCAAATATTAGAAGAAAATGTCAGTTTACACGACAAAACAAGAACAAAAAGAAGAAATTATTTACATATTAAATGTCTTATTTCTTACATCAACTCTTTCTGGGCCTCTTTCAAGTCTTCTTCCTTCATCGCAGCAAGCTTTTGCCGGAGGACGAAGTTTTCTTCAGCAAGACGACTGGCCTCAGATCTATTGACAGACAAAATTTCCTTAGAAAAAGTTCAACAAGCTAAAATAAAACCGTACATGTTAAAATACACATTTATAATCCAGTGGGATGATGTAAAAAACACACAACAGACAGTCACTTGCTACATACGGTTAGAAGCATATTATTCTACAATTTACACACATCGAAGTATTTTTTTGCTTTTCCACTGGTGATCTATAGGGATCAAAGAAACACACATTCAAGATCTGTTGCATGGCACAAAGGATTGAGGAACCTAATCACAGGTAGGACTAACAGCACTATGTTGTGCTTAGGAACAAAAGGAGGAGCGCTCCTAAAACTCAAAAGCTCCACAGAGATGGGACAACGGGAAGCCACAGGACACATGGAGGGACGGGTTCCTAGTTTCTCTCCACGTTACCTATGAGCCTGTGTTGTTTCATTTAATGTCTGCGACTTATCCTGTAGCTCTGTGATGGCTCGGCGAAGGCTGTTGTTCTCCTTCTCAAACTCCTCGCAGCGGTCCTCCAGATGACTCCCTGTCTGAACTTTAACCTCCAGCTGACTGGTCAGATCCAAGAGAATCTCCTCTGTGGGGCTCTCCAATTGTCCAGCATCCGAGTGCATAGAAATAATCTCACCCTGCCTCTCCAATTCACTGAACAACTCACTGAGCTTATTGTTATCTTCTCTCATCCTGTCAATCTCATCCACCAGGGAAATCTGCTGGTCTTGGAAATCATGGAAAATATTCATCCTGCTTTCAACGCTCCAAACTTTCTTTTCAAGTTCTCTGTTCTGGTCCTTCAGTTTGGCATTTTCACACATGCAATCGTCATATCTAATCTGAAGATCTGTCATCTTTAAGGCCTTAACCTCCAGCTCTTTGATATGCTCCATTAAAAGTACCAGTTTGACTTTGAGGCTATAGTTTTCCTCCAATACCTGGTGGCCAGTTTTGACCTTTTCAGTGTTATGAGCTAGAAGATTCTCCAGTATTTCTGTCTTCTGTTGAAGCAGAGAAATCTTCTCATGTAGGAGGATGTTCTCCTCTGTGGCAGTGTTATACAAAGCCCGTAGCTTAAGGAGAGAATATTCCCTGTCCTCAGCATCTTCATCCGGAGTTTCCAGGCAATCATGTGCACATTCATCCTCCATTTTAGCGGTTAAATGTTCACAGTCTGAATCTGAATCAATTTCAGAGTTATTTGATAAACAAGAAACCTCAGCATCCACTAGAGACAGTTTATTGGGGTAACCTGTCTCCTCCAGCGTTGAGGGATCAACCACATTCTCATGACATGGCTCATCTACATCGGAAGAGCTTTCATTGTCCAAGGCTGGTACATCGTGAGGTTTGTTCTCCTCCTCACATGATTCAAGAGCTACTTTATTCCCACCATCTTCATCTGCATCTACACCTTCAAACGCCTCAGGGGTTGAGGCCACCTCACACCGCAACTCTGGGGAAACCACTTCCTTTTTGGATTCAGCATTTGAATCACTTTCATCTGGGACCGGGGAATCTGAGTTTTTGCCATCACAGGATGTCGATTTAAGGTCTTCGTGTCCAATTTCTGCAGGGCAACAACCCACTTCAGTGTCTCCTTCGACTTCCACAGGGTTTGAATCTCCATTTTGGTGATCTTCTGGAGCAGCAACAGTGGAATCTGTCTCTACTTCTGGCAAGTTATCTCCTTCATCATTACTACTGGCAGGGACCTTTTCATCATACTCATTATGAGTGTTTTTGATATTTTCAGAACCTCCATCAACTGCATCCATTATAGTCTCTACATCAACTTGTTCTGTCAGAAATGGTTCCTGATCTTCAAGAATAACATCAAGAGAAATATTTTCTGGGGCGGAACATGTGTCTGTGGTGTTTATTTCATTTGATTCTTCCTTTTCCTTTTCTGCGGAAGACAAAACCTGATTCAATTCCATCTCTAGCTGTTTGATTCTGATTTTAAGCAGATCTATTTCTGCTATAAGCTCTTCTCTGTCATTGTCTACATTATCTTGTACCTTTTTCTCAAGAATGGATACATGTTCCTGTAGCTCCCTCCTCTCAAACTCAAAGTCCATTACTGCCTGTTTAAGCAGCATCTCCAACTCCTCGATCTTCATCTTCAAATCATCACGCTCAGTTAACAGTTGTATCCTCTCAATAATCTGCCTCTCAGAAATGGAAAGCATCTCGTTGTTTTTTGCTTCAAGTTCTGACTGGAGGCTCAGAAGTTCTGCCCTTTCCTGTTTAAAATCTTCCACTATTTGATTTAGCAGAAGTTCAGTCTCAAGCGCTTTCATCTCAGATTGAGCAAGAAGCTCATCCTTGGTTTCCAGGCTTTCCTGCAGCCGGTTATGGAGGTCATTCAGCTGTCTACTTAGCTCTATCTCTTTAGTCTGAGCCCTGCTAATAAACACATCAAGTTCATTTTGCAGTTGCCGGTTCTTCGTCGCCAGTTCTTCCATTTCCTCTTTATGAAGACTTTCTAGCTCATGTCGTTCCTTTTTCCACTGTTGATCCAGGCTCTCTCTTTCTAGCTCCATGGCCTCCTCCATTATTCTTCTTTGTTCCCCAGCGTTCTCAAGGGCCTCCTGTATCTGTGCCTCCCAGTGGAGCTTCTGCTCGACATGGCTCTCAGAAAGGGCCTTCAGCTCACTTTGGTAGTGCTGTTCAAGTTTCAAAACATCGGCCTGAAAACGCTTTGCAACAGATTCTTGATCACCTGAGAAACGATCTTCCACTTCTTTGATTCTCTGTGTGAAGCTGACCTCGATTTCCCTCCTGTACATGGTTATTAAATGACTGTTACAGCAACAGTTTTGAACTCGTAATAGTACAGCAAATATCAAAAAAATTTTTTTTTAGCATATTAGATTATTTTAAAGCAACAGTGTGAGGGATATGCCTATTTGCTTTCTCACAATAGTTTGATGAGAAGATTGATCTGGTAACTGTCCGTTCAATATAGGACTAAAGCCAGCAGCCTAAGTTAGCTTAGCATAAAGACAGGAAACAGCTAGCATGGCTCTGTCCAATGGTTGTGTGTTGTTTGACCACACTGCAAGACAACAAATAAGGACATTTCCCCAAATTTTGAAACACAATTTCGTAGCTACTTTGATAAAGAAGTTACGACATTAATACGATCTCTTAAAAAGTCAAATGCCTTACCTCTCCTGAATGATGTTATCTCGAAGTTTGTCCAACGTGCTGCTGAGAACGTCCATCTCTTCAGTGTGCTTCAGAGTCAGCTCCTTCATGGCCTCTCGGTGGCTCTCCTCTAGATGAGCCCTCTCCTCTGCCATCAATAATTCTAGCCTCTTCTCCTCTTCCTCCTTCTTAATCTCAAGCTTCTCCCTCTCTTCATTTAACCTATCCTGGAGCATCCCTTCGTAATCCTCCTCCAGTTGCAGTCTCTCCCTTTCCCACTCCTCCTTCAGCCTTTTCTCCCTCTGCTCAAACTGCTCTTGTAACTGCAACCTTTCCTGAAGTATTCTATCGAGCAGAGCCTCCTCGTGACGCTCCTGAAGCTGGGCTCGTTCAATCTCCCACTGCTCCCTGAGCTTGCTCTCCTTCTCTTCTTGTTCCCTGACAAGTCTCAACATCTCTTCCTCCAGCAGCACCTGCAGAGACTCATTATTCTGCTCATCTAGCTGAGCTCTCTCTTTCTGCCACTGCTCTGTCAGTCTCTGCACAATCTCATCACGCTCTTCCTCAAACCTCACCTTTGCCTCCTCTAGTCTGGCCTTCAGTTCATCCTCATGGTTTTGTTGCAACAGTTCCTTCTCCCTTTCGCAATCATCTATCAGTCTCTTCTCCAACTCAGCCTGTTCTTCCTGCAGTTTCTTTCTCTCCTCTTCCAGTCTGGCTTCACAAAGCTCTACATGCTCGTCGTCCAGTTTCTTAATCTCAGTGGCTTGTTGTTTCCTCAGCTCCTTCATATCGTTGACAAGGTTTTCATCCATTTCTGCCTGCTGGGCTTCAAGGGTCTTCAGCTGCTCCTCCAGGTCTGCAGTGTAGGTGTGGGCCTCTAGCAGCTGCTGTCTGAGAGTTCCCACTTCCTCCTCTTGCAGATTCTCAAGCTCTTCCCTCTCCTCGGCCTGCGTCTGCTCCAGACAGGTCCGCTCCAGCTCCGCCTGCTCTAGCTGGTTCTGGAGCTCCTGTGCGTGGATCTGAATGCTGGCCATCTCCTCCCTCAAAACCTGGACCTCCTGCTGGTACTGGAGGGCTAAAGCAGTTTTCTGGTCCTCATGGGTCGCCCTCTGCTTTTCTACAATCTTATCGAATTCATTGACCTGTGGTGATATAAAAAATGTAAATGAATAGTGTGACTTTTAATGAAAAGTTCAGAACTGTCAACAAGACCAGCTACAGACCAAGTACAAGTACATACCAGCACTCAGCATCTTGTCTCAATTCACAATGTAACACAATGAAAAAGGTATATATTAGACTAACTTTGCTTTCCAGCTGGTTTCGCAACTCCTCCATTTCCTGAAGGTGCTGCTCCTTCAGATGCTCCAACATCATCTCTGCCTCAAGGCTCATGCTGAACGGCTGGACCTCCTCTGAACCGATACCTGCAAAAAGTCAAGTTAGCTGGTGACAATTAACACAGGGTTTCTATGTACTGATTGTTGTCATGAACAGATGTACTTAGTGCTCTGTAATGAGTTCTCCGGGGACTGTATGTGTTTGTATGCATGTAAGCTGTAAATATACATTAGGTCTACCTGGATCAGATTCCATGCCAGGGCTTTTACTCTCCAGTTCTTCAGAGAGAGGTTTGTGGCAGGGCTGATGAACTCGTCCAAGACTGTGGAACTCCTGCAACTCTGAATGCAGCTCATCAATACGATCCTGCAGTTCCTACCAAATAAGAGCATTACAAGTTAAACACGTGTAATGAATAAAAATAATCAGTCCTCTCATCACATATAATACAGTATATTTACCCTGCACTGAGCTTCGTAGCTGCTGCGGAGCTGTTTAATACGTTCTTCTTGGAGGAAGAAATCTGCACTGCCAGGGTCCAAGCCTCCAAACTAAATGAAAATAAGATCATTCTCAAGTTAGTAGTTTGACACAGACAAAAAGAGCTAGGCAGAAGAGGAGAATGAACACAGAAAATCAAATCATAAACAAAAAAGCAAGAAGAAAAACAACCCACACGTGTGAGTATGTGTATGTTTCAATGACACCAACAATAGAGGAAGTCAGTATTGACATGCCAAAACCCCCTAATGGGTAGTCATAAAATGTCTCCATACCCTTTCTTTCATAATGTTGTCCACACTTGTCTGCAGTTTTGTAATTTGGTTTTGGGCCTCCACTAGTTTTTCGGTGCTGTCCAGCAACTCCATTTCAAGACGTCTGTTTTCCTAAAAAATAACGACATGATTTAATCTTTTTTTGGATAAGCAGATGATCTTTTAAGCATCAATAAACAATATAAAAACAGCAAAGAGACTACAAACATCACCACATTATATCACCATGAGTATTTCTGGTACCTTCACAGAGATGGAGAGGTGGTCTCTGAGAAAAGATTCATCCTCCCTGATCTTCTCCACCTCTGCTTCCAGTCCCTCCCGCTGCAGGTTGGCCTGCTGCTGGAGCTGGTCCATCTCCTTCATCAGATCGGATCGTACTGCTGCTAACTTCTCTTTGTGGTCCTGTTCAAGCTTCCTGTAGACATTCAGGCACATAGAATGTACAACAGAGTGTAATGCGTGCATACTGAAAAATACAATATTCAGAGACAAAGAAAACTAGAATACTGAGCGTGCTAAATGTTAGGATTAGGCTCGATTTAGCAGTAATGGATGAATTTGAGTTTAGCAGGTTATTGAATTAAATAAAATGTAGTGTATATATCAATACATGTAATGTGAAAGTATAACATTAATTATAATTAGCTTCAGTCTTTATGAATGGATGGAATATAGGGTGCCAGCTAAAACCCTTTAGTAGCTTAATCCTTAAAATCCACCTCAGGAATGAGGCCAAGACGTAGGGAAGGAGAAAGACACAGTCAAACATTAATCAAATTATTTTGTACATCTTAGAGGACAGAGGCCTCTTGCTGTGATACAACTATAGAACAAACTGAAAAAGAGAGAACTGGTGTAATCTGAGGGATGAATTACCTGAGATTGAGGTTATTTGTGTGCTCAATTGCAGAGTGATGCTCATCCACCTCAGTGGCAAGTTGAGTTTTTAGCTTTTCTGCCTTCTCCAGGTCAGATCGGATTTTCTCTTTCTCCCTGAGTTCTCTGTCTACTCGCTCTCTGACAAGAGAAAAACAGCAAAGATTTATTTATTGCAAGTGACAACAGAAACAAACCAACTATCCTGCAGGTTTTTATTTATCTTTATCTTTATTTCAGACTATTTATTTAAAAAATAGTTTATCAAATACAACACAAAGATCTGAATGAGCTGCATTACAGTGATGACTCATACTCACAGAAGATGTCTGATCTCAGCTTTGAAGCTCGCCAGTGCCGCTTGGTGAATCCCATTCTTAGTAACGAGTAGCTCATTTTCAAGTGCCATGGTGAGATCACTAAGACTCACTTTTCCATCTATGTTGAAATTCAAAGCCTGCAACAAATATAAATTAATATAAGTACACATATATTTAATAGTTTAGTAAATTCTTTGCTTATTTGCATAATGGAGTAAATGGAAACATTTTTTGAAGTTGAAGTTTTGTAAATTATTTTTTCCTCAACTGTATATCTGACTCCTTCCTGTCTCCAGCTGTCTGTTTCAAAATGTACAAAGGAATAAAATTCACAAATTTAAAATGCTGATAATAATGAAGACTACGGCACCTGCAGGATCTCAGTGCTGTTTTCTATTCCCTCTTCCATCCAGGCATCCAGGATATATTCAACGGGAGTGAAACCGGTACCATCATCAAGGGTGGAGAAAAGACGCATGCCAATGGTGCTGGTCAGGGCAGAAGGAGTGGCTATCCTACGGCCTCCCTCATCAAAGGGCTGTATGGAGGGGTAAAGTACTTTTACTGGAGAGTTGATCTCTAAAATTCCACTTACTGCATTATGTGGGACCAAATTCAACCTGTTTTTGCAATTTGCTTTATGCCTATTTTTCAAATGATAGATGTTTGACTATGTAAAAACCTTTAATAAATCTACAACAGATAAAGCTAAAAATAATTAATTAAAAGAAATTAATTAACAACGAGGGAATTACTCCACATTGTGTGACCTTGTAGAGGCTCCGCAAACAAATGACGTACCTGAGTGGAGTGGAGTCGTTTGAGCTGCCTGTAGGGTGTGGAGGCGGACGGCGTCGGGGGTTTGTTGTGGTTTACAACCCTGGAAACAAACTCCTGAACATTCATCACTCCATCGCCGGTTAGACTCTGGAGCATATCCACATTTATCTGAAAAATAGATGTAGTATGTTGAAGTGGCAACATTTGTTAGTAGGTAGGGATTTTCTTTACACTGTATATGAGAAAGTGATTTTTTGATGGTTCACATGGGTGGATGCACTGAAACCAAATAGTTCATATGTATGTAGGACTGCAATTATTAGATGATGAGTCAACTATTTTGATAATGAATTAATAATTTAAGTAATCTTTCTGGCTAAAATGCTAAAAATCCACTGGTTCTAACATGAAAAACTGGGAAATTTGCTGTTTTGCTTACATTATTGTTTGGGTTTTGGACCATTTCTTGTGACAAATATTTTTCAGTTTTTCAATAACTCAGTTATAACCACTTTAATTTAGAGACATAAGCCTTTTGTTGTAAAGATGTGTTTCACAATGTGTGTGAAAAGCTGCCCGGAAATAAACTGTCTCCACTGATTTATTTTTTTTTAAAATTTTTTTAAATTGTGTGAAAATCCCGGAAATAAACTTTTTTTTTTTTTTAATCTCACCTCCAGGCCCAGGTGTTCACAAAGAGCAAGCAGTTCAGTGTGACCCGCACATCCGTCCCACGATATCGCCAGCTCATCGCAAGCCTCACGCAGTCTCTCCTCTAAACAGGCCGACAGAGGAATGTTTGATCCCCGGGGTGTGCTCGGCTCATCGGGGTTCCAGAGATGCATTTGACCTACACACAAGGTAAGACACTGATCACTTCCTAACAAACATCTATAAAGTCAATTTTATGAAAATACTGCAGCCTCGACGTACCTTCTGCTTCATATTCCTCTGTGCTTGTTTCGTGAGCATTCCAGCGCTGTTAGAGACAAATACACACAGAGATTAATATCACAAAGAAGTTAGCCTTGAAACAACCTACTAACATGTTGTTTTGATGTTAAAAAGTCATTTGTGAGTAAAATTACCACATTAAAAATATCCCCGCCGGCTGATGTTCTCATGCGACAATCAGCTGTTTATAAGTTCAAACATGTTTTTAAATTAGGCCAGGTTGAGTTTGGGTGCAAAAGGGGGGGATGGAGAGTCTGACAAAAAGCACAACAGAGCTTTTGTGACGGCACGAGCACCAGGGAAGGTCAGTGGGCAAATTTGGAAAAGTGGTAAGAATAGAGAAATGGGTCACAATCGGACACACCATTTTATTTTGTTTTAGTTTAAAATACAAATTTAGATTCAAATTTGAGTAACAGCATAGTTTTAAGATTTTTAATGTTAATGTTTTTTTCAAGAAGTATCAAAGGAGGAAGGGTTTATTTGGGTGCGACCCACTGTGCTCCAACCAAATCCCAGTGTGACCGTCTATTGTTTGGGAGGCAAACAGTGAGGGAATGAAGAACAGATGGGATTCTGCAAGTGACGTTTAGGATACATGGTGTATAGGCATCCACGAGGGTGGGGGTAGTGGGGCTCATTGTTCCTCTGTCACAGTCCTACACCCTCCTCCTCCCAAAGCACCAGGCCTGCAGTCTCAGCCCCCTGACCCATCCCCATCTGCTGGTCCCAAGGCCGGACATTGTAGCATTGTTGCAACCTAGATTACTCAATACCAAGACACGCTTCAGTTCAGTGTCTCGCACAGTGTTTGTCTTGGCACTGGCAGGCATCTGGGGTGGAGTCAGGAGCGCAGACAATGCACAGAATATTAACACGTCCATCCGTGCACAAGCTGAGCTGGTCATCATTATACCAGTGGGGACTTTTCTTTGTCATGATTTATTCTGCTGCAGCACATTGGACATTGCACATTCAACCTGGCATCAGTATGAGAAATTAACCTGTTGTCCAAAGGCCACAGCTGTCAGTAAATCCTAGAACTCCCACAAACTTAAACTGCAGCTAAACATTAGTTTCTTTTGACTATTATCTCAAACAATTAATTGTTTAGTCAATAAAGATGTCAGAAAATAGTGAAAAGATGATGTCTTCAAATTGCTTGTTTTGTGCAAACAAACTTTAAATAATATAAAACAGAGAAACATATTAAAATGATCACACACAGAGAAGTTGAAACTAGTAATTTTTTCTCTTTTTCTTGACTATTGATCAAAATATTTGACAAGTACGTTTCTGCTACACGCTCTACACTAGATTTACAGGACAAAATGCAACGTCTTGCTGGTTTTACTATCAATTTCTCATCCCTATTTCCATTGCTGGCCATGGACTCACAAAGTGTGAGCTTAGACCTCTGTACATATGTCAAACAACTTTCTATGTCAGCAGTGAAGATAATCCAAGAAAAAGGAGATCAACCAGAGGAACCATGCAGAGTGTTCAGCTCTTCATGGCCATGACGGAACTAATGCTATACAACACAGTGACACAGAAGCATGTCACGTTTAAGCAGCTCATGTCGTGTGCAGACAGTGGGAGGCACCTCTGTCAATCTTAAATAAAGGGAAATATTGACAAGCATAAAAACTACAATCAGCGCCCGTCTCTCTTTTTATCTGTTTGGACATGATTAAGAACATTCTTAGATCACTGTGCTGTTCCCTTGACCACCACATACCCGCCAGCATAAAACACTCAAGGCAAAGTTCAACTCAACACAATCGCATCATGAAACATTAAACTGACAACACTGACCGACACTAAAACAAACATTGCGGTCGCATCATGATTACTGGAGGCTTATTAAACCGTAATTATGCTCAGTGTTATTTACAGACAGTGCTGTGTTGTTACGCAATGAACAGAGCTTTGTGAATCTTGTGTTTGAGTGTCAACATTACATTTCAGGATCTGCCCTGCATGCCAATAAGCTGATTAGCTAAGAATAACGCCTCGCTGCCTATCTGTAGCTCCCGAGAAACACAGTACATGCAAGGACAGGAGGCGATAAGGATGGCATCTGAGTGTCTGGAGGTTCAGAACAGTGTTGGTCTTAGCCTTTTACCTCACGCTTCCTTGGAACAGCTGAGTCATAGTTGTCCTCCAGATCTTCCTCCTCTACCGGATTTGCATTTCTAAATTCGGACAAGTCTGAAATGGGTTCTATGAACTCTGGCGTAGAGCGCCGGCCATAGCGTTTACTGCCCTTCACGAACTTTGGCTGGATCTCAGGAGACTCTGAGGAGATACAATGACAAGAAACTGTCAGATCAAATCAAACCATTTCAAGTCTTCATAGTAAGGTTTGCACAATAGTGGATATTATTAAATACAGAAAAAAATTTCAATGACTAATATCTGCCGTAGCCTTCAGCAGCTACTTCTCCAAACCTAACAACTTCTCTAAAAATGGTAACTAAAGCATCTTTTAAAACCACATGTTCCCATTTATTTGAATGAAACCAAAAGGTTGACAGTGTTTCTTGTGCAAACTGCAGAGAAAACATCTCTCTGTAGGAAGATTTTATGCTTAATTAACAGTAAGACATAAATATTGACCCTACACCCATACAGGTCATTGTGTGATCACTAGTGTGAGCTGTGACCCTGAAGAACCTGAGCTACAAAAGGTGTAGGCATTAACCAGGAGATATTCATTCACAAAATAGATAATCATCAAACAAGTTGGGAACATAAACCAATGTTTCCAATTAAACCACTCTTTGTGTTAACTATATCCATAATATAATTAATTGTGCTAGTGGTCCAACCATGACACTACAAATAGCTCAACTGTCTGCTAATTGGCTTTGGGTCTGCACTTCTGGCTATGTGCCTCTGTATGTAGATTAACAGCTGAATCAGCATGGGGGGATGTTCTTATTCAGCCTTCACAAGTCACCTTCTCACTTGGTTGACTTGTTGAATGGGGAAAAAAAGTCTCATTCAAGTTCAACATTTAACTGATGCTGACATAACAGTAGGTTGAGGAGATGGCTTCATGCTTTGTACAGTGTTTGTCTGTGTGGGGTCTAGACTTTACCTGGTTTTGACAAGGGCTCTTGTTCTGCTTGTGGCGGCTCAATAGTTGATGACAATACCAGAATCAGTGCATTCTTGAATTGGTCAAAGTCAACCTGAAACAAGAATTAAAAAAACAACACAGAGTGATTCTTAATTGAAGTCTTACATACATGTGAGAAAAATGCAAGCAATGCTTAGTATGTGAAGAAAAGTATAAAACAAAGCAAAAGTTCTTTAAATTCCTTAGACTGGATGTAATTCCCTGTGTGCTGGGTGGAGGCTGGGTGTCCCTGGGTGGAGGAGGGTTTGCTGAGCAGGAGCAGGGAGGTCACACTTCAAGAATCAACAGCTGCTAACCCTGAATATGGTGATTTTCTTTGTGCGCCGAGGATGGCGGCTGCCGGCTTTTCGTGGGGGTTTTTCCCTTTTTCTGACTTTATTGTTGGATGCCATGGGTAGGCCATCAGTTCATGGGCCCTTTTCTACATTCACCCCGCCCACACACACCCGCAAATGCAAGACAATAGCCATCCGTCTGTCCACACGCTTATATACAAACACAACTTGCTGCAAAAGTGTGGAGCAATTTGGAATATGATATCTCATCTTCCTACTATAGGCTGAAAACATAAAAACTGCACACTGGAGATGAGAGTGGAGTGGAGTGAATGTGTGTGCAATGCATTTTATACAAGTGAAGTCCAGTTGTACAGATTAGACCAGTGTCCTTTCCATTTCATACATTTCCACATGAAGCACCCTCAAAGAAATGCATCTGTGAATGCTGATTAGTCGGCTTGGTCGTCCTGACGACAGACACCTGGGATCAGGGCTGATGGGGGCACATTTTCTCCTCAACAAGACGGCTAACAAAGCACCAAAAAGCCTGGAGACACAAAGACCTGAAAGCTGGAGTGGCTTGACACAGGCGTCTGCCAGATTCAAAGGATGTAGAGGATCCTATGCACAGGAGAGCCAATAGGCCACGACTCCCATGCACATAGAAAAGGAACAATAATAATTCTGCAAATACAACTTTTCTGAGGAAATTACAGAGCAAGGTTGCGGACAAAAACATCTTTCCTGGTGGCAGAGAAATAAAACGTACCCTGGCTGTGAGCCGGTCCTGGTTCTGCAGCAGTGTATGGAGAAGAGCTGGTGTGGCATCGTCCAGGTGCAGCGACTGGCAGAGGTCAGAGAGTTCCTCCAGGGACAGTGAGCCAGAGCCACTCAAGTCAAAACTGTTAAAAACTTCTTTTAGGCGCTCCTCATAGTGGTCCTGCTCTTGGGTGTCATCCATCCCACAGGACAGCACCCTGCCCTGAAAGACACAGGAGGAAAACCTTTATTCCATCTCACTTTCACATTTCAGCTGATGTGATACACACAAACACAGAATTCAACAGAAACCACAAAGCATAATATATCTAATCACTGTTAAAAGACACTCACAAACAGGGAGGAAGCATCTATCTCGGCAGCATGCGTTCCTAACAGCGCCTTCATCTGAGTGTGTCGCTGAGTGACTGAGTTACAAACACACTGCTCCAGCGTCATTTGTGGTGCAGGCTTTGGCTAATCCAATTAGAAGGATTAGACAATCAGATAAATTAATAGACGTGGCCAAGTCTGACATTGCCCATGACTCTCTTTTTAATGCCTTTAACGGGAATGTTTCAAGAGCCATGTAATTCAATCTGAGGCTCACATGAAAGTGAAATTTTACCTTGTATAGACAGTTTGATGTAGCTTAAACACATCAGTACTGTTGTAAAACAGCACCAATAAATATGTGATCAAAATATAAGGGTATTTGATTTTGTAAAGGCTAACAAAAAACAATAAGTTAATCATAATAAAAACGATAAAAAGCAGCATGTTTTGAGTTTTTTTGTCGACTAAATGTTCTTCAGACTGTGATAAAGACCAAGGACAAAGACAGCCAACTGGCACTAAATAAGTGGAACAAACAGCCAAGAACTAATTTAGAAGGTTACACCAGAGCCTTGAGCCAATAGTTACAGGCTGGCAGCATCGGTTACAGAGACACGGACAAAAGTTGTTATACTTTCTATTCGGATGCATCATTGCTGTAATTGAAAAACAATGAGAGCCATTTGACAGAGAGTGGGGCTCTTTTGTGGGCCGCAAACAGAAATCCAGTCCAACACAACACCAAAACGTACAGCAAGCCGCATTTCTCTCGAGCAACGCAAACAACGAATCCTGGGTAATTATTCAGGAAGCGACTTGCAAGCGGTCATCATGGGTCAAAAGACGGAGTCTGACTAACTTAGGAAATGACATAACTCATAGACGCGACATCCCAGGTCAGCCGCTTGAAGCTTAGGGAAGGTAAATGTCACATGACTTGGAAATAGCGATGAAGAGCTGAGCAGAGTATAGCATTCATCTACTTCTATTTCCACTTTCCACCAACGTTACGTCCGACTGTGGCAACACATTTCTGCACACTACGTAAGTGTTGAGACAGCTGGCATCATTCGAATGTTCATATAGTGCATCCATTGTTTCTAACTAATATCACTGTTTCTGCCCTCCTTGTGCACTTGTCTTATGAACAGTTTTCATGCTACATCCTGCCTTATTTCTGCATCTGGGGCTGCTGTACAATGCACAAATAAGTTGTCTTCTTTTATATCATCTTTGTTAAAAACCTTGTGAATTAAGTTTGAAAGTGAGAGCTTACCAATACATCTAAAATCAGATGAAACTTCCCAGTTTGGGCCTAAATGTCTATACAAAGACCACCCTCCTGACCCCTGCTTTTCCAGCTGCTCTCAGTGTGATCATCAAGCGCTTAGGCCAGGTGTCCCCCCACTCCCCAGACTCGGGGTACCCATTCACCACAGACAATAGAGACAAAAAACCAAATCAGTATTCTGCATCTGCACATCTGAGCGGCTTATGAAATGCAAGAAAATCATGGCTCAGCAGTATGGAAGCTCGTCTAAAGCTAACGAGTCTTGTAAAGTTGAAAGAAATTGGAATAACACTAGAAAATATAAAATGAAATGTAGGAAAATTGCAGGAAAATAATAACTGTTTCTATTATTAACAGCACTGATCTGGCCTTATTTAAATTTTGGATTTCACACTTTGCTTGTGATGTCGCACTGACTCAGTTTGCATTCTCCATGCAGCCTCTGAGCCAATTATCCCGGGAGCCCTCCTGCTCGGGCTCAGTCACAAGTGGCTCATGTGGGTCGAGGTTTGACAGCTGCTGCGGCCAAAGAATCACTTTAGTCCAGGTCGCAAGAAGGAGGTTAATCCTTCACACCATCCCAGCATTCACTGGTGCTGGTGTGGTTGGTAATTATCACTAACAGACGTCAGTCTAAAAAGTAAAAATGTCAAAACTTGTGAAACACCGATGGATGCACGGCGGTTTGTTGCACCTTTTGAGATACGATTTTTGTGGAGAAAAGGAACTTTACTGCATTTTTATAAGCAAATGGTTGTTTTTATGTCAGTGGGCAGGACTAAGAATCATTTTAATATCATACGTTATTGTCTTTTATTTTCCATTAGCTACCGCAGTTCTACAGTTCTTTTAGTCTGAATTAACTATAAAATCAGAACTATATAAAGCTTTCAAAATGTGAACAAGAAAGTGTTTTCAGGAAAATATATTTTGGGAGTATTTAGGAATAATTATCCAACATTTAATTCAGCATGTTTATGGTTTATTTTATAATAACTGTTCCCATCATCCACTCCTGTAGGAGTAAAACCCAAACTGCTCTAAAGCACAGTTTTCCTCAGGTCTGTGATTTATTTCCATTTTGATGACTTTATGTGCCAAATCCCATTAACTATCCACTGTCATCATGCAACACATTCTTAATAATATTACATTTTATATTAGCTTTCACTTTACTTTGCAAAGACACAACAACAAAAAAAACAACTTTAAATACATCATTGCACAAAGTAATTGATGAGATCTATATGAACAACTTCACACTTTCACAGTCCCATTTCATGATATAGTTTAAATCAATAAACCCCAGTGAGTCATTACATCCATCACAGTGCTTTCTTTAGGATGTACTACAGTGTGTTTAAGTTTAAAATAAACTACCTTTATAGGCCACATATCATTTATAGAGACTTTTGTCACAAAACCACAAACTTTTGAGGCTGTGAACCCTGTTAGCAAGAAAAGTGAAGTCAAAAACGACAAGAAAGGAAAGACCATGTTAAATAAATGAAAGTCTCCTCTTGCCTTAAACACCGCCAACAACAGTTGCCCTCAGTAATGCCTGCACTGCTCCACTAACTTCACCGCACCAGAGTCAACTTTAAAGTCAGCCGTGGGCTCCACAGAAACGTTTAAACCGGGTAAAATAGCAGATAGTTTTAAAAAAAAATGAAAGGAGGATATTCATAGAGAAAGTGATGGGCTATGCTAACCGGGCTAATTCACCAGCAGGGCATGTTGGGAGGAAACGGTCGGTCCGGACATCATCATCATTAAAAACTTGTGTATGTTTAAAAAACTGTGAAGCAACCCGGAAAACAAAAAGCTGTTTTAACATTGTAAAGTAAAAAAAAATAATACAAAATAAACACTCACCAAAGTCTTACTTGGACGACAGTTGGTTTCTTTTCCTCCACAACTGAAAATGTGGCGATAAAAACCGCAAAATAAACGTTTTACAACATTTTTCTAACCGTCGTGGCGTCGCAGGTAAAACAGGATAAACCTCTCTTGTTGTTGTTGTTGTTGTTATTGGAGGTGTTTTATTTGCAGACAGCGGCGAAGAAGTTGTGTCCGCTTTGTGTCCTCGGCTGTTTCATCCTCCTCTGGGTTTGTAGCGGATTTTGAAAAGCGGCTGATAAGAGGAAGGGGCGGTGACCGACAGCCTGGCTGCAGAAGGACTGGACACACACACACACACACACACACACACACACACACACACACACACACACACACACACACACAGCCTGTGCCCCCCGTGGACAGAAGTAGCCAACTCTTTAACATTAAGTTAACAAAGTAGCAATGCACAGTGTAGATATACTCTGTTGCAAGGTTAAAAGCACAAACGTTTTGGGATGTTTTAAAGTTTTAAAAACATTCTTAAAGTACCAAGAATAAACAAATACAAATAGTCTGTATTTGTATGAAGACAGTCTACAAGTATTTATTGTCATTTCACAGCATTTACAGCATTTTTACATACATGAAACAATGAGTTCTCCGCATTTGACCCATCCTATATACATTACTGTATACATTGGGAGCCCGGGGGAGCAGTTAGGGGTTAGGTGCCTTGCTCAAGGGCACCTTGGCAGTGCACAGGATTTGGAACTGGCAGCTGGAGCCGGTGCACACTCCATACTGTGGTCCAACAGACTGAGCTACTCCCGCCCCCAAAACATTATGCAGAATGGCCCCATTTCAGAATAATGTTAATTTATATGCAGCCACTTTTACATTTAATAGTGGAGTAAACACAGGTGTCACAGGCTCCGTTCACACTGCAGGAAAAAATCTGATTTTACTGCTCAATCTAAGCTTTTCAATTCTGATTTGGGCCTGATTCATATGTGTGGGTTTTGTTTAACCTCAGTATGAACACTCATATCAGAATTATACCTCACAAGTGATAGACAGATTCATTTTGAGATGATCGGCCGATGTCTGTGCTCAGGAGACACATCTGAGTTTTGGGAAAGGTGGGGAAAAAAGTTGGTGTGAAGCCCTGAAACATAACTCTGCTGTGAACATACGCATGAATTTCCTGTAGAAGAGAATGAAATCATGCAGGATTTGTCTTTGTTTTGATATCAGCATTAAATATCGGCATCAGCCATAATGTTTGGCCACTATACGTCACACTACACTGACGTTTGTTATGCGGGTTAGGACTGTGACCTGTTCATACACTGGAATCTGATGTGGGCCACATTTTAAAAACAATAATGTGAACAGCCAGTTTTAACGTTGCCTAATTGATTAAGGCCCTGTTCCATTTAGTGCAGCAGAGCCTTTCCAGTGACCCTGACTCTGTTTGACCTGAATTTACCAGAACCTTAATTAATATCATTTGTAACACCTGTGTTCAAACCTACTATTTCATGTCAAAATGGCTGCTGTGAATAAGGGTCTATTGGATTATAATTATTAAAGCGTTAATATAAACATCATTATAGTGTTGCAGCTGGTAGAGGTGGGGCTAATTATAACCACTTAATACATTTAATCTGCTGGGTTGCTTGTAAATTTTCTCCGGGATAAATTTAAGTTTTATGCAACATTGTCATTTATTTGTTGATTATTTTGTATTATTAAAGTTAATAATATATAAATGTAGTGGAGTAGAAAGTAGAAGTATACCTGTATAGTATCAGAAAATGGAAAGTGTAAGTGCAGTACTTGAGTAACTGTACTTAATTACTTTGCACCATTACTGTTACATTAATATTATGAAAGGTTTCTATTATTATTGGGGGTTTTTGAGTCTAATGCTATTCATTTAAACATAGTCATGCATCAGTGGTGGAATGTAACTTACTCAAGTACTGTTCTTAAGTACAGTTTTGAGGTACTTCCCTTAGATATTTCCATTTTATTCCACTTTAAACTACATTTTTTTGAGAAATATTGTACTTTTTACTCCTCAGCATTTGTTCGACACCTGCAGTTACCAGTTACATTTCCGGATTAAACTTTTAAATTTATAAAAACAGGATAATCTTATAAATCTTATAAAACAGAACAGATTGTAAAAGATTAAACAGTTTCAAACCATTTTGACTTGTGACCTAAAAAAAACAATGTCTAGTTGTGTCTATTTGTCGTGATCCAATATTTCAGCCGGCATTATGGCACCTAGCAAGTAGGTAATTTCAAACTATGTGATTCACCCATCTGTATAACTACCCCTATGTTTTGCACTTTCTTGCACAAGGAAGGAAAATAGTCAGTCTCATATGGCAGAGCACAGTGTATACACTCTACACAAAGTATTCTGCCAGAAAAACTGCAGGCTATTTACTCAAAACATTATACGCTGAACAGAGTTTGATCTTTTGGGATATGACATAATCTGTTTCTCATCTTCCCTCCTCAGTGCCATGTTTACGTCCCTGGACAACTGTGCTCTCATGACCTGATCATTGAAAGAGTAAAGATGTCAAATAAAAGTAGTGGAGTAGAAGTATATATATAGTATAAAATCTAAGTACTCAAGTAAAATACAAGTACAGTACTTGACTGAAGTTACTTTCCACCACTGGATCCTGGACGCACAGTACTGATTGGTCTCTAGAGGGTGCCACAATAACAACCTAAATCCATTGGTGGAGTGACTGAGTGAACTATTTACTCAAGTACTGTACTTCAGTTCAATTTTCAGGTACTCTACTTATGGATACTATATATATTTGACAGCATCATATGAATATTTTACATACCAAGCATGCATTATTGTAGATTAAATTACTTAAAAGTAAATAAAGTATGTAATATTAACTCTTCCTCCACCAGCTGCAACATTTGATTTTGCTTATATATCAATGAAATAATTAGAATCCAATGATATATTTAATATAACACCATTAAGGGCCATTCTGGATTATGTTTACTTTTACTTTTGATACTTAAAATACATTATTTTGTGCCTTTTAAACTGATTTTTAATGCGCAACTTTTACTTGTGGTATCAAAACTTTTAAATAAATATCTGAGTATTTCTTTCATCTCTGCTAAACTCTGCTGCACCAACTGCAATACATTAAAGAAGTTACGATCTGAAAAGTATGACTACAAATCTTACAAGTTGGCAATAGCAAACAGGGTGTTGCCATTTGAATGAATGCCTATTGTGTTCCTGTCAAAGAACTTCAATACCCACAATGCCTCGCAGTGCTCTGTGGTGACCTGTCAGCTGGGAGTGTTCTGTTGTGTTGTTTGGAGTGGCATTATTCGTGGTAGGCCGGATCACCGGTTGTTTGCTCCTGTTTATGGTTTTGCTACATTTAATCCTTTTGTAGTGTTGTTTGTCGGCTGCTGCACATCACACACATCGTCCCACATCCCTTTTTTATTTGTCTGCAGTCACTTTCTGTCATGAATTTGTATCCTTTGTTGTCATGCTGCTTGTAAAGAAAAGGCTTTTGTGTCTTTGTTCACTAAGTAGCAGACACAATTTCTTCTTCACTACATGTCTGATTCACTGTATCAAATGTGAACCAATAGCAGCAGAGGATTCGATTAGTCTCAGTTGAACGTTGACCTCTTTTCTCCTCTGTGTTTCACAATCCTCATGTTGTCAGGAGGAGAGCTCTGCTGGATTCTCCCTCAGTTTTAAGATTGAAACAAGGAAAAGGGAGCACAGTGATTTTTGACAGCGGTGCAGATTTTGTTGCTGCAGAAGGAATTCATTTCACTTGAGGCAGGAATGAAGAGAGCGGTGTTATTTCTGATCACTGTCTATGGCTCAGTGCCTGTCATTCTCTACCTGTTCCCCTGGATACTGGGCCATGCCGTATTTGCTCACTTGTGTAAGTAATGTCTGTTAGGACACTGAGTGTTTATTCAATGTACTGTAACTACATGTTAGCTGTCTATAAATCAACATTTGTATATTTTAAATGTCATAAACGATGTATGTTAAAGCAACATAATGCTTATGAAACCAAATAAATAGGTCATACATATAGTGTTGTTGCTACTTTGTGAATTCTTATTCTAATATTTATGCAGAAACACACATTGTATTGAACTGAAGTAGCTTGCTGACCAAGTTGTGTGCAATTATGTTATTGTATGTTATCACACACTCATCTCATTGTACATTAAGATGTGTAAAGATTCAATAAACCTACAAAGATTAACAGTTTGATTTGATATTACACTGGTGGCACAAACAGCGGTGTTCTGAGATCAGTCTTTACATTTCCAAAACATATAATATTCAGACTAAACTTCAGGATAAACAATAGAGTTCGTCTGACCCATTTCTGCTGGGTTCTCAGCAGTGTAACAACAGAACAGTGTGTTACTAGAACAAAAAACAATAGGCTGTAGTGACAGAAACAGATCACTATAACTGCAGCAGATTTTTAACCACATGAATCAGTAATTAGAAGATTCACAACCTTGAACAATATAATATTATATACACGCTTTTTGTTATTATTTTATTAATATTATTGCCTTTAATTGATAGTGACAGCTGACAAGTGACAGGAAAGGGGGGTAGAGAGAGAGAGAGAGAGAGGTCAGAGGTTAACTCAGCTCAGCTCTACCAAGTGTGCTATTAGGGCGCCCGAGAATAGGGTTTGATGATATAGGTGAAATCATTCTTATGATATTAATAGGAATATTTGATGCTAATACTTACTCATCTATCATGACATGCCAAATGTGTGCGAAATCACAAATAAAATAATCTAATCGTTGTCCACTGTTAAATTAAAAGCTTTATTACACACCCTGATTAGATAGGATATGATGCAATGTGATATGATACAAAACCTACAATACGATACGATGTGATACATTATAGTGATGCACCGATTAGGAAATTCTGTACCAATGTTTTGTTTGTGTTATTTATTCACCCTTTTGTGCTGGAAAACAAAGAAATCTACAAAGATAACTCACTGTGCTGCTGTATAGAGCAATTGGTGGCAGTGCTGGAAATAGGAGGTGATCGTTTCTACAGTATCCAAGTTGAAAATAACGAACTAATAATAATAATAACACAACTTTTAACCAGGACAAAACTGATGCTACAAAACAGATAAACAATGATAACGGTGAACACTATCTCATTTGCCAATAGGCCAATGTCAGTCAACAAGGTGAATACGGATACTGATCTGCTGATATATCAGTGCATTCCTATTACATTAGGAATATACTATACAATATTATACTATACAATATGGGATATGATTAAATACTACCCAATATACATAAATCATACTGACCTTGTGTGCTCTTATCTTCTGCAGTGAGGTTTCCATTCTTCGTGGATCTTGGTAGACCTGAAGCCTTGCTGAACCACACATGCAACTTCTACCTCGACACAGAGGAGGGTATCTCAGTGGGTGTCTGGTAGGTCATTTGTGGGCTTCCTGTTTTGTCCATTGAAGAGCATCAGTACTTGAAAATACCACGTGCACATACATATTCGGCACAGGTGGCTCCTGAGTGAATAGGACCATAGTTTACTCATTTATCTGCAAGAGACCACTCCAAAAAAAAAAAAAGCCCTACTGTATACCTTAAAACACAAACGTATTTGTTTGTGCTACTCACTCTTCCTCCTCTCTCGCTCTCTATCTTTGTGTCTCATAGGCATACGCTCCCTGCCAGCCAATGGGAGGAGGCCGCTGGGAGAAGCCCTGAGTGGTACCAGGAGACTCTGGGAGACGGCCGTCCTGTTATTATCTATCTCCATGGCAACGTAGGGACCAGGTGGGATGAGAGCAGCAGGACTGAGACCCTTGAATTGATCCTAATGGAGTCTAGTGGGTATCACAGACCCCCGGGTTTATGCACAGGCACAATGCACACAAGGGTTTGTGGGTCAGAATAAATGAGTCTGAAAGCCAGCCACTTGTTCGTATTCATTCATATTCTTATGTCCTTTCTGCAGGGCCATGAAACACAGAATGGAACTGGTGAAGGTACAGTTTCTTGTTTAAAGCATTTTCAATTTTGGTGGAAAGTTTTGACTTTTAGATAAAAAATTTATTTTTGTGTGTTGCAGATTTTAAGTGGTGCAGATAATCATGTCTTATCTTTAGACTACAGAGGTAAACATGCTTATTCTGCTCTTCAAGTGATTTGTTTCCTGTTAAATACAGATCTAATATTTTAATTTAATCATTACATTAATGTTCTTTTTGGGCTCCTGGAGACCCAATTCCCTCTTTAACACCTTAAAATACAGAATTTACATTGTTCTATGTATCTATTATCTTTCTTATTATTACACATACAGCAATGAGGATGTACAGCCAATGTTTAGATCATGTTCTTGATGTGTTGTCCTGTCCGTTATTATGTAGTATTTGTCATGATTTTGAAGGTTCATATGTCTTTTAATGAGGTTTTGGAGACTCTACTGGGGAGCCAAGTGAGTCTGGAATGACCAGTGACACCTTCTACTTGTACCAGTGGGTAAAGAAGCGAAGCAGAGGGGGTCATGTCTATCTGTGGGGACACTCGCTTGGTTCTGGGTCAGTTTCTCTCCAGACTCTCTGACCAGTAATTTCTACTCTTTATGACACTAATAGACAGGACTGAAAACACTGAGTAAGAAATGTGTAAAGTCTACTATACTTTCTTTTGGCAGGGTGGCGACCAATACAGCAGCGAAAGTACAAGAACAAGGTGGGTTAAGTAAAGCCTTGTATGACCACATTAAAGGTCCAGTGTGTAACATTCAGGAGGATCTTCACACTGGTCCTTTAAATAAGACTTAGATTAGACTTCTTCTCAGGAGACTGTTTGATTGACATCTCTCACACTTTTCTGTTTTGCATCTGAGCAGGTGTCTAACTGAAGTCAATAAAAATTGATTTTAAAATCCCTGAAACTGAAATTGAATACCCATTCCCAATCTGTTTTTAATCATTTGTGTTACTGTCTTTAATATCAGGTTCTGCTGTTGATGCTTTAATCCTCGAAGCTCCATACACAACAATTCGAGAAGTCGTAGCCCTCCATCCACTCGCTAAGGTGAGGCCAATTGTTACATTTTTTGTCTGTCTGCAGCCCCTCAGGACGTTTACCAATCCATAAAAACACAGCTGCCTACATTTTATCTTAGTTCAAAAGAATGCTGTATGACAGGAAAAGCTCTTCTTGTGTTAAATTAAAGGGAATTTTTTATAAGATATTTGAGACTGTAGAGAGGCTGTGAGACAGGATAAAACTGTGAAAAAAAAAGTTTGGATGATGTGGAGTGAAAGTCAAACTGGATTTCGGCTCACAGAATCCTGTTTATATTAAAGACCACTGAGCCACCACAGCTCATATTTTACTTTAGCATATTCAATTAGACTACATTTAAATTAATAAATATAGTAATAAGGTCTCAAATAAAAATATTTCTATTTCAGTTCCTATTTAGATACAATATCAAAACATATTTACCACATTTAAATTACTTAACAAAAGTCTCACTGGTGACACTTTCTGCATCCATGTTCTTCCATCACTATCGTCTATATCTTAAATGAAATTAATAATTTTCAACTTAATCTTTAGATCCATAATGGGATAAATTCACAAAGTTAACCATATAACCATTTCTATCCTACAAGTATTTGGATGTTATAATAATAATAATAATAATAATAATATATAATCTGTATCTGTACTGTGTTATTCCAGATGTACATGTTCCTTCCTGGATTTCAGAGCTTGCTCTGGAACATACTGGAAATGAACAACATTGTATTTGCTAATGATAAAAAGTAAGTACAGTGTTTATTTGTTGCTCCTATTCTACTTTCCACACCAATCATTCAAATCCCTTTACGGAGAGTAGCGTGTAAAAGAATATGATAGAAACAATGTTATTCAGCTAATGAAAACCATCTCTGACTGTGGATATATATTTTACCCTCTACGCAGTTTGAAGGCCCTGACCAGTCCACTTCTTATTCTGCATGCAGAGGATGACAACATTGTTCCTTATCACATGGGCCTGAAGGTACGGTAGCTCTTTATGTATGCTTCCTTTGACTGCTTAGATCATTTCCGATTGGATGTAGCTGCCTCCACTCTGAATTACTTTGCATTTCTTGGTCTCCAGCTTTACCAGATATCCCTCCAGGCTAAGAAAAAATATAACACAGATGTTCGGGTTGAAATGATCTCCTACAGTGCAAATCTTGGATTCTCCCACAGCAGCATCTACTTAGATCCTAATCTGTCAAATGTGGTTCGGTAAGTTTTGCCAAAACTGATATGAATTTTACAATTTATGTTATGCTAATGTGTATATCAGCCAATCCTGGTATAAGGTTTATAATTTACATACAGTGAATTCCACTGAATACACCGACAACTGATACTTGTCTTACAATGTATCTTTCATTAAATTTACTGTTTCCATACACCACAATCCCCCCCCCAAAAAAAATCTAATACTTCATCTGTTTTGGTTGCAGGAAATTCCTACAAAACCTGAAACAGTAAAGCTGTAGAAGAGGGTTTACTCTTTTTTTATGTCGGCTTTCACTACTGAAGTCTTGGTTTGTACATTTTCCAAAATAAGGCTCCAATAAACAAATGTATTTTGTCACAAAATGTGTGTGTTTGCTCTAAAATCTGAAACAAAAGCACTAATTACACATATTATATTACACAATATGTTTTTATTTCATCACTGGGACAAAAAAACTGTACCTTCTTAGCCAAGTTAGACTGATACAGATACAAATAAAATCTTAGAATTGGCTTCAATCTGCCTGGTGTATAGACAGGCTTTGTCACTCAGTGCAGCATAAAGTCGCAGGAATGTAATTAAAAATTCAGTTTAGTCAGCTGCTCTGTTACTGTCATCCTACTGAATTCCCAAAATGCAAAAACCCCCACCAATCCTAAACTCCAGGAATGTCAAGTATGAAGTATCTGACCTCTGAGTTCTCCACACTGACTCTTGGTTTAGTGTAGGTGTTAGTGCTACAGGACTGTAACAGACTGTTTCTAATGCAAGTGCTTTGACTCAGGTGCTCTGACAATAAAAAGTGAAAAAGAAAACGTGTGCAGACGTGATTTCTCAAACATCCAAAAGTTCTTCAAAAAGTTCAGAAATGTGTAACTTGATGGTTAAAAAGTGAAAAAGGGAAACGGAAGGTAAATGATTTGTAAACATAAAGGCAGCCGTCGGTGGTAAAACAGCCTCACATTTTCTTCAGAGCTCTGGCCGTTTCTTCGATGGCCTCTCTCGGCTCATTTGGAGGTGGGATCTTCAGGTCCGTCGGCTCGACGCCCCACACCTCAGTGGCGTACTCTGTGATGGTTCTGTCGCTGGAGAACTTTCCTGTGGCGGCGATGTTCCTGATCACCATCTTCGTCCACTCTTTTGGATTCTTTTAGAGGGAAATAAAAGATGTTTATTTCTGCTTCTGTAGGTTTGGTATTTCATGATAATTTTTTTCCCCTGCTTGACCATTTCATACTTTGTTAGCTACTAGTTCTTTCTCATTTTATACTACCTTTTGTAAAGTTCTTTTTAGGAACTTAAAATGCTTTATCAATACTATTACAACAGAAAAGACAAAGGAAAAGAATGAAAAATAAAAGAAGAATGGAAGGAATTTGACTCCTGTTTTACGTTGCTTATCGTACTTACATATTTAAATATGTTATATTCGTGCAAGTAGGTGAAAAACAAGTGAATATATACATAATAGAAAAATAATAAATATAATAAAAAATGATAAATAAGAATAAATGAATGCAAAGCCCACCCAGCCGCCCACAAAACAGACAAACAATATCTGCCCCTCGAGCAATAGGACTTGATCAAGGGGCCTGTACTGCAAAGAAAGTTCAACTTCAGTCACAGTCACAGTAAGCTGTATAAACACTACAAATGACTTCCAAATTCAATTTTTTTTGTCAGATGCGCGTTAAAAAAGTTCAAAGTAATGTCAGAGAAGAAGAGGAGAAAAAGGCCTGATGAGGTCTATCTGACTGAAATGCTGTTCATGTTATTCTGAGCTGAAGTGATGGAATAAGAGTGTAATAGCATCAACACTGTCAGGAATCGGAAATAAACTTATAATAAAGCTTTCACAGCCGCCATGTTGACCTAAAATAATAGGGTAAACACAGGTGTTACCAATGATACTAATTAGGTTTCTGTTCCATTCAGGTCAAACAGTGTCAGAGTGCTGCTGTTGTGCTTGTTGGCTCACTGGAAAGTCTCTGCTACACTTAATGCAACAGAACCTTAATTAGTATTATTAGTAACAACCTGTGTTTACTCTACTATTTCAGGTCAAAATGGCTGCTTATAATCATCATTATGTATTTAGTGTGGTAATTATCCCTCTTTTTGTTAGAAGCTCTATTTTAAAACCCAAGTGAAACATGGAGAGCCAAGCCTGACCCATACAAATACTGCTCTTTATCACTTGTCATAAACTTATATCTATACTGGCATCCTGTACGAATAATGTGTCAGTTTTTCCAGTGATCTGATTGGTTGGGCTGTTGGTAGGTGTTGATCTGATGCTCTGAAGTTAAGTTAGGTTAACACATAGTGATTAAAAGTGAGCCAGCTTAGTGATAGCGGAAATCAAAAAGTTGAGCCCAAAGACAGCTGTCTAACCCGTTGATCTCACGGAACAGGCCCCGGGTCTGTTTGAGGCAAATGTTACCTGATAGAGCTTGCTGACTTTCTCTTGGCATTTTATGTAGTCTTCAAAGTCTGCAAACACTTTGAAGCTGAAGAGAAAAAAGGGAGAGTCAATAAATCATGACGGACAACTTAAACCTCCTTCATCAGAAGAAAAACTAAGAAAAAAAATGATTGTTGACATAAAAGTATAAGTCATTCAAGGGTGTTTGCTTCCCATATAAAATAGTTTTGGTGATCTTCAAATAACCTGAACTGGGCTACACCATTTTGGAAAGTAAAGAGTTTCTCACCGGTCATATTTGAAGAGCATGTTCGTGATGTCTTTGAAAAGGTCTGGGTTTCTAGGGCTGAAAAATCCACTCGTGATCTGGTCCATCACTTGTTTCAGCTCTGGAATCTTCTTGTAATACGACATGGCATCATATCTAAAATAGACAAAGACGTTTTAACAGCATAAAAAGAGCTTTAAAAACGTAAACACGAGCAATAAAATATACTCCTTTACCCCTTTTTGTCCAGTTCAGCCACGTCTTCCACCCTCATGCCGAAGATGAACAGGTTCTCCTCTCCGGCCTCCTCGGCCATCTCCACGTTGGCCCCGTCCATGGTGCCGATGGTCAGGGCTCCGTTCAGCATGAACTTCATGTTACCTGTTCCTGAAGCTTCTGTGCCAGCGGTGGAGATCTGCTCCGACAGATCTGTGGCAGGTATCACTGAAAAAAGCAGATAAGAGTTAAAATTAAAATTTTTGCAGCAGTTTTTTTTTTAGGAAGTTTTAAACTATAACTCTTCAAAAGAGAGTTTTTCACACGCAGTGGTGTGTTTTTGTGTTATGCACCTTCACAAAAGGTGCAGGTATTAGAGAAAGTTGTCTAAATGGTACCTTTCTCTGCTAGAGAGACCCTGTAGTTCTCCAGGTAGATGACCTTCAGCTTGTTTCCCACCACAGGGTCATTGTTCACCACATCAGCCACTGAAGTGATCAGCCTGATGATCATCTTTGCCATGTGATACCCAGGAGCAGCCTGCAGAGGGCGACAGTGGATGACTTACTGTAAAACAAAAATATCACACCACTCTTTGCCTGTTTATTGGATTGTTGTTTGTCGTGTAAGCTTTGGCTGGTACCTTTCCCCCGATGATCACTGTTCGTGGCACAAATGGCGCAGTCGGGTTCTTTCTGATGCCTTGGAAAAAATAAAAAGACAAACAAACTCATTAAAAGTGAAGCAGCACTACTGGTTGATAGTGCCAGTGAAATGTCTCCATAACTATCAGATGGATTGTTGTGATATCAGACTTTCACGTCACCTTTAGGATTAATTATAATAACTTTGGTGAAGGCTTAATATTCCATCTACCAAAATCATCAGGTTAAAATGTTTTATTTGTCCAATATTTGGGTTTATGACCAAATATCTACAAAACTAATCATATTGCCACCAGCCTCACGTGTACCTTGTGTTTATAATTACTGTTAGCAAATGTTAACGTGCTAAACTTAGATAGTTAATGCCACAAACATAACCTGCTAAACATCAGCATGATGTCACTGTGTGCATGTTAGCATGGTAGCATTAGCATTTAGCCAAAGGCACCACTGTGCACTCTCACAGAGCTGTTAGCACGGCTATAGACTCTAGTTTTGTGATAGATCAGACCTTTTTGATTTTTTTCTTATTATAATAGCTTTTATGCAATTTGATGACAATGAATTGCCATTTTGTTCTGAAACATAGGGCATATCATATTTGCATATCTGGGAATATTCCCAAGAAAGGAAAAGGTTTTAGATGCAGGGAAAGTAAATTGCATGTTGTATAAAACAAAACAGAACTGCTGACGAATCTGATTTCTTGTTTATCACGGTCTGATGACTGCATGGAAATTTCCCAGACTCGATTTAAACCGCAGATGCATTTCATTCTTAGTGTTTGTTTTAACTTGCTCTGCCCACCGGGTGGGGAATCTTCCACACCAGGACATGTCAGATTGTGTCATGTAACTTAGCAATCACAGAAGCATGTGATGAGAAACCTTCCGGCACATTGTAATGAGTGATTGCACATACGGTTGTACATGGTGATGATGTGCAGGCAGTTGAGGAGCTGACGCTTGTACTCGTGGATTCTCTTCACGTGGACGTCAAACATGGAGGATGGATTTATTTTCACCCTGTACTCTTTCTCCAGGTACTGGCCAAATTTCACCTTGTTATCCTGTGAGAAAATCAGAAATATGTGACTTGGCAACCAAGGAGTTATTCATTGGGGGTGGAGTTGCTGAATCACAGGTGTGGCCTGTCCTGACATGTACTGTCCTTAAAACTGCTAAATGCAATGTTGCAATGCACAAATAATTCAGATTGTGAGCTTTGCCTGTAATGATGTGCAGAAATAATAACTAGGAGATGGTTTTTACTGTGCACAGGAACAGGTTCATGCTGTTCATGTTGAAATGCATGGAGGCATGGTGCAACAGGACATTCAGAACATTAGTGTAACATAAAAACAGGAACCAATATGGTATGAAAGACTTAGATTTGCAATTTATCAATTGATCAATACAGTTCAACTGTTTTCATGTCAGACAAAGCTTCTAAATCTATTGATATGCCTTCTTTATTAAGCTTTCTTGCTCTCCATAACAGCTGCCCGTGCGGAGTACAAATACACCACCAAACCATCTGGACATTACTGAATTTTCTTTTTCTGGTTTCTTTTGTGCCTTTGTGGACTTTCTGCAACAGTGGAACTACTCAGATCCTTTACTGAAATAAAAGTACCAATACAACAATGTAGCAATACTCCATTCAAACTAAAAGTCCTGCATTCAAAATCCTAACAAAGTAAAAGTACAGAAGTATTTTTAAATATCAAAAGTAAAAGAACTTTACTGATATATTATTATATATGTTTAGTCCAGTGGTTCCCAACCT